GGACTTGGCTAAGCCTCCTGCTTTGCAGTGGTTCCAGTTCTACAGTGGTACCTCAGGTTAAGTACTTAATTCGTTCTGGAGGTCTGTTCTTAACCTGAAACTGTTCTTAACCTGAAGCACCACTTTAGCTAATGGGGCCTCCTGCTGCTGCCGCGCCGCCGGAGCACGATTTCTGTTCTCATCCTGAAGCAAAGTTCTTAACCTGAAGCACTATTTCTGGGTTGGTGGAGTCTGTAACCTGAAGCGTATGTAACCTGAAGTGTATGTAACCTGAAGTACCACTGTATATGGAAAAAACCAAAGCAAAATATATTCTATTTACCCAGGCATTTGGTGGTTAAGTTAGCTTCTACTGTGATGCTCATCTTTTACTCAGGTGAGGTAGGATTTGTCTTTGTTACTGTATTGCTGAATGAGCATTTTAGGAATTTTGCATTGTATGCCATTTAAAAAATGGGCTTTTAATTGGTTGCGTCTGTTTGCATTTCCTTTCATTCTTAAATTCTTTTGAGACATTTCTTTTTAGTGTATGAAGCAGCTAACACGGGCAACTACGGTAATTATTATAGTAACCAGGCTTGCTGACTTTTAGGATATGGCAGCTGCAACTAGAGAAGTGGATTGCTTTGTCCGTGCAATAGACTACATATAAAAAAATAAAATAAAAGCAGTCTTCATAACATCCACTCTAATTCAGGGGGAGAAGCAATGCCATAAAAATCAATTAAGTGCCATTAAAAGCTTGTGGGAATAGGTCAGATTTCATCAGGTGACAAATGCATAGCAACAAGGGTGCCTCATGACTTGGGAGGTAGTTCCACACTTTGGCATAGGAGGACTGCTTAACTGTCATGGACTGGCTGGATCCAGAGGAATTATGGGAGACTCCAACTGGGGAACCCCCAAAGGAACCCCCAGGGGAAGATGGCGCAGAGGCAGGGGGTTGGTGGTGGGACAATATTGTGTGGTCAGAGGGAGAAGAGGGAGCAGACAGGGAAGAGGTGTCAAAAACTGAAGAGGTAAGAGGATTAAGTGAACAGGAAGAAGCTGTGCCAGAGAGCAGTCCAGAATTAGAGGCAGAAGCAGAGGCTGGAGAGGAGAGGGGCTAAGAGGCAGCAATGAATCAGGCGGGTGAGGAATCCAGGCTGTCTCCTTCTCCTGCGGTGACCAGCTCCCCTCACCCTGGTTGCCCAGAATCCGTGGAAGTATGAAGATGGTGGAGCAGCGACAAGCAAGACAAAGGAGCCTCAGATTGCATGGGAAGGAACCAGGGGAGGCGGTGGGAAGGTGGGGACCTTCAGTTCCTCGCAACTGCCTTATGGGGCAAGATCTGCTGGGAAGAGTTGCTTTGCTCACTAGGCCTGGGCTATTTTGTTTCTTTGAATAAAGAGTTAATTTCACTGATACTTTGCAAATTATTGCTGAATTGCTCCCTACACCCACCCTGACATTAACCCACAGCAAAAAAACAAAAAACAAAACAAAAAACGGAACTGCATAATCACAGACAGATTTGCATATACAAATTTGTATGTATAGGTGTGAATTTAGAAATATTTGCTATTATCGTTTTTTTTTTAATGATATTTATTAAGGTTTCCAATAAAAAGAACACATCAAAAAGAAATTAAAAAGAAAAAGAAAAAAAAGAAAAACACACAGCTCAAAAATACACAATACATAATCCCCCCCAAAAAAACAAAGGACAAAAAAGAAAACATTTAAAAACAATACCACCTTTTCCTCACCATTTTTAAAATTTACTTATTTTCTGGACCTCCTCGTACCTCCCTCTTTTGTATTCCAGTTCAATTTGTTTGTCCAGCAGTTTCTTTCCCTCTTTTTTAATCCCAATCCTTAATCCTAATATAATATAACATTAAATTTTTACCTCATAAAAACCAAATATTTGCTATTATCTAAATAAAATACATCATACCATCATGACCACCGGGTGACCTATGTGCCTGCTCTCCTCTTTGAACTGTTTCTATTCCATCTAGCCAATAAGAACTATTGCCCGAGATTGCCTTTTTCCTTTTCCCTCCCAATCCAACATTCTTCTTGTGTCATGTATTTTAGTCTGTTAGTCTGCATGTTGGACTACAACTCTCATCACGCCTAGCTAGCAGAACCAGTGGCCAGAGATTATGGGAATTGTAATCCAAAAATAGCTGGAGACCTGAATTTGGGAAACCCTGAACTATTATTATTATTATTTATCATTCTATGCCATTCTGGGAGCTTTTTTCAGATGAAGAGCAGGGTAAAATGCTTCAAACGTACAGTACAGTATAAATAAATAAATGTTCAATAATGCATGCCCACTAGGAGGCAGTAATAGCTCTCAGTCCCTACCAAACAATGCAGCTCTCCATAAATCCTTCTGCTCTGAGGACAGAATAAATCATTCCCCAACAAAAATATTATTGCTCTTTTCTGTTTTGAAAATTTTGGGGAAAACAACAGTTATGCATAAAAATGTAACATTGTGAAACAGTTTAATTGGGCCGTTAAATATATAAAATGTTGGTACACAAAGGAAACAATGTATTAATGAGCAAATAGTATGGGGAAAGAGAAATGTCATGGCAAGTTCATGGGATTTTGCTGCATTGAGGGGAAATGTTAGCACAATGCTTTTGTGGACGTGCTCAGAATAGATCATTTATCAATATAGTTCAGTTATTTATGACAGTTTATTTTACACTTTCTCATTCCTGGAATGGAAGGGCTGTTCCAGTATGACTGATGTCAGTAAAATACTCTTTTTTTATTATCATTATCCAGAGCTTTAAAGGTTAGGATTTTTACAGATGAGATATTGAGTAGCTCACCATGCTGCTTACTAGCTGTTTACAAATGTTATTAATTAATTTAATTTTTCAATAACATCATCAACACATTACCAGAGAGTACCAAGTATAGAATATTACATGAGTTCAAAACTGTCCTTCAAGCAAAGTCCATTTATGTCATCCTTCAAAATTAGTTATCCCAATGTGTCTTTCCACAATAAACCATAGGTGGTTGGGGATCACCAATCATGTTCCCTTTGTGCTATGTAGGCAATAAAACAGAACCATTTGTCCTTAATTGTTGTTACTGTTTTCTGTCTTTGATTTGTTAAGATAGTTTTCTTCCATTAAAACAACAGTCCATATTTATTGATACCCTTCATTTTAACATTGTATATTTGCTGCTCTTATTAGTAATCTGATCTACAGGTTTGTTTATTTTTAAAATGTTTTTAGCTGATATAGGTCATTTGCCATTTGCATATTGTATTCCACCGCAGGATCCACTGTGATGAAAGGCACGCAGCAAATATGGCTAATGCATCAATAAACAATGAAATGAAAATAAAAGGCATCAAAGCAGATAAAAGCATCATAAATGACAGCCATAAAACTAATAAGATTGGGCAGCAGAGCTACCCCATAAACTAACAGTTATAAAACACATTGAAATATATGGGCACAGAAGAATGAATTTGCTTGGCATGGAAATGAAACAGAGTTGGCACCAGGAAAGCTTTTCCACTGTCAAGAAGGCCATCTTTCTGCTCACTACAGTGGTACCTCGGGTTAAGAACTTAATTCGTTCTGCAGGTCCATTCTTAACCGAAAACAGTTCTTAACCTGAGGTACCACTTTAGCTGATGGGGCCTCCCTCCCGCTGCCGCCACACGATTTCTGTTCTCATCCTGAAGCAAAGTTCTTAACCCGAGGTACTATTTCTGGGTTAGCAGAGTCTGCAACCTGAAGTGTCTGTAACCTGAAGCATCTGTAACCCAAGGTACCACTGTACTGATCAATTCTGGAGGATAGGCAGGGCTGGCCCTACAATGAGGCAGCTGCCTCAGGAAGCAGATGCTGAAGGGCAGAGCTATTTTTCTGGAAAAAGAGGTGCCAAAACTCTCCATGAACACCTCCCTTGTTCTCTTAGAATGGCAATGGCGCCCACCTGAGAGGTGCTGGAACTGAGTTCCAGTGAATTCCAGGTGAAAAAACCCCAGGCACTCTGGGCAGCGTCCAACAAATTACAGTATAAAACCACAGTAAAACATTGAACATTAAAAACTTCCCAACACAGGGCTGCTTTCATATTGTATACCATACTATACAGGGTGTCCCAAAAGTAGGTATACTTTCTAAAAACGAACAAACAAATAATAAAAGCTTTATTTTTCTTTACTGATATTGTGAATGATGAGAACTTGAGACAAGAACAAAGAAAGTGGTTTCTAAAGCTGTATCCCTACTTTTGGGTCACCTTGTAGTTAGTTGTATAGTAACTTATCTCCTTGACATCTGATGGGAGGGTGTTCCACAGGGTGGGCGCCACTACCGAGAAGGCCCTCTGCCTGGTTCAGCCTGGGGGAGGAACAGAGCCCACCGCGCCTGCCCAGTCCCTGCCGCCAAGACACCAGTCCTGAGCGGCATGGCTGTTGCACCCTTCTTGCACCACCCTCCTCGGATCCCAGCCTTGCAAGACTGCTGGGGGGCACACGCGGTGGCATGGGGACGCAGCAGCTGTGCCCTCTTCAATCCCAGCCTCACCTTTGCTCTGGGATCGAGGGGCAGGCGACTGTTGCACCCTTTTTGTGCCACTCTCTCCAGATCCAAGCCTTGCAAGGCCTCTTGAGGAGGGTGGTGTGGGGATCACATGAGGCTGGGGTCGAGGGGTGCATGGCTGCCACATCCTTTTCATGCCACCCTCCCTGAATGGTCTTGCAAAGTGGTGTAGGGCTGGCTCAGGGAGGGTGGTGGGAGGAGTGTGATCCCCTGAAAAATGGACCTGGGCAATGTCCCTGGCAGAACTCCCCCCACACTAAGCCCCTGCTTAGAGTGGATCCGTGGAGAGACATACCCTGCCCTCAGGCTCACACTCTAAAAGACATGGCACAAGAGGAAAAGCAAGTGCAGGCCCCAATTCTTAATCAGAGTTAATTTTTGGTTTTTAAAGTTTTTATTCCATTTTTAAAAAAGTTTAACAATGTAGGGCCTTTATATATTCTCAATATGAAAAATACAAAAACAAGAGACATTTCTTATTGTGACACCATATTTTAACTACTAAGAATCAAGTGCCCACAAAAAAGAAAAGAAAAACGGGGGAAATCTACAAACAGAAAACAATACAATATTTGTTGAGTACATTGGTACATTGGAAGCCATCTAATGATAAAAACTTTGCGTTTCAAGTTAAGTAGGTTGGAGCAGGGATGATTATTAACGAAGTGCTTCCTTTAGAAAGAAACGTTTCCCCATGGTGATTGGTAACCCCCGCTATCCCTTTCCAGGACTGTGAGATTCAGTGCATGCGGGGGACGTTTTCTTTTTGTCTCCGCGCATTGCCAATGCTCCAGGCGCGAGGATGACACGCAGGCGCACTGAGGTTCCAAGCCGAGCGCGCTGCCCAGCGGCAGTTCAAACCTCGCGCGCCTGCGCACTAACAAAGCGGGAGGCGAGATGGAGGGGGCGGGGCGGCGTTACGAGTCGTCAGCGAGTTAGGGCTCCCGCCGCCATTTTGGGTTGGGTTTCTTTTTCCTTTTTTGTGTGCGCGTGTGTCTGCGCGCGCGCGCAGCTTGTCCCTCCGTCGCCGGTGGCCGAAAGAAACGGCTTCGGCGCCCGAGAGCTGCTCTCCGTCGCCCGCCTCCTCTCGTCTCCTCTCCGTAGCAGCGTCGCCTCCCTCGGCGCGATGTCGGCGAACAGGAACCTGAAGCAAGTGAGGATTGAGAACAGCTCCCCGGCGGCCGCCCCGCCGATCAGCATGGTGGGCGGCGGCAGCATGAAAGGGCTGCGCGGTCTGGAGCCTCCGCCGGACAACGAAGCGGCGGCGGCCATGGTGATGGTGAAGGAGGAAGAGGAGCAGGGCGGCGGCGCCGGCTTCACCGTCGACATCAAGAGCTTCCTGAAGCCCGGCGAGAAGAGCTACACGCAGCGGTGCCGCCTCTTCGTGGGGAACCTGCCCACCGACATCACCGAGGAGGACTTCAAGCGCCTCTTCGAGCGCTACGGGGAGCCCAGCGAGGTCTTCATTAACCGGGACCGCGGCTTCGGCTTCATCCGGCTGGTGAGGAAGCGTGCTCGGGGTTTCCCTTGGAAATGGTGTCTGTGTGTGAGTGAGAGAGAGAGAGTCTGTGTGTGAGAGAGAGAAGAATGAGAGGAAAATGTTCCAGTGTCCGTCCTCGCTCTGCTTCTCTCCCCCCACCCCGCTCACGTGTGAACGAGGCCGTAACGTGTCCATCCCTGCTCGCCCCCTCACTCGGGAACGGCTCTGCTGCAGAAACCGAGCGCGCGCGCACGAGCGAGCGACACTCCTCCCGATAGACGCGCGTACACACACACATTCACACAAGCCCCCACCCCGCGAAGCCGCTGTGCACGCGGGTGGCCTCCTCCCCTCCTTTCACGTGCCTGCTGTAAGTACGTGGGGCTACGACTTTTCCTTCCGTTTGCCGTTGTCCTCCGTAACCCACGTTCACAGCCAGTTTTGATGATGAATGAATGGCTTTTGTTCATTTGCAGCCATGGAGCCGATTTTCTGTCCTTCAAACACCCCAGGAGCAACTGATGTGGATCCTGTATGAAGCTGTTCAGAGGAAAGGCCCCCCAACAGAAATACCATTGACGATTCTTAGAATTTTAGAGTTGGAAAGGACCTCGAGGATCATCTAGTCCACCCCCCCCCCAATGCAGGAATACAGTGGAACCTCAGGTTGCGGACATAATCTGTGACGGATGCATGTCTGCAACCCGCAGCGCTTGCAAATAGAAGCAGTACCCCTGCGCAAGCATGTGACGCGATTTAGCGCTTCTGCACATGCGCGAGCGGCGAAACCCAGAAGTAACTTGTTCTGGTACATCCGGGTTTGCCGCGGTGCGCCAACCCAGAAACACGTAACCAGAAGCAATCATATCATGAGGTATGACTGTATGCAGATGTCCCATACTGGGATCAAACCGGCTGCAATAAGAACACTATGCTGTAGCCAGCTGAGCTATCCCATGGTCAAGAGTTAAAACATTGTCCGCACCAATCCTGAAAAAGAGATAAAGCTGTTCCATATTCCCAAGCTCCATGACTATTTTCCTCAAGTTTGTGTCAAAATGGTTACCCCATTCAAGTATTAAAGGGTGGTCTCACATGTCTTCGTGTGACTGTGAGCCGCCACCTGCGTTTTCCCCATCCTCATATATCATCTGCCCATCTAATTGGTTCCACCATTCTTTATAACAGTTGCATGCCGCAATACAGTAGGTGGCTGAGGAGACACATTGTGTTTTAAATTATAAAATTTAAATTATACTGCTTGGTCTATATTCAGGCTGCTCCACAAATCTAACATCATGGGTTGATAGAAAGCAGGACTAACTTTTCTTTGTGCCCGAAATGCAGCAACATTGGTCAGGCATTCCTACTGAGCTCTTCAAACTTAGTTCTACTCATAATTAACATGTATTATCCCCACTTGCTCTGATAAGCAGACATTGACGGGATATTGGAACCAATTCACAACCTTTTTGAAAACTATTTAGGCTTCTCTTGCTGCCTCATGATAAAGGGCTATTTTTACACGTCCCCCTGTTTCTTGCACCAACAGAATTTCTGTGAGGGACACGGTGGCTTCTTAATGCTAAGTGGGACTGGGGACCTCAGCAAACACCTAGGGATGTTTGAGGGTACTGTAGTGCCCCCAGGTGCCACATTGGTTCCCCCAGCTTTAAGATATTCCTCCTTCCCCAACACCAAACTGAGATTATTTTGGAATATTTATGGGACTTCTATGCTGCCCACTAATTGAGGTTCTTTGAGCAGCGTAAAAATTACATGGCATTCATAGATTAAAAAGGTGGGGGATGCTCGTAAATAATAGTCAGGGGTTTCTATGGAGGAAGAAAAGCTGGCTCAGGTGTGGATGTGTGGATGGTTTGACTTTGTGTTGCCCAGGCTTTCAAGCTCCAAAACAACCCCCAACCTTCCTCCCATCTTCACATCAGGGGATGTTGCAGTGATCACAGTTCAGCTGCTAGGGGGATGATTGGTTTGTTTTTGTTCTTATTTTTATCATGCATTTTGTGTTGTTTATCATGTATTTTTATGTTGTGAACTGCCCTACGAGTTACAAATGACGAGTGGTATACAAATTAATAATAATAATAATTCCCAAACACCTCTGTAGATTCAAAGCAGGGTTTGAAATTAGCAGGGTGCCAGGCGCATTTTGCACCTAAAGATTCTCCATTTGTGAGCATCTCAAAAGGATTGGGTGCCATTTTTTTGTGCCTGGCTGACACTCAAGGATTACAGAAATGTATGTGCCTTGAAGCCTCAAAGTATATGTTACAGATAGGCAATATGTTAAGGAGTTTAACAATAAGGAGTAGGGTGTTTTGAAAACTGAAGTAGGGTGCCAATATTTTTATTAAACATTCATTAAGAATTTCTGCTAAAATGTGATATTAACAATGTGTCACTTATGTGAATTGCGTATTAATTCATGCTTATCAAAAAAATAAAGTGTTGCCGACACACACACCCCAGCGGCGACTAGACATTCTGTTTTGGCGCCCACAACCCAGGTCCTAGAAGCCATTTGACCCCTAACTTTTCTATCCCAGTTTCTAACACTGATTCAAAGTTATAAAGAAGACAGGTTGCTCACCATGTACGCTAGAGGGCAATGGAGAGTGGAATTGTTGAAGCCTGGTCATAGAAAATCAGAAACAGAATACAGAGTACTTGCAGATTTAAAGTACATAGGGTGGGATTCACCTAACCAGCCCTGTCTATGGAAGCCCCGCACAAGGACTTCAGCTTGCATAATGTGGCTTCCCCTTTACATGCATTCTGAAATTGACTTGGCGTTGTGTGTTGGGAGAACCCCCAGAACAGTGCTGGGAGATGGGTATTGTTCCATCTGGCAAGCTGGAATGCTTGCATAGCTGGAAAAATTTGAAAAGCGCAAAGTTGAATTCCCCCCATAAAATGTTGAAATGAATTATTGGTGTGTTATATTCAACTGTGCATTATGTGTATATGTTTTTTTTCCTGAAAAGGAATCCAGGACACTAGCTGAAATTGCAAAGGCAGAACTCGATGGAACTATTTTGAAGAGCAGACCACTTCGAATTCGTTTTGCTACTCATGGAGCTGCTTTAACAGTAAAGAATCTTTCACCTGTTGTTTCCAATGAGCTTCTGGAACAAGCTTTCTCTCAATTTGGCCCTGTGGAAAGAGCTGTTGTTGTAGTAGATGATCGTGGTAGAGCAACTGGGAAAGGTTTCGTAGAGTTTGCTGCAAAACCCCCAGCACGTAAAGCTCTAGAAAGATGCAACGATGGAGCATTCCTGCTGACGACGTAAGTTCCTGATTGAATTTATTGTGGTATATGTATAAAGAAAACTATGTAATTGGACTATCTGATAAAGTAGCAATAGAAGTTGCTCAAAACTCCTGGAAAATTGAATTGGTCTCAGAACCTAGTTTAGATTTCTTCTTTTTCAGCCTAAAAAAGCTGATAGTGACAGTGGCTTCTGTGAAAGATTATGACTCTACTTTATAGCAAGTATATATTACAGATTTCAGAGGCATCCAAGGCAGGGGAAAGTATAAGAGAATGATTTTAATCCTCATGCTACTTTGCAGCCCTTAATTGAAGGGTCTTGCACCATAGCAGTCTAGTCTGAGAGGTGATGATGAGTTTAAATTCAGCACTTATCTGCTGTATCATGCTGGCTTTTCTACTCGTAGTCCTTAGTCTGCATATTTGAAAGATACTGTGTAAGATGTTGGTTTTTAATGTTTGATGTTTTATTATGTTTTCACATATGCCGTAAACTGCCCAGAGTGGCTGGGGAAACACAGCCAGATGGGCAGGATATAAATAATAAAATTTTTATTTATTATTATTAAATATGGTAGTTATCACTTGGATAAAATGTTACTATGCAGAGACATAGGAGAAAGCCTGCTCCTAATCTAAGACATTTAGTTATTACTCCCATTTTAGCAAGATGGTATTAACCCTTCTAACTATTCTGCCCATTGCTCCTTGATAGTGATTCCGGCATACCTGAAACATAATGTAGATTCTAGACACAGTGCAGCTTAGCTAATGTTGTACCCAGAAACCCCATATTCATTGCTCTGGAATAAAATCTTAGTTTATGTGAGCATGAATTTGTTGGGTGAATCCCAACTCTGTGAAATAAGTGATGCCCATCTGCTTAATATGCAGAAGGTCCAGGGTTAATTTCGATGAAATTGAGCAGCAAGCAAAACTTACTCTACCGATTGTAGAGTACAAAACTGTAAGAAGAAGGCAGAGAGTACAAAAAAAACCCACAATACAATGATGAGGCAACACCTGAAGCCTTAGATGAACTTTCTCCAAGAGGCAAGTTTAGGGTAAATTCATTTATCCTTGAAGCCAGCCTAGACAGAAGACCAACATTGTATAGGAGTGTAGCTGACAATTTTCCATTTTTGGTGAACCTGCAAGCAATCAAGGAATAGATTTAAGTGGCATTGAGATGTTGATGCAAAAGTATCCCAAGGTATTGTCCTCAGCAGGAAGTGATCTGACCATAACAAGTGGCGGATGTCAATATTCACAACTTTCATATAACCTCTCCAGTTGAGAAAACAAGGTTCAGATTGTGGCCTGCCACATGTGTTTGGCTGATGACATGTTGGGACAGCCCCATTGTCGTCATGGCAGCTGTGAAGTCCTGAGCCACCCTAGAGCCTGTTGCCTCAGCATGGATGAGAAGTCCCCAAAACCATCAGTATTGGAGTCTACCTCAGACACCAGCTCTTGTCACCTCAGGCAATGAGATTGCTGGACAGCAAGACTGGTAGTAAACCAGCAGAGTCCCTAACCTTTATCAATTCCCCAAACCCAGGAACACACATAATGGCGTGGGAAGGCATGTTCAGTTAAAATTCCCAAAGGTTGTTACTGTAATTTAAACTTTGTTTACGATGGCTGTCAAAATGTCGGTGGCGTGTCACTTAATATGATAATTTCCTCTTCTTTGTATGCTTTAGCCACAAACACAGGTGATCACTCTGTCGGTTTGTTGGGCTAAGAACTGGCCCTGAAATGATACGTTGTAAAATAATAATTGCTTTTATAATTCCATGCTTGGTACATATATAACCATGGCACTTTGATATGTTTCTTTGTATCCAGTTATGTAAGCCTCCCCCTGTAGTAAATCTTTCAGGAATTTTTGTTGCAAATGGGATTATTTTAATCAGCCATTGAACTGTAATGAAGTACTAGGTGCAACAGACCTTAAAACAGTTGGCTTGAAATACATTTTGCTCAGTAGAGAATGCTGCCGGTTTCTGTGGATGTTGAGGTTCCAATGCATATTCTATGGAATTTTGAGTTAGGCCCTTTTAGTGTTCAGATTGTTAGTATTCACAGAGAGCTAAATAAGCTTTCAGAATCCTTTTAGAAGTAAAAATGTGTCACCAATAATAAAGCTACAAAGCTATCGTAAATCTGCTCTGAAGTTGCTCAGAATGGCAGCAGCCATTTTTCTTACTGCATCAGCTGCAGGCTTGGATAATCAAACTTCTTCAACAAGTGGGCTTGGCCTTGGCCTGCTCTTCCCCCAAAACACCCTGTTGTGGAGTATTGTGCTGGCAGTGGGAATAACACAGGTAGCTCCTTAACTGCCCATACCTTTGGTAAGCTCAGTGAGGGCTTCAGCAGTTGCCTGCAGTCAGTGGAGCCCAGCTTTGAGGTTTTATAAACTCAAGGTATGTAAAAAATATTTCAAGTTAAAATAACAATCCGGTAAGGAATATGAAATAGCATAAAGAAAAAAAATACAAAACAGCCAGGTTCACAGCCATTACTTCAAAATACAGTGGTACCTCGGGTTACATATGCTTCAGGTTACAGACTCCGCTAACCCAGAAATATTACCTCGGGTTAAGAACTTTGCTTCAGGATGAGAACAGAAATCGTGCAGCGGCAGCAGGAGGCGCCATTAGCTAAAGTGGTCTTCGGGTTAAGAACAGTTTTGGGTTAAGAACAGTCCTCCAGAACGAATTAAGTTCTTAACCTGAGGTACTACTGTAAAGTACATTCTCTACTTGGTGAATTAAATGTAACAACAAACCATATTGATGCAGAAAGAATACAAATTTAATGTTATGAATAATTGCATATTCCATCTCCATGTTTGGCTGACATGTAAGCAACAAATGGCTGCCAAATGGAAGTAAAATCCATAAATTTAGCTGCACCCTGAGATACCCTTCATTTATAAGCCAGTTTCTCAGAAATAAAAATAAACATTACCTTATTGAACCAAATATTGAACCAAACATTACCTTATTGAACCAAATTAAAGAAAAACCAAGGACTCCTTTCAGCCATATGATATGGTCAAATGATCAGCTTCTAATAGATTTACATAATAACTCTATTCAATTAATCAAAAATTGATGAAAGACAGAGTTTGGAGTTCAAAGGCACTGGTATACCTATTATTTTATTACCTTTTCCCAAAATTTGTACACATGTTTCCAAGACCACTACATGAGCCAATAGATTCTGTTAGGTTTTGTTAAATAAAAATAAATGTTGTTTGACACAGCGGGTTGATTGTTAACTCATGGTGACTTTAATCATTAAAAAACAAACAACATTAAATCAACTTTTTCTGTTTATTGTTTAGGTACTTCCTAAACAAGTATGTACTAATTAGTTGCTATAACCATAAATAACACATTGATTTAAAGTGGATCATGTCTTTATATAGCCTACTTTAGAAAAATGATAGAATTTGTATATAAAAATGCTTTGGATCATGTCAAGCTTAATTATAACTTAATGCCTGGGATCATGTCAAGCTACATTATAATTACATTGACTTGTTTCATGTAAACAGCACAATATGTAATTTTGTTTAAAATCTTTTTGTCATATAGTCACCCTGCACCATCTCACACAAAATAAAATGCTCTCCCTAAGAAGCAAAAGCTGCCAGTAGTTACTTAGTATATTGGGGTTCTTTATGAGATGGAAGGTAACTGTCCATGTCCTTTCATCGTTAGTCATAAATATGTATGACTATCAACTCTGAGCCAATTAATTTGTATGCACCCTGCTGTTTATATGCAAGCAATATTCCTTAAGTCATTTTTGCGTACAGACTCAACATGCAGATTTTGCTTATTTGTGCTATTTGATAAGTGAACTGGGGACACTGGCATATTATGGCATATTATATTAATAATTGGTATATTAGATTCTGTCACAGCTTCATTTTACAGGAGTTTGTTTCATTTATAATGTTGTTTTCTTTTTAAGAACCCCTCGACCAGTAATTGTAGAACCTATGGAGCAATTTGATGATGAAGATGGGCTGCCTGAGAAATTAATGCAAAAAACACAACAATATCATAAGTACGTTTTATACATTCACATTATAGAATATTAGAAAACAGGAAGTAAAGCTTTAACTCCTGAGAGGTGTGGATGTAATTCAAAAACTTGATTGTTGGTACCAGTAAAGCTAGCCATGACAATATACCTTTATTTAAAATAGATTGGTGACATATAATATGAACTAGGGGAAAACTGTCATGGTTGAAGGGCTCTGTTTTTGCCACAACAGAAGTGAAAGCTAATGGATAAGGATGCATAAAATTAGAATGCATCTCACTGGCCTCAGCCATAACAAAACTTATGAAATATCCTCACATTCCACACCAAAAAAAGCTGGCTGAATTAGAAATAGTGCAAGAGATGGGGCTAGCTCTAGCTTTTGGAGGGCTCTTGGTAAGATTTTGAACTCCTCCCCCTGCTTTGATGAGTGTCATGATCGCTTTTCCTCTTTGCCCAATTGGTTTCTCCCTCCCTCTCAGGATTGTGTCCAAAGGGATCAGTGGCAGGTAGTGAGGGGCACTGTCCCTTGCTGTCTCCTTGGTTGCTTATATGAGAGGTTCCCTGACTGAGAAATAGGGGCTGCACAGTAGCAAGCTGTTGGGAGAAGGTTCTGTCTACTGCACCAATGTGCCCCAATTGATTAAAAAAATTGCCCTGAACTGTTCCTCTTTCTATGTGTTTCATGCAGATGTGTGTTTTGAACACACAGGTGTGTTGCCTCTACATCTTGTTTGGCTTTAAATGAGCTAGATATAAGTAAAGAAACGAATTCTTTTATTTAGAATGCGTAAGGAAGACTTGCTTAAATAATGGAGAAATTTGTCAGTTAACTGCATTTTGCTGTGCCATTTATGAATGCCTTCTGTTCATGTGAAATGTGATGTGCTCCTAGGGAAAGAGAACAGCCACCACGTTTTGCTCAACCTGGAACATTTGAATTTGAGTATGCTTCACGATGGAAGGCTCTTGATGAAATGGAAAAGCAACAGCGGGAACAAGTTGATAGAAACATTAGAGAAGCTAAGGAGAAACTGGAGGCAGAGATGGAAGCAGCTCGACATGAGCACCAGTTAATGCTGATGAGACAAGGTATTTTGCATCCCTATTCTGTAATTTTTATTGCATAAACTGAATAATTACTGAAAGTGGTCTGTGTTGTCGCAGGAAATATATATCTAAAGTGTCTATACATTGTGAACATTTTCATACTTTTACAAGCCACAAGCAGGGATTTTTCAGGAAGTTTGTGCAATGTCCAGAGCTACCTGTAGGTAACCATACTATGACCAAACTTATTTGACACTTTGTATATGCTCTGATGCTATGTTCTACTCCATGATCCACAAATGCAAGCTTGCCTCCATTGAAATATTTTACTCCAGCCTTTATAAATGCACTAGGTCAGGAGTGAGCAACCATTGTTCCTTTTGTTATTAATGTATGCAGCATGTGTAATTCCTTTTTTTAAAAAAATCACAGTAGCAAAATAATAATAATACTGTGACTGGGGTCTAAAGTGCACATGTAATCTGAGACATGGTTTATAGGTAACATAACTTTTCATTGTGCTTTTTAGTGTCCATTTTTATATTGATAACTGTTCCTGTTAAAATGATAATTGCAAGCTGCTGCTTTGAATTTTCACAGATCTTATGAGGCGTCAGGAAGAATTGAGACGTTTGGAAGAACTTAGAAATCAGGAGCTACAGAAACGAAAGCAAATACAATTGAGGTATTCTATAAATCCACGCTAGAGGGCAATAGCCCTTAGATGTGTGAAATGAGATTTCATAACTCAAGAGATACCATTTTAAAACTAGCTCTAGTCCTCTGTAGCCTTTAAAACACATACATAGTGAATTGACTACTTAGAGACTGACTACAAAGTCCCATGACCGTGACACAGATGTGGGAGGTTGTGTCAGTAGCTGCCAGGGCTAGTGCCTTGTTTTCTTGATGCAACGCTTATGATGCCTTCTCTCCATCATTTTAGTTACAGGAATTATAGTATAGTAATTCAGGAACCTTAGAACTTGTTATAAAACCATTGCTTATATTTTGCTATGTTGAATGTTTACATAGGTTCTTGAGGTATCTAAAAGTAACATGGGGCGAGGATCAAATCGCTCTAAAATGCTTGTGAGTTGTTTAAAAACAGGGTATTAGAAGCTCAATTGGAGTCTATACTGCAGATGTGGAAAGGTATTATGAAGGCCAAGATGATGCCAGCATGGCTAATGAGCAGAGTCAAAGAAGCTATTATAGGCAAGAAGGCATCCTTCAAAAAATGGAAGTCTTGTCCAAATGAAGAGAACAAAAAAAGAATACAAATTTTGGCATCTGGTTGGCCACTGCAAGAACAGGGCAATTGGCCTGATCCAGCAGGCTCTTATGTTCTTATTGATGGAGAAAGTGGTCAAAATACAACAAATAAAGCAGAGAACAGTAGATGGATGATGATATCATCACCATCAATTAAATTTCTATACTGCCCTTCAACCAAAGATCACAGGGCAGTTTATAGTATAAAAACACAAGGATATGTAACATAATAACAAACAAAAACAATAACCCTTCCACATAGGGCCATAGATAGTTTAATTAGCCAAAGGCTTGGGAAGAAAAATGTTTTTGCCTGGTACAGGAAGCTGCTGCAGAAAAGGCCCGTTCCAGACCTCTTGAGGAGGCAGAGGAAGAAAGGCTTCAGATGATGATTGCAGCGTCTGGGTTGGTTCATATTGCGGCTATAGTTCTTCTAAGATTGAAAATCATGTTTTTGTGATATTGGAAGGGAAGGATTTTATAGTTTTTGGAATGAAAAGATGTAATAAGTATCTTAGGAAGATGCATTCTGTGCAAAACCATTAGACATGAAGAAGAACATAGGCGCCGTGAAGAAGAGATGTTGCGCCAAGAGGAATTGAGAAGACAGCAGGAAGGAGGATTTAAGTCCAATTTCATGGATAATGTAAGTAGAACTCTTATTTACTGAAATGGACACATGCTTTTCCTAAACCTGTTAGTGATAAAAGTATCATCTTCCTGTCTGCCTTTACTTTCTCTCCATTATAACTTACTTTCTTTAAAAGTTATTCCTGGAACCATTGTAATGATCTAATATTTGTCATAACTCCATAACAGAAAACAGTGGCCACATCTCTAAAGTAATAATGATTACTAACATAAATGATTACCCCCTTTCCTTTTCATATTCATTTCTAACTTATGTTGTCTATGGCTTAGATTCTAAGCATTAGTCCTAATAGAACAGAAACGACTGTCTGTACAATCCTCTGCACTGAGAGCAACTTTCAGAAAAAGCATGTGTTTCAGCTTTCCCAGGACTGTACTGCTTGTAATTTCCTTTGTGTCAAATTTGCACACACAAAAATGCCATTAATTCAACTCTGATTTTGTCTGCCGTGGAAGACTTTGTAGTACACATGAAGCAAGTGCGATATGATGAGAAACTAGTATACGGAAACGCAAATAAAGGGGTATTTTTGTTCCATTGTTGCTTTCCTCTTCTACATGGTACCAGTAAAAATGAAGAAATAATTATTGTAAATCACCTCAAATAATTATTCCAATGCAGAATTGCTAGATAGTGTCTTCTGTACATATACATACAAAATAATAATCTGGGAACATTTTCTATATCCTATTTAAAGATGTGTTTCCAGAAACAAACAGCTTCTAATGGTTTTGTCAAAGGCAAAAAAAGAAATACTGATGATTAAATGAAAGTGGAAGTAGTACAAAGAGAGGGGGAGAGCATTTCTTGAAAGCAGAGAAGGGTCAGAATTGTCATTTGGACCCTGTTGAAGTCATCCTTCAGGTTCATCTGTAAGAGGATATGTTTTTTAATGCAGGTTGTATTTGTCCATAGGAAGGAAATACAACTATAGCCACATTGGTATCCCTCTCCTGTCATTCACTGTAGCAGATGGGTCAGATGCCTGGACTTCTACCCTAGAGTCAAGATGCAAAATTTCCAGAATTTTTGAATACAAGGGGGGAAATTGCTTGGAAATTTGGGGAAACATGTAAGTTTGCAATATTTGGGCACCTAATCTAAAATTACTACTTTTAAGAATATAAAATATATTATGTAAACGAGGGGGCGCATACTTGTGTGAGAGAGCACATACTTAGGAAGCAGAAATTTCTAGATTCAGTCCCTGGCACTTTTAAGTTAGAAAAGAAATCTGGCAGCAGGTAATGAGAGAGACCTGTCTGAGATGCTAGAGAGCTACAGCTAGTCATAGAATGATAGAATTGTAGAGTTGGAAGGGAATCTCAACAAAAGCATAATTTTAAAAGAGAAAATGGTTCCTAAGACAGTTTCCATGTTTTCCATGGAATTTTTAAATAAAACTTTGGAAAAATGCTTCCCTCTACTTTCATATCTATATTGAAAGTTCAACTGCATGAATGGTTAGGAAGGTGCTATATAGTATGTTTTATAACTATGCTCACCTCTCATATTTAAACTTACATGCAGGTGAAATTCCCTAGAGAAGTTTGCTGAAATAAAATAACCAGAGTTTGCTGTGTTCCCACAGTTCTGTTATACGTCCTCGTATGGGTCTTAAATTCTGCTGTGCCTGCACCATTCTTAAGTGTTTTTTCCCCTCTGATTATTCATTTGTGTTGCACCTTTGATCCTTTATTGTCCCTGGTGATTTTTCTTCAAAGCTGGCGTGTGGAATGATTTGTAAATACTTTTGTCATGCTCTTCACCCAAGTGTTTCTAACTTTAATTGGAGAAAAGTCTTCAAATCATCTCCTGGAATTTTTTAAAAAAGTGTTATATTACAATTTTATGCATTTATTTTTTCTCATTTATGCTGTATCAGATATGATTAATGCATGAGTGCAGCACTCAATTACTCCGGCAGAATGTATTAGTTGCCTCCACTGAATTGTGTTCAGGGTGCTGTGAGATGCATGAAAACTGCTGTGCATACATGCAAACCATCAGTTGGTTTGTGAGAAATCCTCGTAAGGCAAATGTTATTAATGATGAAGATTAAATGATACATATTATCTGCTCATTTTCTTTAGCATGGGGAGGGGATATGAAACATAGGTTGTGAAATGTGTTGCACTTTTTTAAAAACCCCACCTTTAACCTAATGGATAGGGCGAGTTTTAAACAATATCTACATAATCTGGCATACTAATTTATAGTAAGTGGAATATATATGTAAATTCACAATATGCTATTTATTGAGTTATAACTTAACAATTTTGAAACTGTATTTGGTTGGTACTGTCCAACATGCACCCATAAATTTTATCATTTGGAGGCCTATCTTCTGTGGATATGACTAGTGGATGTGACTACTTGAAGTGGTGATCTGAACATTTTACGAAATCTGCTGTTCGAAAGAGGATAATCATTTAATGTAGCAGGTAGCTGAAAGTTTGGGGTGGGGGAGAGATGTTCATTTTGCTTTCATTCCCCATAATTTGCTTCTAAATCTACTTTGAAAAAGAAGTTGTTTTCAAGATGTTGCAAGATAGATGTAATTGCACTTGCTTGTAAGTAGCAGTAATAATTATCTTGAGGCTAATGTGCTTCAGCAGCAACACTTCATTCATGACTACTTTCCATAAAGCTGGTATGACATTTTTGCTCTATAAGTTAATGTTATGTTGGAATGTAGTATCATCCAGCTGTGTGTAGTTACTTAGCTAATGTTTACCTACAGTTTAATAACCTTTCAAAGTACTACAAAACCTGAAAGATTCTATAGCATTTTATGTAGTTGTGGGTCTTGGTCCAGCGGGTTAGCTTTTATGTAGAGAGCCCTGTTTGTCCAGGGCTTTTTCTGCTCTCTTCCAGAGGAAAATATGGGTGGTGCTCATGCATTCTGAACATTTTCTCGTGAAAAAAAGAGGGTGATCTAACTATACTAGTAGGGGGAAAATTTCACTCATATGTTTTCCTTGCTTTGTTAGAAGGGCACATCATCTACTCTCTTCCAGTGAATGTGGATAAAACCTGCATGTGTGAAGTCTCGGCAAGTTGCATATTAAATTAAGCATTTATGCTAACGTCTTTTCTATAATTTTGTAAACGTTTTAACTTAAAACGCTCCAAGTGAGTTGGCAGGTGCCTCCATTGCTACCTCTTAAAAGTTAGAAGGAAGACAGTGCAATAAACAGCTTTGCTTGTGTAACCCTAGGTAGCACAGAGTTATATGCCAGAGAAAAAGTTATTTAACTTGCCTACAGTGCAAATCACTGATAACTTAGGGTGCAGATTAGCACTTTTCTATTATCTTCCTAAAGCTAGCTTAAAAAGCAGTTCTGGGCAGTTTTGATTGTAAATATGAAATGTTTGTAATTTAATGCCTTTAATCAGTACATAGGTAAAAGCAATCATAAAATGAAATCATAAGAGAATTGTGGTAGAATATGTATTTTGCTTGCAGAAACTCCAGGTTCTATCCCCATCAACTTCTTTTAAAAGGATTAAACAGTAAGTGAGGCCACTGACAGAGACCTTGCAGTGCTGGTGCCAGATAGAGTAGGCCATACTTGGTTAGATGAAATGAGCATGATGTGAGGCAGCTTCCTATGTTTTGGAAAATTAAAAAAATATTCCTGTTTTTGCATTTCACCAATAGATAATAAACTTAATAGTTCCTATACAGCAGGGGTGGCCAACTCCCAAGGGACTGCAATCTACTTTCAGAATTAAAATCTGACAGTGATCTGCCCCCGTTTTTTAGGGGTTCAGGTAAAAGTGGTTGACCTTTTTATAGAGGAATGAAATACCCCGTTTTATGCCCATTTTGGGGGGGACCATGTTGGGGTTCCATGTTGGGGGGGATGACTTTGAAGAGGGAACAGGATTAGTTGCTCACCAAAACAGCTCTGTGAAAGCGTTTTGCCTCACAGCAAAAACTCCGTCTTCCATTACAGATATCAGGAGAAAATCCAGGCAGGGGAGAGGGGCCGGGTGCTCTTAGGCAAAAGCAAAGGAAAATGAGCCCACGTTCGACAGTAACCAGGGATGTCCAACAGGTTTGGTAGATCACGGTCAGTTTTTTTATAGTGGGAGTAGATCACAGTCTCTTGAAAGTTGGACATACCTGCTGTATACCATGCCATCTTCAATAGTTTTTATATCAGAGTATGTTCAGTTCTGACTTTATTTCTGTAATCCTAGCATCGGTATTGAGGATCCTCTAAAATTAGTATGTTTATTTGATTTTAATTTATGCTTTATACTGCAGCTAAGCACCAACAGTCGACGCTTCCTGTCAAAGTACTCAAAATTAGACAGTTTTTAAAGTCTTTACTTGAATTGTGTGTCTACCACATGGTGGTGCTAATCATTCAGTTGGTTTAGCATTTATTTTGTTTACTGAAAATGCTTTCATTAAGGGTGACTGTTTAATATGTATTGGCAGTTTGTGAAGTAAGTGAAAGACAGTTCACTTACTTACCTTAATGAAATTCCTAATTAACTTAGTACGTATTAGTAGTGACGCAATGAATATATTACTCTTGAGTTTTTTCTTTTCCTGAAATGTCTTTAAAGGCTGCTGTTCTCAGTAATGTTTCCTTGTGATGCACAGGGTATATGGAATAATTTGCCCCCCTTTTCCAGCTACCATCATCTGCAACCCTTGTCAAAATAGAGCCAGAGTGGTGTAGTGGTTAAGAGTGGTAGTCTCGTAATCTGGGGAACCGGGTTCGTGTCTCCGCTCCTCCGCATGCAGCTGCTGGGTGACCTTGGGCTAGTCACACTTCTCTTAAGTCTCTCAGCCCCACTCACCTCACAGAGTGTTTGTTGTGGGGGAGGAAGGGAAAAGGAGATTGTTAGCCGCTTTGAGACTCCTTCGGGTAGTGATAAAGCGGGATATCAAATCCAAACTCTTCTTCTTCTTCTTCTACTTCATAGCACTTTGCTTGTGACATGAAAATACAAGAGATTCTGTCTTAAACTGTAAGGATTGTTTTATTGAAGTTCAGAGGGACAATGACAGTATAAGAAAAAGTTTTGTCAAGTAAATTTACAGACTACTGAGTTTCAGCAGAGAGTTTTCCAACAGATTAAATTAGTGTTTCTCAAACTTTGGGTCTCCAGCTGTTGTTGGACTACAGCTCCCATCATTCCTACCTAGCAGGAGCAGTGGTCAGGGATGATGGGTACTGCAGTCCAACAACTGTAGGAGACCCAAGTTTGAGAAACATTTGTTTAAATAATGCAAAAACCATACTTCTCCCATTCCCAGCTTGGGATGGTGAGTAGAAGGGAAGAGATGCATTGGCTTAACTGTTGGACATTCAGTGAAAGTTTGCCCCATCTGAATATCCTGCAGGACTATTGGCTGCTGGAAAGACAACTGCAGTCTAGCTCTTTATGGGGTCATGAATTCTTTTGTTCCAAGAATATCACAGTTTGCTTATATTTAACCATGCCTACCTCAGAACCAAAAGTGGGCCATTTAATTTCTGTCTCCAGCACTCTGTCACCAAAAACACTTACAGTAAAGTGAATAGCTAACTCTCAGTACTAGAATGAGGGTTCATTCAGTTAAGCTGAATGTTGGGTGATACAAAAGGAAGTACTCCACACAGTGAGTGCGTAGTTGAATATAGAATTTTCTACTGCAGGAAGTTGTGATGGTTTGGACAAGCTATAAAAGGGGATTAGACAAATCCATGTAGGATAAAGCTGTCGATGGCTATTAGCAATGATGGATATGTTGAAATATCTGAGGCACTAGTCCTCAGAATAACCATTTGCTGGGTATCACAAGTAGGTTGGCCAGTGTGAGAACAGAATGCTGGACTAGATGTGCCTTTGATTTGATCCAGCAGTTATGGTCTTACATTCTTAACTGAGCTTTTTTGCTTGGGCATCAAGAATCTGGAGGAAATGTGTTAAGAAGACATCTTAACACTTCTTAACTGTCTGGGGAGTGGGGAGAATACATAACAGGGGTGAAAATATATTTAACTGAGGGATGTACAGTGGGGATTAACACGATCCAAGTTAGTCAAAACGGGAAAAATTAGTATCTGTGGATCAATTTTCATTCTGGCTGATGGGTTCTATTGCTAGGTCTACGTCCAAAGTTCAGGATATTCCTACTTCTGATAAATATATTTACTATTTTCCCCCACAACATTATCCCTCAGGATATATAGAAATAATGAAAGTAGGTGAGAAACAGGCTTGTGCCTTGGTGCCACAGGTTTATATAGAGCACCATGTTCTCATTGTTGAGAATACCAAGAGATTGACATTTCTGTGCTTGGGGTGAAGAAGGGACCCATCACCCTTTTTAATGTTTCCCAGGCCCTAGTGACTCTTCCCAAGTCTCATGCCATGCTTTGCCTGGGACAATATTTTGGTTACCTTAAATTCTAGTTTTTCATCGAGGTTTTCTGCTCCTTTGCTCATTTTAAACCCTTCTCCCCAATTCTCTGCTTTTTCTGCTGTGTTTCTCTTTCACCTGATCCTTATGGGAAAATCCAAATGTGTGGGGGAAAATAGAGAGAGAGAAGAGGATGAGAAGGCTTTACTTCCTCTCATTGGAGAAGAGGGAGCATGACCAAGTTGAGTCTGGGAATCCAGCTGTATTGTCTTCACCTCTTCATATACTTGCTAGCATTCATGCATGCTAGTTGTATTTAAGTGCAGTCTCCCACACTTCTTTCCTCTAAACCTCTTGCCTACTTAATATATTTTGTTTAAGAAGGCTTTTCCTGGGGTCTAACTCAGTCATTTAAGGAATGTCAATTGTAGAGCCCCAGAAATAGTTGTATTGTTTTTAGAATGTGTAAATATGGTTTTATTTTATTTTATTTTATAGCTCGTTGAAATGATTTCATTATTTTTAGAATTTGTATTTTGATGTCCTATTTCATTCTTCTACGCTGCTTAAATGGTGTTATTGCTGTGAGGTGGTCTATAAATGTGTTAAATAAACTCCACAGGTTTCTGTCTATATCTGTGCCATGGACAGAAACTGGGGAGGAGCCATCAGGGACTGAGATGCATACTGAAGCTAGTCAGTTGACTGTTTGCCTGTCCCCTGGGTGGAGGAATGGGTTAACCCATTAGTTGATGGGTGCCTTGTTCACTCTAGGAGAGAAAGCATCTTCAAGGTAAGTAACCAGTGTATCATTTATGTGTAACCACTGCTCTGTTTCTGTTATTTTCTTGCTTCTTTGATCACAGTTTTGCATATTCAGTGGTACCGCGGTTTAAGAACAGTCCTGTTTAAGAGCGATTCGGTTTACGAACTCCGCAAAACCGGAAATAGTGTCCCGGTTTACGAACTTTACCTCTGTCTAAGAATGGAATCTGAACGGTGGAAGGGAACTGGTGGCGGTTGGTTTAAGAACACTTTTGGTTTAAGAACGGACTTCCAGAACGGATTAAGTTTGTAAACCAAGGTACCACTGTAGTAGATCTTTGCAGTGTGCTTGCTCACTATACAAATTGCTTTACTTACTATACAAAAGGACAAAAAGTTTATTCAGCAGTACTACTGATCCCTTCAGTTTTTTAATACGGTAATTTTTTGGTAATTGGATTTGCAGCTAAAATAACTTGTGAGATTTTCTGATTCCATCCAGGTTAGAGATACAAATGTTGACCCCTTTGAATGCTTATACTTTCTTTTCCATGGCATGTTGTTTGCAGTTTGGTTCTACAACATTTATTACAGAGATAAAGATAAGGCTTCTGTCATTCAATTTGATATGCTTCAAGATACAACTGATTGCATGATGTAAATCTTTAGCCACTTAAACTTGTGAAAAATGAACTGTGCTCTTCGTAGGTGACTGAAGATCACTTCATAGCTGATGAATTTCCTATATGCATATTACTTTTCATGCATGATGAATATATTTGGCTGTGGTACATGTGTGCTTAAGATTATGCTTATTTGGTCTCCTGATTGTCTTCCATCCAGGCTATTGATCAGTTCCATGTCTGCTTATCTGACCATGCTGTGCCATCAAATGTTTCTATACCATTCATTGAGTTAGAATTTACAAACATTCTAAACAGAAGTGGCATCCATGTAGGAAATTAACATATATGAAGCATTTCTTTTTAGTTCTCTTGGCTTGAAGAATGGGGATCTGTTCAGTATCATGTTAAGGCACTGAAGTTTTATAAGGCTGAGCCACCACCCACCCTCCTATTTTGCTTGTCCGTATTCTCAGCAGTTCACTGAATAGATCTAAGAAAATGTCTGATAATGGTTTAATTGCTTAAAATCTTAGTATTTCTCAATAAAAGGGCAATGGTGAATGCTGTTTTCCCGAAGATTTCCCTTTCATAGGTAAGCACTTTTTACAGTCAGGACTTCGTTAGTGAAATAAACTTTTTGGATATTAACTAGAAGTATGCCTGTATACTTAATACATTTTTAAATAGAACAAATGTGTGCTATAATTTGCTAATATTCTCAGTTCCTAATAATCTTCAATTGCCAGCATTATAAAAAGTAATATGAAACTACATTACATGTCATCTATGCAGTAGGAATGTAATAAAATTATTGTCTATCATGAGTGGTTATGTATACCCCTCATGCTTCATTCTACCTCTTTGTACTTATATGTACCTACCAAATGATCCAACCTCTTTTGTCAGTAGGCCTTGTAATGTTTTTTCTCCTGTTAGACATGGGTCATCCTTCTGCCTTGTATAAGGTTTTGGATAATTAAACTGACATTCACAGCAGTTGCACTGAATTTTCTACAGTTATGATTGGCCCTTGTCCCCCCCTCTGTTGTATTTGAAGTATTGATGATATCACTGCAGCTCATATGTTTTTATGGTGACAGGCAGCTTGTTGTTCACGAAATCCATGCTGCGTCTGAGGTCAATTGGAATATGCATATATTTAATTGTGATACACATAGTTTTTAATTATTATTTTAAAAATACATTTAAAATATTTTATGTACAGTAGTTATACTATGGTACAATCTGACATGGTCAACTTTAAATAAGAACCTGATTGTGCTGGAACTGTATAAAGACAATAATAGTTATTATTATTATCATTATATTTATTTATTTATTTAATATGCCACCCATTCTGCTGGGTTGCTGGTTTCCTAGATCCAACACCATCTAGGAAAGGATTGCTGTATGTATTGTGAATTAAGTCTAGAAAACAAAGTCTTGGCCATTGGGGACAGCCCCATGAAATTGTTTCAATTGTTTCAATGTATTTAGAGATATTCTTGATCTATTTATTTTTCGTTTCTCTAAGAGAATTAGCTGAATGAAGCAAATAGTATTTTTCTTGTGGGAATAAACTTCAGAAAAGGTGTTCCAGCTTCCTACATAAGCTTGCTTGAAGAATGAGATGAAAAAATGCCTTAAAAATGGATGTGATAGTTTTACATTGGTTGGTGATTATTGTACCTAAGAATTAAATATACACAAACATGTCACACGATGTCAATTGAATTACTATGTCGAAAATCTTCATATATTTACCTGACAATAAGTCCAGTCTTGAGGGTTAATTCTTTTTTGCCAGTCTGTACTGTCAAATATATTTAAGAATAACATAGTATAGATTTAATACGTGATTTGCTGAGCTGTGCAACCACACCTGGATGTATATTTGAGGGAATATTTTTATTTTAATGGAAACCTTAAAAATAGTTTTTAGAAGGAATACATTTCTTCCTGTCCATTAATGCTTAGCCGTTAGGCTCCATTAATTGAGAAAATAAATAATAACAAAAAACTTGTGAATCCAGTAAGACATTTAAATGAATACTTACGTTTGAAAAATAATAATATATATATACTGTATGTACGAGACATGTGATTTATTATAGTCATTCTACAGAATGAACATTTGCTTATGTATTATAGTGAGACACTTACTGAGATGCTGGTGCTGTTTTGCAGTTTTTAAAGATTGGATTTATGGTTGACGCAATGGAAGTTTCAACCTTAAATCTGGTTCCATATCCAGCTTGGTTCAATATTTTGATTTCAATGCTGCAGGTGCAGAAAATCTCCTTTCATATAAATATTGTAGCAAAAGGCACAATGTGCTTCACAGCTTTATTGGATATTTCCAGGTATTTAGAACAGAAGTCAAGACAGGTGCTTTTGAAGTCAGCCGGAAGAATCATGCTAGGAAAGTTCTGTTAAACTGTCTTGTTCTTTTGAAGTCAGATCGGAGAGTACAGCAATATCAACACTCACAAAGGGGTTTCTAATCTAGTTGTATCTTTTCTCGGGAATGGGATACTGTACTTGGAGGCTTTGCACGTGTTCATTTATGTCGATAACCGCATTTGTGATGCGATTAACAAATCTGAAAGACATAAAAATGATAGGACTGATTGGCTCAATGAGACCACAGACTTAATTTTTTGGTCATAGCTTCTATTTTTATCCTTAACTTTGAACATATTTATGGCCTTTCCCTGAAGACTTGATTCTGTACACATGGCTGGAAATAGCAGCTAATATGCCAGTTTTGCTAACCAAGAAAAGTAACTCGAGTAATGTGGAAAATGAAATTTTGAAGCAGAAAAGTCTTCAATTTATCCTGTACTTTGAATAGGCAAGTGAGAGTAGTTGAATCTTGATCACTGGTTGTCTCCTCAAATAGAGCTGCAAAAATTAAGGCGCAAGCCTTAATGAAATTAACAGTTTATATAGATTCATCTGAAATAGTCCTAAGCTCAATATGTATTTTTTTCTTTGCAAGTGATTCCCTGTTCTCCTTTGACTGACAGGTAACAGGGTAGGTTGATAACAGTTGTCAATTATTTGGCCATTCGCTCCACACTTTGCATTCTGAATTTGAGTTAAGTTCTAATGAGGGACAGGAAAAACAGGCTCCTGCATAGTGCAGAAAGTTTAAACATGCCTTCCTTGCACCGGCGGGTGGTAAAAGAAATCAAGCGCATGCATTGGTAACTTTCAGACTTGATTACTGCAGGGCTTGGTCCTGGTCCAGAAGCTCCATTCTTCACTAGCTAGACCACTGGTCCCCATTCTTTGCCAGTGATGCAGAGGACTCTTATCCCAACTAGAGGATGGCCAGTATTTATTTCTTTATTTAAATTGTATAGTGCCCTATACCCAAAGAACTGAGGGCAGTCCTTCCTTATGTTCAGGATTCTCCAGTAAATTGGCGTTCATTATTCATGGCTGGACTTGCCGATCAGAAGGTTGGTGATTTGAATCCCCGTGACGGGGTGAGCTCCCGGTGCTCGGTCCCTGCTCCTTCCAACCTAGCAGTTCGAAAGCACGTCAAAGTGCAAGTAGATAAATCGATACCGCTCCGGCGGGAAGGTAAACGGCACTTCCGTGCGCTGCTCTGGTTCGCCAGAAGCGGCTTAGTCTACGCCGGCTCCCTCGGCCAATAAAGCGAGATGAGCGCCGCAACCCCAGAGTCAGTCATGACTGGACCTAATGGTCAGGGGTCCCTTTACCTTTATTCATGGCTGAGATAAGGACTTCTTTGATCCTGAAATGATTGCATTCAAAGGTGCATCAAAGGTCAGAATGCTTCAGCCGAAGCAGAAGCCAGAGGTTGCTTTGTGTGACACTGCAGTCTGGCCTCTGATACTTAGTGTGAAGTATATATCAGGATTCGTGCCCCAAAGGCTTTGGGACATGCCTGGATGTTGAGTGAAGTGAAGTAGCAGAACTCTGGTGACTCGTGGGCTTTAAACAGACACAGAATGCAGCAAAATCATCAGTAGAAAGTTTACTAAGGCAAAATAGTTTTACATTTGGGTACCAGGTCCCTGGTACAGCAGTCTCAAGCTCAATTCAGAGCATAATCTAGTTACAGTATAAAAATTCCACACCAACGTAAAAACTATATACACAGAGAGAATAAATCAAAGCAAGTACATTAACAGGAATAAAGAATGAGACTGAGTAGGATTATAGCAATTATAGCTAGTCCAGGGGTTGTATGACCTTGGAGGAAACAGATAACACAGTATAAAAACAGCAGCTGCATTCCTGCTCCCTAGAGAACTTTTGAACGCTAGAATATACTAGAACACTTCTGTTAGCTTCTATAAGCTTCTATTAGTTTCTGTACTTCATAAAAGTCATCATACCCTGACAGTATACCTTAAGAGCCAAACTGTTCTAGCCACAGCCCCTTCTAACCTTCAATATGAACAGCATTTGCTTTGGAATTCTCATTAGCAGGCCTGTGTTTTAAATATTTTCTCACATACTATGGAGTGTGTTAAATCCTCACCAATTCTACTCAGAAGTAATTCTGGTTGAATTCAGTGGTGCTTAAAGGTAAAGGTACCCCTGCCCGTACGGGCCAGTCTTGACAGACTCTAGGGTTGTGCGCTCATCTCACTCTAGAGGCCGGGAGCCAGCGCTGTCCACAGACACTTCCGGGTCACGTGGCCAGCGTGACGAAGCTGCTCCGGTGAACCGGCACCAGAGCAGCACACGGAAACGCCGTTTACCTTCCCGCTATAAAGCGGTACCCATTTATCTATTTGCACTTAAGGGTGCTTTCGAACTGCTAGGTGAGCAGGAGCTGGGACCGAACGACGGGAGCTCACCCCGCCACAGGGATTCGAACTGCCGACCATGCGATCGGCAAGTCCTAGGCGCTGAGGTTTTACCCACAGCACCACCCGCGTCCCCAGGTAAATGGTGCTTACTCCCAGGTAAATGGGATTGGGGTTGCAGCCTGAGTTAGAGCAGGAACTCAATCATATTGTTCCAGTACTTCTATCAGTTGCTCAGATTCCCATTCCAACTGTGGACCTAATTCAGATTTCTGGTCTTAGTCTCTTAAAGCTCTAAATGGTGTAGGACCAGGCTTCCTGAAATACTGCATTCTCCAAAATAAACCTACTCAAACCGTGAGATTCTCTTCAGAGGCCCTACCAAGCAAAGTGAGGCTGGGGAATGCTACTTAATGGCCTTCTCAGTGGTGGTATTTCAGATTTAGAATGTCCTCTCCAGAGAGTCTGTGGTAAATCTGAGTGTGGTTTAACTTTTGAACTACAGTTTATAAGTTCTATATGTTTGGGTTGTCAGTGTTCTCCATGCTAGAAATTTTAATGCAGCCTTTTCTTTTTAATGACCCTGTTTTCATTTGTATTTTGTATCACGTTGTAAGTTGCCTTGAGAATAGTGCTGTTGGATACTTTTCTACTACCTTTTGGTGTATTCCTGGGGTGAGGTGAACAATCTGGTGTCCAATTTCAACTATATTAAAATCTTGGATTTCTCCATTGATTAATTTGGGCGGCTCTCACTTTTAACTTTGGAAACATTTGTGCATGAGTGGTACCATTTTGGCTTAATAAGGACCACACTTGAAGAATGAATTTGCTACTATTATAGGATTAATAAGGATGATAGGACAAATGATGTGAACTTCCTTTTTTGCTTCTTTGATACAGAGGAAGACTCTGGCAGTATCCCAGCAATAATAGCTTGAGGCTGTATAGAGGGAATGGTAAAATGTGGCTCTGCACTTGCTCATGGAGAGATACAATGGAGAGCTTATTTGTGGTAGACATCACCCGTCACAACTTCAGAAGATGTGCAGTTTGCCAAGGAGCCTTCATTTGCTGTAAACTGTCAGTTTGATACTGAGTGAATGTTTCAAATTACTTTATTCTCATTTAGATGTTCTCCTTAAACTATACGAAACAGCAAAATACCAGTTTTAGAGTAATCCAGAGCTGCCCCTGTGCCTCAAAGATATGAAATATTTATTTTTGTGTTTGCAAAAAAAAAAAAAAAGTATTCAAAATATTTCCCCATCTTGTGTTGGCAGATTATTTTTTTGGCCCTGAACCAATTGCTAGGTTTGTTCCTTCATTTCACTTCAGTAATCTGCCCTATATATTGAATTTTTTACTTTTTCTAACTAATACAGAATGCTATGTTTGCAGGTGTTTCCCAAAAGCGGCTTGCTATCTGAGGTGCAACTGCAGTGCTAGCTTCCTGGGTGGTCGGGTGCTGTTGTTTACTGAGAGGAGGAAGGGCAAGTTGTTGAGGAGGTCAGGAGATTAGCACAACAACGTTGGCTGCAGTGATGTGTTTGCGGTATGCCAACCCCTACCTTACTCTTAAGCGCTAGCAGCCCAACTGCTAGGAAGCTAGTGTAATGGCTTCACTGAACCTGACGAAACACTGCCGGTGTTTCCTCTGCAAAAGTTTAGCTTTCTGCAAAAATCATAGGTGGAATGTAAATCCTTTTGCTAACACAACTGACAGCTAATGGTTGTGTGACATGGCTCTCTCAGAAAAAGGTGCTGAAGCTGGGGAAAACAAAACAGATTTTGGGTGCTCTCCCACTGAAGATGTCCCTTACTGAATGTAAATATTTTGTGGACTGACATCTAGGGGTGATGAGAGTTACTTTCTCTAAGGAAAAGGTAAGATATTTGAGAGAGTAATTCTGGGGGTGTTGCCAGACATCACCCACCCATTTTTGCTTTTCAAAGGGTAACTCCTCCAGTTAAGTGTGAATCTGATGAAAATAAGTTTGATGTACATATACAATGTGATGTAAAATACATGATGATCGTATCTAATGTGAAACGTAATATGAGCCATACATTTAGGAACGCTTGCATTTTCTTTTCTTTCACAATTTACCTGAACTGCCTAGTGAGCAAACTGGGCTTAGTCAACATCACTGCATAGAAGTATGAATGATTTCTTTTTGTAGATGCAATTTGCACTTTGATTAAAAGGTTAATAGTTGTAATGGCACAGAGGTTTCGGGATGAACTACAGAGACCCCATACCATTTCGGGAGCAGAGGCAATTACGGTCCAATGCAGCCATTGCTAATCTGGGGGGTGAGATTCTTCCTGCACTACTGGGACTCTCCTTGCCATTCAGATTTGAAATGGCGAATCACAGCCAAGCTGGTGGGCAGTACTTGAGTGGCAGACCTCTCTGGAGCCTATTTTTCTCTTGAACATTTAAACCGGCTGCACAGAGGTTTCAGAATGAAATACAGCTGAGCGGTTTTCACAGTGAGGTGTTGCCTAATTACTCCAACAAAGCTTCCCCCCCCCCCCATTTTCTGTTGACAAAAGTTCAAAGTCCTTCCCACCTCTAAATCATACAACTTTCTGTCCATTGTTTTGCATGTGTTATTTGTCCAGGTACATACAACCTACTTCTCTGCTATAATAGTACACACATTTAGCTGTAGAAATTTTATATTTCAGCTGTATTAGCCTGGAGGTTATGTGGTATTCTATCCATTTTGTGTTGTTTATGTTGACATTACAAGTATTCATGTTCTGCTAAATTTTTATTAAAACTGTCTTGGAACATACTTACATACAAATATGGAATATTTGACTGCATGTCTAACTTTCATTTGTACTTCTGAATACTGGTTTTTAGTACTTCGTGCTAACAATACTACTGCTTTTCCTGAAAGAGCATACGACACTCTTGGTTCTGTGAGTCTATTAATGACTTAAGTAGAACTAAACACTTTATAATTCTGCATTTTCTTGAATTTTTTTTCTCCACATGAGAAAATGTATCATATTTGGGAAAGGGGTACCTTAAAAAAAATTCTGAAAATGGGTTTTCTCATTTAACCTATGATATTTGCACAGTTCCATTCTTGTGACTTCAGTGGAGTCTGCAGTCTGTGCTAAGTTGCAATCGATGTCAGGGGCGCATGGCTTCTCTCAGTATTCTAAACTGGCTTGTAAACATATTGTATTGAAGCTGTTTGAAATCTGATGCTTCAATATTTATAAATTTTATTAGGAAGTTTAATACTGTTACTGACCACTTTTAGTCTTACAGTAATTTTAATATTTTTGGTTTTAATCTTGTAATGGTTGGATATATTTATCAGAACAGCTTATTTTTGTAGATCTGCTTGACTTTTCATGGTTTTCTTGTGTGTATTGCCTTAGGTTGCCTCTGGTTGTAAGGTGGGAAAGTGGAAAACTGTGTGTCTTGACTTTATTATTCTGTGTTGCAGTTTTTAATAACTCCATTCTGAATTTCTTCAAGTTATCTATTAATGGAATTGTTTGAAAACCCACACAAACTTTTAATCTCCAATAATATCTGTGTTCTACTAGCCTTTTGACTTCACTAAAAAGTCAGCTTACTCCCCCTTCCCCACCCCATTTTATGAATGCTACCATTAAGTCCTAATTTTGCTTTTGATGAATATTGTTCCATCTCTTCTATAGACCTGGTTTTTAGTAATGAATTCAACACCTGTGTTTTGCATGATTTGGATTGTAAGGGATAATATATTAATAGTTGTGTCTTTTCTTAATTGCACAGTTCAGTGTACTTGCACATTAATGATCTCAAATGATAAGTAGTATGATTTTAAGCCCATATGGCAGGATTGTAAACAAGTCCAATAACACACAGAGACACTTAATCTTCCACCTACACATAGCTTTTAGTTATTTGAAGACTTGAAAAAACCCCTTCATTTTCAATTTTCTGAGTTTGCTTGCCTGATTCTTACTGGCCGAGACCATTCTTAATTCAGTACAGGCTACTGGAGTATTTGCTCACCTGCCTTAAGACAGTGACCTACTGCTGCTATGACTTTTTACTCCTAATTGTATTCTATATTGTGAGTTTTCTTAATTTATGGCCATTGCACATAACGCTTCCAGTCTGAAACATTTTAAAGACTTCAAGCAGTATCATTCCAAACTGCCCATTTTTTTGATAATATGTGCTGTTATTAAGGCTCAGAAGAAGAATAACTAAAAAACAACAATATAAGCAACACTACATACTTTCATGCGCTTAGGGTCAGTACATACTGTTTGTTCTGAATATCACAGGATTGTGAGAAGAATCATACAAACAAATTAAATCCCTATACACTAATCTAAATTGTTGCTGATTTTCGATCATGGTAGTTTTTTTATACTGTCTTGGAGTGCACTACGACCTGGTGCAGAAGTAATATTTCTCAAGCTATTATCTATTGTCTGTTTGGGGACGAGAACATTGCCCCTGTGGCACTGGATGCCTGTGCACCAAAGCTCAAGAATGTACAAGTTTGAGTTGAGAGTACGCAGTCCAGATGTGTAGTCAACCTCTAGGGGCTTGTTTGGTTGTTACCCACCTCTTTGATTCTGCCAGGTTTCTGATCAGAAGAGAGTCTCAACTTCATTTACTCCTCCTTGTTCCTTTGACCTTGAGCAAAAATAACATTTACACGAGATCCTCTAACTATAGATATGTCAGTTGGAAGAGTCTTGTGTATTTACACTTTCTCAGCAAGCCCCAGAATGTAGGACTTCAATAATTTACTAAGTTTTAAAACTTCTTTTTTTGCAGGATTCCTCTGATTTTATGTAAATCAGAAAATTTGATTTATTTTGTAATAACTGTGACAAATTAAGTTTTGCTGTTGCTTGAAAAGATGAGAATGTTAAAGTAATAAGTGATAGGTTGATTGTGAAAATTATGTTTACTTTCAGAGAGAACAGGAAATGAGAATGGGTGATATGGGTCCTCGTGGAGCATTAAACATGGGAGGTAGGGATCTGAAGCAAAAGGCTCTTGTTATTTCAAAATTTATTTGAGACTGTACATGTTACTTATGAGTATTATACATTGAGAAGTATTCTTGAAATATTTATTTCTGTAGTGAATCTTGTTCTTCAGGGTTTTTTTTGTTTCAAATGTGAGTTATCTTACAATTAGGAAAAAGCAAATGAACATACAAAATATGGGCTGGTGGGTTGTTACTTTTTTAATTTTAAGACTGTTTCTGAAGAAAAGCAAAATACGAATTGTATCTAATACAAGAAGAAAAGGTTGTGGGTTTTTTAAAATTACTTCTTGAGATTCACTTATTTAAGTTTTTGAATATGTTGCCATTTATGGAAGATGATTCTGGAAAATGATTGGAAACAAAGTACAATTAACATTTATCAAAGTCTCCTCATTGTAACTGGCATTAATGAAGCACCTTTGTGAAAATTTCATGCTCTATTAAGTTTAGCACTATGTATTCAGTATCACCACAGTGATTTATTATGGGGCAGCATCCAATTGTCTGCTATGGTTTATCAACTGAGAAAGTGCTACACTCCTTCATGCTTGAATTCCCCCACTCTTCTAACCATGGCTAAGATTTTGTGGCCATTACTGCTTTCTACTTATATTTTCTGACCATTCCGAAGAAACCATATTTGGACCTAAAGTCATTATCTAATTTACCTTGTTGAGGCAAGATGCTCAAAAGGGTGGTAGCTGCACATGCTTCAGCTAGTCTTGGATGAAGCTGATTACCCAGATTCAATTCATTCTAGTTTCAGACCTAGGTTTGAAATTGAAACTGCTTCGGTTGTCTTCACAGATGAAATGTGCTGAAGGAGGGTAAGAGGAGAGTGATGCTGCTGATTCTGTTGACTAAGAAAGCATTAAACAGTCCTGATTTATCTTACGGAATATTGCCTTCTGCATGAGCCTCCCTGGCCCTTTCGATCTGAGTGTGTGACCTTGCTTCTCCTTGCTTCAGATTCCACCTTGTGTGGAGACTGAGCTGGCCTACAGAAGAAGTGAGGCTTTTACCATTGCAGCCCTGAAGTTGCTGAATGTCCTTCCATAGGACCAACCAGAAAAGCATTAATTATATATAGCACTGGGCAAACTAAACAAACAATGGATAATAAAGAATAAATTTGGGTGGGGGGGGAGTGCGTATTCTTGCTGCTTAAAATTAAACCATGGTTTAATTTGAGCCGGTTAGTATTGGGTTAGTATAAATTCTGAAAGCAAAAAGCTTCCTTTTGTGAATGGAAGCGCTAATTAAACAGCATGTGTTTTAAAATGGGCTGTCTGATTGAAATAATTCTTTAAAAAATTATTTAAGGTTCTTAGTGCGCTTACAGTGAACAAAACTTCTATGAACACTGTCTTTAGAAATAGATCCAGGAATTTTACATGCAACCAGCACACCCAAATAGGCTTGACTGCACATGTTTAAGAGTGCCACCCACATTTAACCTGCTGGAAAGATGTGTAGTTTACTCAGTGAATTTGCTGTAATTTCCAGATTTGTGGACAGAGATGGTGGGCAAGATGTCTTGTTGCCCATAAGTATACAACTGAGGCACAGCATTTTGATGTGCACTTCTGGCAGGCAGACCTATATTGAACTTCAAGCACTTTAGTATTGGAGCATAGGTCTTTCCTCTCTCTATTACTAGGAAAGAAAGGGAGAGGCCTAGTTAAGTCGAATTGTCTACATAAACTACAGAAAGCTTGGTCAGCTTTGGCACCCAGATTAATTCATACATGTGCTCAAATATTAGCCTTATATGTAATAGAATGAAAGTTCATTTTACTTGTCAGTTTGTTTAAGTTCTTTGTTTACTTATGTTTAAGAAATATGCACTTGGTTTGAATATATAAGAATCCTACTACTTCATCATTGTTCTAACCAAGCTTAGCTTGAGTAATTTCCCCAACAAAACCGTGTGTGTGTGTGTGTGTGTGTGTGTGTGTAAAAAACACAGTTGTGGCTGAAGAGTCAAAGTCTAGCTAAATAGACTTTATTGAAAATACTTTATTTGAAGCATTAAAATGACAGCTGAATATCATTTTATAGCTGTCCTTAACCAAATGCATAGAGCATACAATTCTTGTCACTCATCTCTGTTTCCTGGCACTGGTAAAATTAGAATCCTAAATTCTATGTTTCAGAGCCAAAGTAGGTTTCATGGGGGAAACAATATTCTGTTTCTTCATGTTTCTGCCCTCCTTTCATGTGAAGCTGGTGTGGTAGAGTAAAGCTGATTTTTCCACCCAAAAATCATGCATGTTAACCTCCCTCTGCTCTTATAATCCTAGGCATTTTTCTGCCAGTCCAGCTTTCTTTGTTTAACAGATAGGAAAGACGTACAGGAGTGATGGAGTGTGGCAAGATAGTTTGTGTGTGTATAAGGTTCAGGTCTCATTCATATGCCTCTTTTTCTATAACATACTGAACATAAACCCCTGCCTTAAATGTAATGGGACACTGACTTGAATATACAAACATGTCCCTAAAATCATGGATCTCACTCTTGCTATCTCTCTCTCCCTGTGTGTGCGCGAATATTTTTTAATACAGTATGATGATTCCTTCTGCATTTCTATAATGTACAGTTCACGTCTTAACTCATGGGTATTACTATTTTCCACTACAAGTCAATGTGCAGCTGTTTTTATAAATGAAGAGGTTAACTACTTGAGTATAAATAAGTACAATACGTTCACAAAGTTAAGTGGATTCATACTCTGATTAGTAAAGCTGAATAAGTTGCCTACTACTTGAACAGAAATACCTCTGGGTGACTGCTTTCAGTTTCATTCATTCTTATTTGCGCACATGTGATAGTATCTTCTACCGTAAACCTCTTAAGTTAATTTTATTTGTCTTGTGATTCAAATTTATTTGCTAAAAACCATGGCGGGGGGGGGGAGAAGCTATGAAAAAGCTGCGTTACACACAAATGCTGGCACCAGGCCTCTTTGGATTGGGGCCAACTTGAAAGTTACTGCAGTTACCTGTCTGAATTGGTAACTTTATGGAAAATAAGTAGAGCTGAAACCTATAAACAGTTTAAGCACTTAATTTCAGCAGTAACTTTCAGTAACTAACTTTTTCTTAAAACTTTATGGTGGAAGTAAATGTACAGTCTCAAAGGATAAAAGCAATTTGTTCATTTAATTGATGTTTTGTATAGTTTGTTGTTATTGTAAATTTTAAAATTCAGTTAGGACAGCTCTAAGTGTAGACTGTTTTGCATAGATGCCTTTAGCCCAGCACCTGCTGGAAACCAAGGTCCTCCTCCTCCACCTCCAATGATGGGTATGAATATGAACAACAGAGGAACAATGCCTGGCCCTGCAATGGGTCCTGGTCCTGCCTTGGGACCAGAAGGAGCTGCAAACATTGGAGCCCCAATGATGCCAGATAATGGAACTGTGGTAATGTATCACAAAATTTTAATTTTGTCTCTACATTGTGGCACATCTCTTTGCTGCAAAGATAACTTCACGCTAAAACTTGTTTAGAATAGACCTTTGAGTTAATAAATACCCTTTGAGATTGAAAAATAATTGAAAAACAAACTTAACTGCAGTCTTGTTGATATTGTTATTGACATGTATTAAAAGTGATTATACCCAAGAATTATGTACACAGAATTAATTGCCAAAATTGTTTTACAGCCAGAAGGCCGTTTTTCACACTTTTGCAATGATCAAAGTAGAGGAATGCAAAAACAAAACAATATATTATTTTATAGACAACAAATATAATTGGTTATTCTTATTTTGCTGTATTGGGGCAGGTAAACCTATAATATGATTGCTGTTGAAATGACACATAGTGTGAAGATATCTTTGATTAAGTGAATCTTAAGTACAAATTTAATTTGTTAACATGCTAGTGTTATACAAGTGAGGCTACAATTATAGAACCATCTGTGTGACTCAACACGCGGAATAGCTTCTTCAGATGGTTGGGTATAATTCACAGGTGGGCAGGCTGTGTTGGCAGACTGCATCTGGTTCTTGGCTTAATTTTAAAAACCATCTGCAGTGTGATCAGACCAGACCTCTGGCAAGAACATCCTTCTTGCAGGTCTAGAATGAAAAGAGGTGCCCCATTCAGTCAGCATGTGCTCCCTGACAGTTTATCCCTAAATGAATGTTGCCCTTGGCGAGAAAATGGTTGCCTACTCCTGGTTTAAGTTAACAGATAGAACTTTCTTTGTTGTGTTTTCCTGTATCAGTTTATTTTTGCTGAAAAGTCAAGGTGATTTTTAAACTTTTAAACAGTAAAAATGATTGCAGTGGAAACAACAGATGAAGCTCTTGCTGTCTCTGATACTCTCCAATATCTTGAAAGCTAGGCTATTTCTGCTCATACTGATTTTGAAGAGAAGTATATCAGCACCAGTTTTTTCTATGTATTTTACTCAGAATACTGTTTTCATGAGGGACGTGGGTGGCGCAGTGGGTTAAACCACAGAGCCTAGGGCTTGCCGATCAGAAGGTCGGCGGTTCGAATCCCCGCGACAGGGTGAGAGCTCCCGTTGCTCGGTCCCTCCTCCTGCCAACCTAGCAGTTTGAAAGCACATCAAAGTGCAAGGAGATAAATAGGTCTCCTATTTCCGGTGGAAAGGTAAACAGCGTCTCCGTGCACTGCTCTGGTTTGCCAGAAGCGGCTTAGTCATGCTGGCCACATGACCTGGAAGCTGTACGCTGGCTCCCTCAGCCAGTAATGTGAGATGAATGCCGCAACCCCAGAGTCGTCTGCGACTGGACCTAACGGTCAGGAGTCCCTTTACCTTTACTGTTTTCATGACATATAGACTAGTCGGTTTAATAGGTCCCATGTAGCATGCAGAATACTGAAAGAGGCAGGTGGGCCTTTTTCTCTTCTCATAAGGGAACCAAAGGAAATTGGCCTATATTATGTTAACATTTAATAAAGGGAAGGACAATATACAGTGGACCCTCTGGATATGAATTAAATTCGTTCTGGGGGTCTGTCAGCAACCTGGAAAGTCCGTAGGCAGAGGCGCCGCTTCTGCATGCAGCGCGATTGAGCGTTTTTGCGTATCTGCACAGAGCGCTTCTGCGCATGTGCGTGTGGCAAAACCCAGAAGTATACACTTCTGGGTTTGCCGTGTTCATAACCCGAAAGTTGTGTATCCAGAGCAGTACATAACTAGAGGGTCCACTGTATTGTGCTCTAAAAGGAGATGGAATTTGCGTTTATCAACATACCCTGAATGTTTTGTAGCATAATCATTTATGAAGACTTCTGGAAATGAGCTATGACAGTGCTGTTAGAAAATGGAATGTTTCTCTGCAGCTGGTTATTTTTTCAAAGAACTAGTAAACTTAAAAAAAAAAAAGAACAACTAGCACACTTTAAAAAAAAATCAACGACTTTACTTCCGCATTACTATGCAGCCGCTGGTCCCCCCAGAAAGTCCATTCTTGAGGTTGGGGGGTGGGCTTTGGTGTTCAGACCAGCAGTAGAAATTGGGAATTGTTGGAATTCTCTGTGTGTGTGTTTGTGTGTGGAAGTGGAAGTGCCTTCAGCCTATACAACAACGCCTTTTGGATCCAAGTGTGAAGGAAGTTTATTACTGTATTTGTATCCTGTCTTTCTTCCAAGGAGCTTAAGATGGACGTCTCCCTTCCAGTTTTTCTTTGTGGGCTGAGAGACTTTGACTAGTCCCATGTCACCCACTGATCTTCATGGCTGAGTGGGGATTTGAAGCCTTGTTTCCTAGGTCCCCAGTCCAACTGCAGTACACTGTCTTATATTATTTGCTCAATTGAGCTCTCCAATTCTTTGTAATTTATTAAATGGCTGAGCCTCTTTTCCAGATTTTTGGAAGGTATACATAGATAATACTAGAGAAAAGACAGCAGTGAAGTCAGATGGGGACTTTTAAAAAATGTATATATTTAAATTAATGCTCCTAGATTCAAAAGAGCATGTAAGAACTTAACTTATTAGTTCAGTTTGAACGTACGAGTTTTCTGAGTATATCTGAAAATGAGTATAATCTGAAACTATATCATAATGCAAAAAATAGATTGCAAATTTTATAATAGCAGTTTTTGTTGTTGTTAGTTTTTCAGCTGACAACAGGTTTAAATAAAAATGCCTAAAGGGTTTGGGGCAGTATGTGGCGGTTGAATGAGAATGAGCAGGTAGCTAATGGCACCTGGCTCCTATTTTCCCTTCTCTAAAACTTATTTCCTCTTCCAACTCAAATTAGTCTACCTTTAACTTGAAATGTGTTATAGCTGGTTTTTACTTACCATTTAAAGTATTGATATGTCTTCCAACAGAAAATGAATTGTGCTTCTGCTTACTTTATTTCAAGAAGAAATACTACTTTACACGTATACCGTACAGGATAATCTGCAAAATATATTTATTATACTTTTGTCTCGCTCTTTATATTGAATGATCAGGGTGGCTTAGAAACTGTTTCTCATAGCATTTTTTATCTCTTTTTTTTTTTTATAAAAAAAAAAACAACTTGGATGTTAGATCCCTTCCCCTTTTGTCTTAATATACTGGTGGGCGCAACATTAGTTAATTTACTTTTCAGCTTATTATTAAAATAATGACTAAAATTAATTGCTCCTTTCTTCCTTCTATGTATCATCCTGATTCTGCTGGACTATCTGCGATCTTCATGAAAACGCCACTTGGTTTCCCCCCCTTGGTTTTATTGTAACTAAAATGGTTCTAAATGGACTTAAAATAGCATTCTGAAAGATTCCCGCAAGGAGGCCCACCACAAATGGGTTCTCCTATGGTTAGTAGGGCAGGCTCTGAAACTCCTCAGCCGGCTATGGGTGGTGTAGGTGCCGTCAGTGGTGGACCCGGTGGCTTTGGTAGAGGAAATCCTGGGGGCAGCTTTGAAGGACCTAACAAGCGTCGCAGATACTGAAATTTATTTCTTACTTCTGAGAAAATTGATTGACTATCTGGTGTTATGCCTTTATAATTTTAGCTGTTACCTTGAAAACGGTTTTATTGTTAATGTAGTCACCAAACTTTTTTGGGGGGTGGGGGAGTAAAACTTACTTTTTTGTATTCAGTCTTAGGCTTTAACGTAGAGCAGAAATAATGTGCTTCATTTTGCATGTCTGATGTTTGTGACTTCAGCAAAATAAAATGTGACCATGCTGTGAAATTTGTGAGTTCCATACTTACAATAAAATATAATACATATCTGCTTAAATGATTTTGAAACATTGTTATGAATTCTTTCCCTTAGCTTTCTAATTGTACGCATAGATTTTCGTTTTTCTTCAAAAAGCCTATCTTCTGAAAATTAAATGCTTTATAGATTGTGACTGTATGGAAATGAAAGTGCGGCTTACAACTCATGGAGCAAATGTTGAGGCTTGTGCAACTTTAGAACATCTGAAACATTCAGTAAGACTTTATAGATCTGTTTTAAGTTGTTCTCACCAACATGTACAAACCTAGTTGCAATGGGAATGTCATAATAATGTATCCTGTGTTCAGCTTTCAAATAAACACTTGAAAAAGTCTTGAAAAATCTCCAAGTAGTAAATATTCACCTGTGGTTTTGGATTATGAATAATAATTTCTTCGCAGGAAACAAAACTCGAATATTCTTTAAGAAAACCAAAATCTTGTTAACTTGGCTGGTAATTGTGTGTTAAAACAGTATTTTGCCCTGTAGTTAAGGGTTTCAATGGATTGTGTAGGTTGGCTGTTGCCTTTGCAGAAGATTCATAAAGAATATGAGTTGGCAGTATAGGTTTGAAGACCTTTCCTTCCTTGATAAAGTTACTTTTTTCAATGCTCTTAACTAGTACTGTATATGTTTTTTATCTCACAGCATGAAAAAATATCTTCCATGTTATAGGGAGTTGGCTTACTATATATATATACAGATAATGATCCTAACTGCTGCTGTTTAGCTCTTGCCATGGGCAAAATGAGTTTGCATTTGGTTGTTTCATTTAAGTACACACATTTTCAATAGGATTGTTGGTGCAACCTTTACCTAGCTTTTTAAAGGCATGGTGTAAAGTAGATACAATGTACAAAAGCTTGGACAAAATAATACTGGGAATTCCACTTATACAGTTCATATTAAGTAGAGGGATGAGAAGTTACTGACATATACCAATATTTATATACCAATATTGTGATTATACTACAAAATGTTTTTCATTAATGTAAATATTGCATGTTTGCATATGAATACTGTTAGGTAACATTCTATTAAACCTCAGTGTGTTGGAGTTATATGGAAGACCAGTACTTCTGAATAAGTATGGTATATTATGTGAGCTGAGTATGGTTTTCCAAAATATGTGGTAACACCTGTCCCCCTATTTCTATTTCTGCTAAATCAATATGAGTGTTGGACTTTTTAAATAATTAGAAGGAAAACCCTGTATTCCTGGGCCAAGACAGGACACTAGTGACCATATTTTCATCAGTGTAACATTTTATAAATACTGGTTTTTGGTGGGTGTTTTGTTTTACTCTTCATGGGTGCTGCATAAACTAAATTTGTATAAAATCTGATCTAGATTATCAGTTCCAGGAATTTATATTTGTATGCTGCTGTTTGGATCCTGAAGAAGCAGCCATCCTCATCATATGGAAGGTGTGAAATGTAAAATAATGCAGGAAGATGATAGCCATTTAAACGTAAGAGCAAATGGCTTTTTCCTGCCCTCATTTTACTCTCAACTTTCTAAAAGGGAAAGGTAGAGATAATGTGGATGAATTTCTTTGAGAAATGACTTGTATGCGTAAAATTTTATTGGTGCATTTTCTGATACTTTCTCAAGAGTTGCAACACTAGAAAATGAGGTACTTGAGAATGGGCTATATTGGAGAATGTGAGATTACTCTTCTACCCTATGCAAGCAATAGATGTAGGAGGTAAATCCTTGTTAGTAAAAATATTAATAACTAAATGGTTCACAAGCAACTGATGACCTCTGACTTCACTGTTTACAGTCACCCCACCCCACATCAACTTGTATTATCTGTGACTCAATCCCTGGTGAAGTGGACTATGGTGGCTTATGCCATAATAATTCTGTTCGTCTTTAAGGTGCCACAGGACTGTTGGACGCTTTAATTGATGAAATAGTTATTCATGCAGTTTAATGGATGAATTCCTGCTTTAATGCTACTACCCGATCTCATACAAAATGGTTTCATTAGGCAAATGTGTGAAATTATGCTTCAAAGGGCTTGAGACAGCTGTTGGTGTTGTGAGCCGCATTATCTTCAGTGGAGCACACTTGGAGGAATAATAATGAGCTACATTTTCTGATGTTTACAAGATTTTAGGCAATTTCCCATTTATTGAGCACACACTGAACACTTTTCTATAATTTTGAATGTGTAGAAAATTGTATTGATTTTACTAATTCCAGCATTCACTCTATATTCACTGAGGTAGTTTGCATGTGTTTTTTTAAAAAAGCTAAACGACACCCCCCCTCAAGTCATGTCATGTGTATCTCAACCAGAGCCAGGGCTTTTTCGGCTGTGGCCCCGATCTGGTGGAACGCTCTGTCACAAGAGACTAGGGCCCTGCGGGACTTGACATCTTTCCGCAGGGCCTGCAAGACAGAGCTGTTCCACCAAGCCTTTGGCCAGGGCACAGCCTGACTCCCTCCCTCGGCAATCTTCACAGAACTCTAGCCCAATGGTTGCCATCAATTTGATTTGAATTAATTTTATAATGAAATGATTTTAGAATGTTGTATTATTTTATTGTTGTTAGCCGCCCTGAGCCCGGCTTCGGCTGGGGAGGTCGGGATATAAATAAAAAATTATTATTATTATTATTATTATTATTATTATTATTAGAAAGTGTGGTGTCGACTTAAGCCAGTGATAGTTCATGTAAACTTCCAGTAAACTTTGTGACCTAATGACTACTTCTGTCTCAGAAAGCCACAGCACACAAGTTAACACAACAATGGGCAAGATAAAGCAGTTCAGCTATTACTTTAGTTACCACGTGTTCCTTGATAACTTTTTGTTTTGAAATTGTTTTTCAACATCAATGTCAAACTTCTCAGTTTTCGCTTTTAGTGTTGGAGCGAAAGCTAATGTTTTCTGTGAACTTTCTTTGAATTTTAGAACTCAGTACTTTATTTAAAGCTAGTTTGAGCATTTTGGTATCCAAAATAAAAGCAAAAGTGTTGGTTGAGCTGTAAGCCTGTGTTCGGGTGGCACACTGAGCCCAAACTATGGCTTAGCGTGGCACAGCAGTAGAACAACCAGGGAAGAGCAAAGCAGCTGGGATCTCCTCTCCCAGATTCTACACGCTCATGCATTTATGCTAATCCATGGGTTGGGTTTGTGTGACATGGGAACCAGGCCATTGTGTTAAGTTTTAATAAGCAAAACATTTATTGACCATAACTAAAAGTTAAGTTAGTAGGTACACTACAGAGCTGTTATCCTGTCACATTATTTTATTGGGATATCTTGTACTGGGATTGAAATAAAGTAAAATTTCGTAGAATTCTATTTCATGATTATGATTCTGCTCTAAGGATATCTTCCTACTTGAGTCTGTAACCTGTGAACTTTTAAATTATATGAATCTCAAAATATACACCAATGGTTTTCATTCTGGTTTTGTTCTTCAAAATATACTTTAGATTTCATGGATATGCAATCAACATAAAATAATGTTTATGATCAGATTTTTCTGTTTTCTCCTGGTTAGGTGTACTATAATGAAGAAATACAATGATTAAGTTGTTGGGACAACTTTTCCAGTTTAAGTGGAAATGCAATCTGACAAACACACAAATTAGAAGAACTTACTCTGTGTCAGTGAAAATGGCAAAGCCATCCTGTAGAATTGATTTGAGTAATACTTGTCTTGTCCACTGCCCCATCTGATGATGTTTTTGGTAACCTGCTGTGGTTACCAAAACCTCTTGCATCTCATCCAACTTGGATTCTTCTTTAACAGCACCTAAATCAGAAGTCTCCTCAGTTAAAACTGGTCTGGATAAATTTCAGTTGTAACAGCCTGAGGATGTTTTGCAAGGTTCTTGCAAGAGTCTTGCCAAATCCTTCCCACATGTTGTGGATCCTACCTTTTCCTAGTTGATTCAAGATGTCAAGTGAGGCTTGTTGAAGCCATAAAACTGAATATCTCCTTGAGGAGAATGGTTCTCCAGTTAACTTGATGCAATTTATAGATAAAAAACTAAAAAGCAAAGAGTCCCTCCTTGGATCCTTTAGATGTAGGAAATAGGTCATTCTTTAGTATATCCTAGTTTATGAATGTGGTAGTTGCTGACATTGAGCCAGCTTCAGGATCTCTTGGAAGAGACTGATAACACTGGAGTATTACAGTGTTACCAGTATGCTAGTGGCACCATTAAGCTTTTCCATTTCCTCAAATTTGAGTGAGATAGTGCAATTAGGAATCATAATTGGAATGCCTAACATGCTGTGCAAGAATTAATAAACTGGCACTTAATCCTAACTGGAGGTGATAGTGGGGATTGGTGACTTGTAAACTCTAGATTGGTGATACCGTCCTGGATTCCTACCACATTAAGCACTAGATTAGATTACTGAAATGTATTTTATATGAGGATTCCTTGAAAATTATTTTGGAAATTACAACAGTTACAAAATGCACCTGTTGGAATCAGATAACCCAATTCTAGCAACCTCTTGTCCTAAAGACAGGCGCATTTGTTTTACAGGACAAATTCAGAATATTTTGGTTTGAATTTTAAGACCTAACCTAGCGGTCTTACTATTGCCTGTCTGAAAGAACTCGGTGTTCCTTATGTAACTTCTAGCTCCTCCTTGGTGGTAGCACCCCAGTCATGCAGTTCTGTGTTCAGGGCAGGTCACTTGATGTTTCTCCATGCAGACTGAGGGGGCAGGTGAAATATGTAGTCATCAGACTTGGGTGTTAAGCTGGAAAATTGTTCATTGATCTGGGCTGACTGTTCATTATTTGAACTGTCTTACGGTGTGTGTATACTGATCTCTCTTGCTTGTTTGTTCCAGCTTGGTATCTTTTGTTATAAAGCATTTAGAGGAGTATATAGTGGAGCGCTATAGAAATTTGGGGTGAGAAAAGCGACTTCTCTTCTTCCCTCCCCCCTGCAGCTACCGGCATGCCTCCAAAAATCAGTTCTGGAGGGTTGGGGGACCCCTGGAGCAGATTTTGGTGGTGTGGTGGGGACTGGAAGAAAAAAAGACAGGACGTCCTATTGCTTAAGTAGGAGGACATGGTTTGATGTCGTCCTTAGAAAATACTTCAGGTGACTTTACATTTGACCAGTTGATTTTATATAATCCTGAAAGCTGTGTTAGTCTTTTAGAACAAAGGAAAATAAATGTATGCCTCTAAATGTTATTCACAAGATGCCATGAGTGATAACAAACAGAAAGGACTACTGATTATCCTGAAACAGTCTTCCACGCTGCAACTCTGGTCTAGAAGGAACATGTAACTTTCTATCCATATTAGATTAATTTCTACTAATGTACTTAATATTTTTGATTGTATCCAACTCTCTAGTACGGTTAGTTTACAGCAAATATACTAAAAGACAGTGCTTCGGCTTCTAAAGCCAGGGAAGTATCTGCAGCATCCTCTGATGGGTCATACAAAAATCGCCACTTTTACGATACTTTTAGAAGCAAGAAAAACAGGTGAGTCATCTTGTATATCCTGAACTTTTCTCCTTTTTATGAAACTGGCTGCATACTTTGTGATTTTTTAAAAATTTGGGAACTAATGCAGGAAGTTTAAGTTCTCATCATAAAAAGATAGAGAATTGAACCTAGGATTTTGCAATTAAGGCCCTTCAAACTTACCTTTATTCAAAGCAGTGTGTGTGTGTGTGTGTGTGTGTGTGTGTGTAAATCCAGCATGGAAGCTTCTGCAACATCCTACGTGAAAACTGCATATGCCAAGGCTTTTTGCTAATATACATACATTTCTAGTTCATCATTAATTGAGAACCAAAAATTGTGCTAACGAGTTTGAAAATTATTTGATTCTATGTTACCTTTGGGGTACAACTATTGATCTTTGCTATTGCCCCTTCAGATATCTTCTAATTTAGTTATCATTTGGATAAAAGCTAGTTCTTGGTCTGTTCTGAAAAAGTGATGTTTTCAAAAAGGTATTTGAAAGGTTTCGTTACAGTTAAGCCATTTGTTACAGTGTCCACTTTCACTTTCCCCATTGCTATTGTCATCCATACTTTCTGGAATGAACTTTCCACATTGTTTTACTGGAAATTATTTAGAATGTTAGCAAATGTTACTGATCTACATCTTGAGCATATCACCTGGGGGATAGATCTGAGATTCCACTGTTGAATAAGGAACAAGTATTCAGAAACTCTTTAATACCTAATATTACTGCACCAAACATTCATATAGCTAGATATATAACTGAAGGTAAGGAGGGTTTTAGTCACCAGTGGCTATTGGAGTAAATCCAGCTACAGTATACCGATATAACCAGTCACATTGCTTTTCTTCTGTAGTGTGTCTGCAGTGGCTTTTTAAACTCTTGGATTTATTTAAGCTTGTGGTAACTATATCTGTTGGGGAGAAAAGCATATGGGAGTGGGATAATTTTAGGTGGACAAACAGCAAAGGAAGGAGAGGGTTAAGTATCCTTTTACCCCTGTTCTCTACCCAACTAGTAGCTGCTTCCACCTGTAGGGGGGAAACCCGGGAAGCTTGTAATTCTGTATGACTCTGGAGAAGGGCTTTGTTAAAAACCTTGCGTTTGGTGTGAAAAGGACTGTATAAAAAATTGTAATAAAAGCCACTTGAGTGACTGGCCAGCTTTAGCATGTGAAAAGATGTAAAAAGAACTGAGAACTAATCCAGATCAGTTCAGACGTTACATAGCGATAAGATCAGCGTGGTTTGTGGCATGAAGAAACTGGTTCTTTTCTGCAGTGGTGCTGATTTCCTGGAACACCCTCTCCTCTGAGAGGAGTCAACCGTGATGTGCTTTAGACACCTTTTGAAAACTTCAATATTTAGATTGCACTGCTCAGTATTTTGTTCTAATATTTTGATTCTGGATTTTTGGTGACAGTATGTATTTTCATTTTATTTACATCATTGTCATGATGTTATAATTTTTACACTGCTTAGAAAAGTGTGTATTGGGGGCCTCTATAAATTGATTAAATAATTTATTGTTGATGTTCTTACGTTTAAATCACTTTGAGATACTTTATAGGAAGAGATTTATAAATAAAATAAGAAAATGAACAGGAAACACTTTACCATGGAAAAAGTCTGATCGAGATCTTCTATTGGCAAGGTGGATTCAATTTTTTTAAAATCAAAGCAAGGTGATGCTTTTCTGTGGGAAGATGAAGGGCTTTTGAGATTTCAGTGTCTAACCATCACAATGAGGCAAAAACATGAAATAAGACAATAGTCGTGTTTAGATTCAACAGGAAACTTGGGCTTCCTATTACATGCAATAGTCTCTGGTTCACATTCTCCTCCCCCTTTTCATCTGAACTTGTCACAGGAAACTGTGTCTAGTATGAAATTGGAAGGTAAGCTTGCAATCTTCTGCTGTGGTGTGTGAAAGAAAAATATGTATTTGTGTGTGCATGGAAGGCCTGTGCTTTTAATGGGAAACCATAATTTCCTGTGGTATGTTGATCTGGAAAACAAATTTTAAAATGTAGGGTTTGAAATTATATTGACAATGCTTTCTGAAATAGACACTTCCCATAAAGAAAATTGCAAACAGATTTCATTAATATAGTACATGGACTGACTGCCTCAGATTAAATATATTTCCTATCCTATCTATAGTAAATTTGCAGAATAGTGGATGCTGTTGAACACTTGGTGAAATCAGATTTCCTTTCCCTTCAGATTTTAATCTTTACAACTAGAATTCATACTTTTATGAAAAATGTGGTACTATAATATTCTGTGCTTGGGGTTCTTTTAGTGCTTCATTTAAGTCTTCATTAAGCCCTTATATAATTTACCTAAACTAGATTTTTTGAAACAGTGAATCTATGAGTACTGATCCCATTGAATAGATCTTAATTTAGGGGGGACTAAAGTTGTGTATATAGTCAACCTCTTCCATTACTTAAAATGAACTGATCATTTATAGCTACTCAAAAGTATTCTTGCAATACGTTGTAATGAATATAGGTTAAAGGTTTTTTATTTAAGAATGATTTTTTACCTCATTAATATACATTGGAAGTGGTTTTGTTTGAATGACTAATTAGATAAACACATGGTAAGGCATAGTTTATTAAACCATGGTGTATTTGGTCATTAGAGCTGGGCCCAGTGACTTAAGCATAGTTTATTAACTATTAATAAACCATGTTCATAAGCCATGGGTAATTGGATAAACCTTAATAATGTTAACCGTGGATTAGCATTATATGAACAAATGGGTCCTGGAATTCAAGAACGTTATAACACAGGTTTTTAAATGTGCTATTCAGCAGTTTAATATTGGTTTAGCAGAAGACAGCATAAGGCAACAACAAACATTGACTCTATTTCATTTTTACAAATTCTTGCTGATCATTTTGGAAAACTAATTGTTCAGACATACAGTAGCATGCTCTTGTGACCTTTATGCTTCATGTATTATGTGAGGAGATGTTCAGTAAAAATGCTCATTTGGTGCCATATTATGTGCATAAACCTGTTGATTAAACCATAAATTTGTCCTTATTAGATGTTTTATAAAGTATAGGAGCATATGAAAAGAACTAGGCCATATATATGTGTTGTGGCAAACTTCCTCTCCTTTCCCTGTCATTCGTGCACATGCATGATGTGGCTTAAGAAGTTAGATCTTCAGAAAGACTTAAAACCTGCTGACACTGTTTTGTAAGTGGAACTAGGACACTGGCCTTATCCTGGTGCCTCCTGCAGTCAAAGGTAAGATTAGACACAGAAAGGGTGATGCTAAGGACATTGTGTGTAATTTTGCATTGTGGAAGAATTCTGAAAATCATCCTGTAGGGATGTGATCTCATGTTGAAAATATGGCAACCCAAAGGGGTGTGCCTATATCATGGGCATTTTGCTTTCGTAAAATGTACCATTTGTACTCACCTGTAAGGTGTTTTTATCGGACAAAGGGCCATCTAGTGGTCAAGGGTGGGAAATGCACTAGTTGAGGAAGTACCGTATTTTTCGCTCCATAGGACACACTTTTTCCCCTCCAAAAATGAAGGGGAAATGTGTGTGCATCCTATGGAGCGAATGCAGGCTTTCGCTGAAGCCTGGAGAGCGAGAGGCATCGGTGCGCACCGACCCTCTCGCTCTCCAGGCTTCAGGAAGCTATCCGCAAGCCTTGCAAGCCCGGTGGGAGTTCCCGCGGGCTCACAAGGCTTGCAGGCAGCAGCCTGCAGCCCCGGCGAGTGTCCGCAAGCCTTGCGCGCCCGGCAGGAGGTCCCGCCGAGCGCGCGAGGCTTGGGGCGGCAGCTGTCGCCCGAAGCACGGGAGCCCTCCGGAGGGCTCCCGTGCTTCGGGCGAGTGTCTGCAGCCTTGCGCGCCCGGCAGGAGGGTCCCGCCGAGCGCGCGAGGCTTGGGGCGGCAGCCTGTCGCCCGAGCACGGGGAGCCCTCCGGAGGGCTCCCGTGCTCGGCGAGTGTCTGCAAGCCTTGCACGCCTGGTGGGAGGTCCCGCCGAGCGCACGAGGCTTGGGGCGGCAGCCTGTCGCTCGAGGCACGGGAGCCCTCCGGAGGGCTCCCGTGCTTCGGGCAAGTGTCTGCAAGCCTTGCGCGCCCAGCAGGAGGTCCCGCCGAGCGCGCGAGGCTTGGGGGCGGCAGCTTGTCGCCCGAGCATGGGGAGCCCTCCGGAGGGCTCCCGTGCTCGGGCGAGTGTCTGCAAGCCTCGCGCGCCCGGCAGAAGGTCCCGCCGAGCGCGCGAGGCCTGGGGCGGCAGCCGCGGGGGGAATAATTTTTTTATTCATTCCCCCCCCCCCCCAAAAAAAGGGGGTGCGTCCTATGGGCCGGTGCGCCCTATAGAACGAAAAATACGGTAGGTGGTGTTTCATTGCCAGTGACCTTAATCCATATTCTAACAAGTCCAGCTTCAGGCAAAGGGCAAACAACACATAAGAGAAAGGGGACAATCAAGCCGACTGCTTCCTCAAAGAATAAGCAAACAGAAACTGACCAGTGTCAAACAGCGTAACATAACATGGTGCATGCAGGAAATACAGGCTTATTTATACCTAAATAACAATAAATCCCAGAGAACAGGATAAGTACAAAAATAGCAGTCTCATAAGCAAGAGAAATGAAACCTCTGAGCCATCAAGCCAATGTAGTTAAATACACTTGGAAAACAGAAAAGAATGGAACAGGACACTCACAGGAGAAATGAAAAAGGCGCTAAGCCAGAGAGATTCGGAAATGGAATCGCTGGAAACAGAGTACCTACTGGTGTATTTCTGTCCTCAGCCACTAGATGGCAGAGGCCTCCCCCTACACAGCCCTTTGTTCAGGGAAAAATGTACCAAGCCAATCAAATATTTAGGATTCTGCTGTGTGCTTTTGAAGAAACCGGAACAGACATTTCTATTCATAACTTTCTAATAATCCTCTTAACTAGATTTATTTGCATCTGAGTTGGGATAAACGTTATTAGGGGAGTATGGATATTCTCCCTCAAAGAGTGGGTTGCCTACTTCATAGCTTCCTCATATCTGTACTTTTAGGATTATCAAAGAATGGGTCAAAGAATAAATACATCTATTAATTTGTAGGAAATTTGTGTGTTGAAAGGGTGATTTCATGCCCCCAAACCACCCACTTTTAAAAAATATTTACGAAATGCAGATACTATATGGGAATCTCTAGTCCCTCTATTATATTATGATCATTTGTCAGAATTATGATTTTTTGTTAACATGATTTTCCAAATTAATTGTTTCATAGGAATGTAACATTTTCTGTACTACTATTCAGAAGAATCCAAACAAACTTGAGAATTTTGCAACACAAATATGCTGATTACTCTTGATGATTCCTAAACTTTCACAAAAGTTTGTGTCATGTTTATTGGGACCTTATAGAAGATTAAAACCAAAAAAGACACATCATATGAACATAGAAACTTTGCTTGCTCATGTAGTAGATATGAAAATGACATATGCAACAAGCAGTGCTTTGTTCTTTCAGTTTATCTACTAAATCTACAGAGTTGAAACCAGAGAAGTGCAAGCAAAAGTTCACTTCTGCAACAAACTTCCACTGCATCTCCTTTGAAAAGCTGCTTTTGAAGGTTGGGGTGCTCTAGAATTGTGGGGAATGGGCTCTGAGGGGCTTGAGTTGGGAAATTGTAGAAGTGATGGGGGGGGGGGGACTGTCTTATGCCAGGCAATTTGTGGATCCAGCCCAAAAGTTTATTGGACCTTTAGGTATATTTCCATCAGCTCCAGCACACTTGTAATTAGTCCTTAAAGAATACCCCATGGTTTTTTCCTAATGGTTGCAAGTAAAAAGAAAAAAGAAAGACTACAAGTGAATACCTTAGTTGCTATGGTCAGGTACAGTGGTGCCCCGCAAGACGAATGCCTCGCAAGACGGAAAAACCGCTAGACGAAAGGGTTTTCCGTTTTGAAGTTGCTTCGCAGGACGAATTCCCCTATGGGCTTGCTTCGCAAGACGAAAATACCTTGCGAGTCTTGAGATTTTTTTCGCTTTTCCCCTTTATCTAATCTGCTAAGCCTTTAATAGCCTTTAATAGCCTTTTAGCAGCTAATCCCTAAGCCTTTAAGCCTTTAATAGCCGCTAAACAGCTGATAGCGCTAATAGCGCTAATCCGTCAATGGGCTTGCTTCGCAAGACGAAAAAACCGCTAGACGAAGACTCTTGCGGAACGGATTAATTTCGTCTTGCGAGGCACCACTGTACTTTCATTTTTGTCAGTGTGTTTGCTGCCTATTTCAGATGCTGATTTGGATTTAATTTGGACCTCTGCTTTTGAGTTCACAAGTATTTTTTTAAGCAAAATTGCTTGGTAAAGTATTGCTTTAAATTTTACTCAGTTTTGTGAAATTGGACTTGTGACAGATGCAGGGCAGAATTCAAAGTCGTACTCCTTGAACTGTTCTTGCAGCATTTCAGATTGTCTGAGGAAACAATCTCCCCTGACCTCCCCCTGCACACAGTTCCTGTTGCACTATCAGGACTCATTGTGCTGCTTCTTGCTAAATCGCTCAGCTAAACCCAGCCCAAAGAAGATGGAAGATCCATTATACTACTGTTTAGAAAGACAGTATTCCCTCCCACTCCTGATTTATATGTTTATTTAAAACGGTAGTCTTCAACCTTTTAAGACCTGGGATCCACTCTTAACCCAAACATGAATTTGAATATTGAATATGGCAGTCGTATTTGTATTGCAGCCCACCTTTTATTAAGATGCAAGCCTGTAGTGGCTGCAACCCACCAGTTGAAGGCCAATGGGTTAAAATATTTTGGGTTTTTGCCCCTAACACCCAAGGCTTTACATGGGACTTTAAAAAAATATTATTCAGACAAAACTTCAGAAAATCCAAACATCAATAATGAAATTTTATTTTAAAAAGGCACATTGTATTGCATTCATATTGCCTTATTTGGCCCAACAGCAACAAAATCCACAAAGAATAACGTATTCTGCAAGCACAGAACTGCTAACGTCCAACCAACACAAAACCAGGAAACGTCATGTCTTTCAGATTACATGTAATTGAACATATTAGCACCAGTGTCTCTGCCCACCGAAACTCAGTTGGCTGCTACTTATGGTCGAGGAAGACACTTGTGTTGTGCTTACGGGCACATGGACGTCTATTTGGCAGCTCTGTGTGATACAGGATACTGGACTAGATGAACCTTTTGTCTGATCTAGCAGAGCCATCCTTAGGTTCTAAGAAGTCAGTTTATGAGTTGATTTTCCCATAATGTTTAATTTTTTGCTTGGTGTCTGTTGCTGCCTTGGCCATTTTTTATTTAAAAAATGGCAATATTTTAAACACTCAGAACGAACCGTGTTTAGTTATCCTTCAGATCCCTGAAGACGTTTGTTGAAATTGCCTGTCTTGTTCATGTACATTCGCCATGTATGTAGAATTTGATTCTGAAGGATAACTATTCAAAATGGAGGACAGTTTTGTATGCTTCGGTGGTGGTCAGCCTTCCTGTCAGCTGTAACCCACAGGAAGACTAAAAGAATGAAATAGTACCAGTCTAGTGTACTCTTTTGTATATACACATGTCGGCCCTTCCCATTTACTGAGGGGTGTGTGTGTGTGTTTTTGTGTGTGTGTGTGTGTGTGTGTGTGGAGATTTCTGGGCTGACAAACAATGCAGCAGCACAGTCAAAGAGAAATAAATGCCTGACACTGTTGCCATTGCCCAGTTGCTTGAAACCTATGCTCTCTGTGTCACTTGTGGTGGCGGTTACCCATGAGGTAAATTTGAAAAAGTATGTGGTTTTACCTACACACCTACAGTGAATGCTGTTATCTGTTACTGTTTGTCAGGTTAAACCAGTGTACAGTCTGTGGATGCACATCTAGGATAACTTTTATTTTGGGTTTGTTTTTTAAACTTATGTGTCTCCCCCCCCCCCCAAATAACTAAGACAGGCGACGTACATTTCTTCTCAGAAGTGGATTTTCCCCCTTTCTCTGTGGACGATAGTGGACATGCTCTGATTGTAAAGCAATTCCTACTCCTGGCCATTGAGTCCACAGCAGTGGAACATCCTTTTCCGATCAACTATTGTGTTAGGTAATTTTTTTGCAATTTTTATAATATTGAAGTGGGTGGGTTCTGAAATTAAAGAACATTTAATTGAGTATTTTGAGACAAATATAAAGGAGTCATTTTTTCTAAAACGTTAATAGTACTGAAACTAAAACAAGGGATGGGAGAAAATGTGAAAATCAAGAAACCCTTTTTATATAGTATTGAAGGTATAGTGACTTTCTTCACTGAAATCTTGTGAATTAAAGATAGGGGCCTGGTACTGAAAGAGCTTTGCATAAAGAAACTCCTCTTTTAAAGTCTGGTGTATCACCACTTCCGTGTATACTTCTGTCTCGCTGTAATTTATTAGGGAAAAAAGACAGTAGAAGGGGGATTACAGCCTAAATTGAGGATTTTGTTGTATTAGGACATAGCTAAGTCCAAAGCATTAAATATGTAAATCACAAGAAGCTTGGATTTTAACTTCTTAAATGTCTTAGAAGGTAATCTCTTGATAAGTATATGAATATACATTCATACTGAAAGTTCAAACTGTGAGGCCAGCAGAAATTACCAGAAAGATAGAGGCTTAAACCTTCCCTTCCTTGATGGTATATCAAATATATTTGCACACTGGACAAATCAGAATTGTAACTTAGTTAGCTGTTTACTGAGTACAGAAGCATTCAAAATTTGTTTCAGAAAACCTTTTAAAGAACAATGGAGACAGAATGTTTAGAAGATCAATAATATGCCAATATTGTGTTTAAAAATGGGAGCTTCCCCAAGTTTTTGGGGCCAGCAGGCATAAGAAACAGATGGTAGGTAGCATGTGATACCCATTTCACATAAGAAAAACTGGTGATGCTCAAAGCACAACCTGAAACAAAGCAAACCACCTACACACCCGAAAAAGCAGGCAACATCACCTGGGGAAAAACAGGCTACACCTAACCTAATCAAAACTTTATTTTTTTATTTTTTTTAAATGGTGGGGACAGAGTTCCTAAGGGCACCATAGTGTCCACAGACACTATAATATACCTTTAACACAGAAATTTGTATTCTCACTACTTGTCGCTTTAGGAGGGGCTATAAATATCAGGGGTTGCCAATATCAGGGGTTGCCACAAGCACACATCCCTGCCCACCCCCTGGCCTGCCTTGGTGCCTACAAGGTGCTTTACTCTCCCTCCCCTCTGGTTTGAAAGAAGCGCTCTGTTGTAACCAGTGTGTTACGTTTTGCTGTGTATGGTGCCCATGACAATTTCCTCTAGTTTTCGAATGAGCCCTCAAGCCCTTCCAAAGTTGGCAACTCCTGATCAATGTACTTCTGCAATCTGTTCTGGCTTAGCAATGCAGTGTGTATCTGTAATTGCATGGAGCACAATTCTCACATTCACTGGGGCAGATATGTGTAACAAAACAATTGATACATTTCCATGCAATTACTAAGTACCTTTGGGTGGGGAGCCGGCAAAGAACTGGCAGGTTGGTAGGGAAGATATTGCATAATGAAGACAATTGCACAGAAAAGGGAAGGTTGTCTGATAGTGCATCCCTTAAAACTGGCATTGTGTGTTTGGGGTAACTTAGTTTTTTGAAAGAGATTTAGCCACCTTTCAGCCATAGGTGGCTTTCAAAGAATAAAACAACACCAAATGTAATGAAAAATAGCATTAAATTTTCTCAGATACACATTTTTGGCAATTTACAGCTGCTGTTTCACATTGTTGTGCATTTAATGTGTGGTAGGGTTACTTCAGCGTGATTTTTCATTCCATCTGGGGACAACCTGTCTACCTGTTGTTCATTATCATTCCCCATATCCAAAGTGAGATGACCTGTCTGCAAGGGCAGGCCATTGTGCCTTGTTCACTATTCAGAGCAAACGCTTGCTTATTGTGCAGGCTGCTCTGTTCCTACGTATATATGATCAGTGGCAAAAATACCAGCGGGAAAGTGGTGGATGGGATGGTGTACTTCTAGTTTTCTGAGTTGAGATCAAGCAAACTATATTCTGCACCATTCATTATACATGTAAATCTAAACAGCTAGCTTAAGACTCTTCAATGGGTGTTATAAAAATGTGACTGGAATGTGAGTTGTACCTGTTTTGGATTTTAGTGCGAGGATTAGTTTTAAAACTATTACCTAATTGTAAAATTGAAGTAGCTATTAGGATTGGGGTTGAGAGGAGCTGGAAAAAATGAGAAGCAGCAATGCTTTTACAAACTTATCCAATTCCCATTCTTGATTAAAAGCAGCAACCCTGCTTTAGTTTAAAAGGGAATACCGTCAACAGACTATATATCTCTCTTTCAGCAAAACTTTTGATTTACTCACACATGACATCTTCCTAAATAAACTTGAGAAATACGGATTGGAAAGGACATAATGGGGCTACAAAGTTGCTTGAAATACTGCATATAAAAGGTAATCATTTTAATGGATTGATAAAGCGAATGTAAGTTGATACTGAACAGCTTCAATTCCAGGAGTCGATCTTGATTTCGGCATCATTGCTATACCTAAGGAAGGAATAAACATCTTGCCAACTTTTGGGGGATAAAGTGAACATGACAATTTAGTTCTGATTGGGGAAATTATATTGATCAATATTACTGAGCCGTACTGAGTTCACAACACTTCTAAAGTTTCTCAACAATTTTATCAAAACCTTGTTCGGTCAGTATTATCCACATATTGCAGGTGGGCTGTTGAGGTTTTAAGAGGATATCTGGTGTAAGGCAACCCAATATCATTGCCATCGTTTATGATACTTTTACTTCTGCGATCGGGAGCAAAACATTCTTCTAGTGGCTCAAAAGATCAAACAATGTACATATCTAAAAACTACATCTTACGATAATGAGATTAAAGAACATAACAAAATTTAAATAACCATACAAAGGAGAATATTGACAAGCTGGAACGTGTGCAGAGGAGGGCAACCAAGATGATCCAAGGGTCTGGAATCAAAGTTTTATGAGGAACAGTGGAGGGAGTTGGGTGTGTTTAGCCTGGAAAAGAGAGGAGGAGATTCAATAGCCACCTTCAAATTGGCTCAGTTGGGGTCATGGGTTCGAGCCCCACATTGGGCAAAAGATTCCTGCACTGCAGGTGGTTGGATTAGCTCTCACATGGTCCTTTCCAACTCTGCAATTCTATGATTTTAAATATGTAAAGGTCACATGGAGAATGGAACAAGCTTGTTTTCACCTGCATTGGACTGTAGGCCCTGAACCAATGGCTTCCAAGTTAAGAGAAAAGAGATTCCAACAGTACTTTCTAACAGTAGGGTTTGTTTGACAGTGGAAATGGACTTCCTCAGGAGGTTGTGGACTCTCCTTCCTTGGAGGTTTTTAAGCAGAATCATAGATTCTTTAGTTGAGATTCCTGCATTGCAGAGGGTTGGAGTAGATGACCCCTGAGGTCCCTGCCACCTGTGGAAATCTGTGGTTCTATAAAGTTAATAGGCTAATCAAAATATCTCAAATAAATGTACTGTACTTTTCCGTGTGTAAGTCTAGGTTCTTTTCTTTAAAACTTATGCTAAAAGGTGGGGGTCGTCTTATACATGGATAGTGCATAGTGCAAATTTTGTTAAATTTGAGTCCCCTCAAAAAGGGGGCATCTTATACACGGAAAAATACGGTACACCAAAATTAAACAGTCCATTCATAAGTTATGATAGGATTTAGCAGTGTAAATACGAGACAAACTGTTCCCCTCAGCAACAGCCTCCTAAAGTAGACCTCACCGATTGTCTTAGTGCACATGGAGCAGCAGGAACAGTCTTTGGGTTGGAGTCAGTCAGGGCCCTGCCATCTCAAGTCAAGTGGAAATGTGCCAGCCAGCAGAGACTGGGTCTTGGAGGACTCACAGCTAGGTGGTACCTTCAGTGAATTTGTGGCTGATGCAAGATGTGTACTGGGGCTTGCTCTAGCCTCTTACTCTGCACCAGAGATCATGGTAGGCAGTGATAATTTTTTAAATGGTAAGTTCCAAATATTGTAAGAAAAACAAACAAACACTAGTATGTAACATTGCAATTTTTTACTTTTCCCTAAATTACAAATGTGTCAATGTAGCATCATGGTACCAATAGGAACAGCCAAATATCACTTAGATTTCAGCAAGACAAGCATGTTATCCAAGAGTTGAGAAATAAGGCTTCTCTACAATGGCTGGCAAGGATTTAGGGTACAACTGCTGCAGATTAAAGGCTGTAAACAGTAAAATCGCGAGCCAAGAAAAAGTTTGTTGTTTAGTCGTGTCCAACTCTTCATGACCCCATGGACCAGAGCACGCCAGGCATTCCTGTCTTCCACTGCCTCCCGCAGTTTGGTCAGACTCCTGCTGGTAGCTTCAAGAAAAAGTTTAGATAGTCTCAAATGTTTGAAAAGATGGGAAGTGTTCTGACTACAAGATGGAGGAAGCCTGTTGATTGCAAAATCTCCTTTCTAAGTTTAGCAAGGGAAGACTGCATAGGCATCTGTTGCCAGCAAGTCAAAGTACAGAATGCTGCACTGGGCAGCTCCTTACCCTAAATGTCAGGAGTCTCAATCCTATATGCAACTGAAGCACATCCAGGACTTCTGCAAGTGGGGTAGAAACTTGCACCTTCCTTTTCTTTCAGCTTGCATGCGCCTAAAAGCTCCAAGTCACCTGAATAGCATTATGCAGGTGCCGGAGAGGTAAGGTCACTCAAAAGGTTTTGTCCGAGTTTACACTTGTGGTAGCTCCTCCATGCCACAAACACACTGAAAAATAAGCTGCGCAATACTGTAGGTGATGGAGCTTGGTCGCAGCACCAGATCAAGAAGGATAATTTGTCCTTTTGCTAGGCTGTCTGGGTGTATGTGGCTAAGCTGCAATGCTTTGGAATATGAGATTGAAACCCTGGATTAACTGGTGTTTGGAAGCCTGTTAATGTGGTCAGGAACTGCCTTAGGGTTGGTGTGTTGGTCAGTTTGACCAGTCAAGCCCTGCCAGTTAGCTGCCTATTTGATCAAATATTGTCAAATGTTACATGGAGTCAAGAATGCTTCTATTTAGGTGGAAGCTTTTCTTTTATTATGCTGCCATTGATTAGCAATGACAGGCATTGGGGGTGCTTACCATTGCTGCTTGGGACTTTGACGCTGATGGAGGTACAGAGCCAACTGAAAATGATACAGAGTAAAGCATTGACATGTTTTCTACTTTCCACAACAGTTTAAAAACTGGCTTGTGTTTTGCTCTTAGTTCACTTTGTTTTGAATTGATTTTTTTAAAATCTTGTGATTATAGGCTGACACTAGTGTTCCCAGGATAAAAGCCAGAGTAGAACTGTCCAGTGAACTGACCACATTTGTAAGAATTCTTAAATAATGTTGTTAAATATTATAATAATTCATTAAGATTTCTTCTAAAAGGTTTTTCTAAATTTTTTTGAAAAAAGGTGTCTGTATAATCTCTTAAAATTAATACTTAACATGTGTGATTATTTGACAATATTTGACCAATGTCTAACGCCATTCTGAGAAACTAAAATGAGCAAGCACTTTCTCAACAGTTAGATTTTATAGCGTTCTGGATATGACACCAAATTTCATGATATGTAGCTGAGTAAATGAAGAAGTGTCAATTGTAGAAATAATCACCTTGGAGACACGATGAAAGAAATGTGCTCTTTGATCTTGGGCTGGGTGTACTTGGCTACTTAAAAAGACCACCGCAAAATGTTACCTGTGTTTTGCAAAGCTGGATTCAATGGCTTTATATATGTTTAAGTACACATAGAAATGTGTTTAAATTTGCATGCTGCATCTAATTCTGCTTCTACTAGACCCTGGGTATGGGCAGTGTCTCACCTCCTGGTGCCTGAAACCCTATTCAGGATCTGAACCTTCTGTCACCACCCTGTCCTCTTAGATTTCACCATCCATTTCCAACACGGATTGGCCTTCTGTAGACATAGGCTACAAGTAGAGGATCAGTTAACTAAATTAGTGGATTCTGCAATGGATGAAATGGTTTGGCTTCTTCCATTTGAGCATATTTAGTTAAAATAATGGATGGTTATGAATTGGCTTTAGCTATGCCCTCTTTGTGGCAACCACATTCCCAGAAACATTAATATTTTTGCCTTACTACGTCTCTTTACAAAGTCACACCCATTGTTGAATGTTCCTCAGCAGGAAATGTGAGGCACATCAGTCTTTTCATATGTGTTTCTAGAGAGAAGAGCATTGCCAGCCGCTTGCGGAAGAAAAGCCCTAGTTACTAGGGGTGCATTAGCCTGATAAACTGTCATGGAAGGATGTTCTGAAAAATGTAGAGGGAATTTCTCTGCCTCTCATTGCCCTCTCTAGCTGGGAGGGAGTGAAGAATTACCTATACCCCCTATCGCATGTGCTAAGTTCCTGAGCAACCTTAATGGAACAAACGTTGATATAAAACGGGTCTCCAATCTGATGCATTGATACAACTAAAGGAGGGAGGTCTCATCGCATCATCTTTATTAAATGGGGTACCGTGTAGCACCATGTGAACTGTCCCTTTTGATGAATGTCCCTGATGCAGGGAAACAGTCTGACATGCCAAATTAAGAGTAGATGATCATTTAATAAGCTTTAATTGTTTTTCTTCTTCTAGGAAATGGTTATGATGCTGAAGTGCAGTTGAAGATGTACTTCAGGAGTGCTTTGTCCAAGGAATATAGCAGAGGAAGTTGAATCCTTCAAGTTTCAGGTATCTTCTTCCACCATTCCCCAGTCGTCTTTTGGTTTCCAGATTCATGATGGCTTATTTCTGATTGTTTTACATTTTTGTAAAGAAGGGGAGAGGAAAATTTCAAAGGGTTTTCAAGACACATGTCTGAAGATATCTTTGTTTTTGATCTCCAATGGGTAGAGGAATTTTTGCCTACTGGATTATGCTGTGATGAGCTGTGGGCCTGTAGAAACTGCGCTGAGAGGGGCAGATGCACATTGATCTCAATATGGACCTATGAACTTTGGGTGTTCTATGACTTCTTTCAAAGGATGGTGTGGCTGCTTGAAGAAACATGAATGTTCTTGATGCTGCTGTTTGGCAAACTTCAAGTTTATTACCGTGAATTTATCAAATGTAAAACAGATCTGCTGTCATGTAATTTGCAGTTCTGGGTTGTATCCAGTGGTGGTTTTGCCTTAGTTAGAACAGAAAGCACTTCTGCTTATGCAAATTGGGGTACCCAGTTTTGTTGTTTTGCCTGTAATTTTCCTTCCCAAAGGCTGATCCATAGCAGAATGGAATAATGGAACACAACCAAAATTCTGTAGCTAGACTCTTGCGGTTGCTGCAAAGGAAAAACCACAATTGAAGTCAACCCACTGTTTCTAGGCTCTGTATTCCAATCGGTATGAAATGCTATTGATTTGTGTTTTTCTTGTTTCCTAGTGAATGTACGCAAGGTATATTTTGGGACAGTTATACTATGTGGAGTTGCAGGCAATCAACTACTGTACCAGAGGTAGTCGGGAATACAAAAGAATGAATTATTTGAGGAGGGTAAGTAGCTTAAAGCTGCCGGAGATAAAACAAGAATGACATTTAAATTTAAAGTGTGGATATTCTTTCTGGTGTGCTTGGACAGTCAATGGGTGCTTGTGATATAGAACCTGCCAGTCATCTCTCTTCTTTATAGAATAACAAGTGCTGTGTGGATTCCATGTAACTCATGACTTAATAGTGCAAGCATGAGTGCTATGTGATGAAAAAATTGTAAGACTGTTAACAGATTTAAAATGAAACCAATAAATAATAATAATAATAATGCATTCTGAGCAGTTTCCAACATAATAAAAGCACAGAAAATATCAAACATTAAAAACTTCCCATTACAGGACTGCCTTCAGAAAGTTTTGTAGATGTTATCTGTTTGACATCTGATGGGAGGGCGTTCCCTTGGGTGGGCGCCACTGCCAAGAAGGTCCTCTGTCTGGTTCTCTGTAGCATCCCTTCTCGCAGTGAGGGAACCGCCAGAAGGCCTCCTGAGCTGGATCTCAGTGTCTGGGCTGGATGATGGAGGTGGAGATGCTCCTTCAGGTATACAGGGCTGTTTAGGTCTTTAAAGGTCAGCACGAACACTTTGAATTGTTCTCAGAAATCCTGGGAGCCAATGTAGGTCTTTTAGGACTGGTGTTATGTGGTCCTGGCGGCTGCTCCCAGTCACCAGTCTGGCAGCTGCATTATGTATTCACGAGTTATGAACAAATACATGGTGTGTAGTGTTTAAAATCTGTTTTGTATTTTAAATCTTGTGTTTTAAAGCAGTGGTTCACAATTAGTTAAGTACTGTAGACTCCCTGTTTTTTAAAGCCATGGACCCCTTACTTTCATTATAAAATTAATGGCAACCATTGGGCTAAAAGTTCTGTGAGGATTGCCAAAGGAGGGAGTCAGGCTGTGCCCTGGCCAGCTAGAGGTATCAAAATTCATTGCACCAAAAGTTTTGCAAATACCTATCTTGCTAGAGATGATTGTGCAAACGTTTGGGGTTGTTGTTTTTGTTCTTAACAGGCTGGATAAAGCTGAAAAATGTCGTTCAACTTTCAATGTGAAGAATGCTTCATGGAAATTTGAGCGGAAACTATTTGACTCCATGTACCATATTGATCTGCTCATTTACCTAAAAAAAATCCAGTATCCAGAACATTACGGAATGTTCTCATTAACTGCTTTCAAACAAAACTGGCCTGTTTTACCTCATTTCCCCATACTCACTGCTGTTTTTCTCTATTCTGGTAAGTTATTTGGGGACAATACATCCTTTCAGTCTATATGAATGGAAGAAATGAATCAAAAAAAGTACTACTACAAAAAAGTACTACTGCTTTGTTTATAGCAATCAACATCCAGCTGGGATGAATATACCTACTGCATATACTTACTTTCCCCACCCGTTTCATAAATACCTCTGGGGCAGTTCAGTAGAGCTTGTTCGAGGGAATCAGAAGCGTTCAAAGTTCAGGTATGGTTGTTCTAGCAGTTTTGATTTGAGGCTACACTTTCTGCTTTGTGCAGAAAGTTCATCCACACTGAACTGCATTCGCATCACATGGATTCGTATCACAATGCCAAATGCAACACAGATCATGCCCTGGTGGTAGTCAAGATCGTTCTCTAACCAAAAAGGACCCAAAGTAGAAAGTGCAGCACTTTACAATTATTACAACATGTAGAAAAATCAATCAAGTGGCCCACCAGGAGCTTCAGCGATTTTCAAATGATAGGGGGAAGTTAGGTAACCACCAATGTGAGACACACACATAAGTACTATCAAAGGTGTTAACAACTGAAATTTCCTTTGGACAAAGTATTTATAGATGGTTATGTTTTGAACAAGTATGGGAAAACCCAAGTTTTATGTTCCACAACATATACCACATTGAAGCTGCCTTTTGGGACTTACATATTTCACACAAATTTCATTTCTCATTTAAAAATTGCACTACTTCCTATAATTTTTCTACATTTTCACTGACACATTGCTTGATATACAATAGGAAGAGTTTCAATATGAAGTTCTATCTTTTAACAATGTTCCATCTTACAAATAAGTTTTATAATTCATACAGCTTACATTTCATTAGTACAGAAATGCTGCTAGCCAATAAAATTGTGTCCATTTATTAGGACACTAGATGAATCCTTTAGGGAGTGAGGAGATAGAATAAGTCTATAAATATGGTCTGCCTTAAAAAAAAACAATTTGAAAGTATCTGTTAAAAGTTTAGTTATGGAAAGAAGTACAATTACAGGTTTTTTATTCAGGCTTAACAACAACCACCGCCATTGATAAGCCACAATATCTTAGTTACCACCAGTCTTTTATTAAGGCAAAAGCCTATCTATATTCCTGTATTTAAACTGCAATAGCAAATATAGCTCTGCCTGCTTTAAAAAAGCGTTAATTTAAATACAAACACTGAAGTAGGACAAAATTTAGCATCTACAATCAAGAACCAGACTTTTAAAAAGGTCATCATTTTAAGGGTTTTGCACCACTTCACACTTTGACTTTGAAACGTAGAATTACAATCATTGGCACAAATACCTATATACAAACAAAATAAAACCATCTTGTCCACTTAAGCAGCACATGGCTGCTAACCTGCTCAAGAATTCACATGTAAAATGGAGACCAGGTAAAAAAGAAACGGATTGAACAGTGTCCTGACTGCACCAGGAGTTCCCAAACTGCTTGATCAGTCAAAAAGGAAGAAGTAAACAAATACTTCCAAGAAAATAACTGCATCAACAGCATGAAGTTCATTAGCTTATGGCAGCTGCACTCTGTATGCACCTATCAGCAGCTTCACCTGTAAGGAAAAAAATGCCATTGACTATCCATCCAATTAAATGCTGAAAAGGCATGGATGACATACTCACAAGTACATGTATGTTCTCAAAGCCCTGCTAGCTTCACTCTCAACAGTGATTAAAGTATGGGTTTAGTTATTTTGCACAATGAACACATCTTACACAGGTATATTAAAACATTCTGATGGATGAAGCAACTCCTAGTCTGAGGACCCTATGAAAACTACTTCATCAAGCAGTAGCTCTTGCATTTTGTAACCACAATACACTTGGGGGACCATGTCAGGGTCAAAAAGCGGGGGGAGGGGGGGGGGGGTTATTTTAAAATACAGACTAGTTTGATAATTTAGTAAAGGAAAATATTATTATGTATTTTTATTATGCCTTTTGTCTGCTTGTTTTTTATTTTTGTGAACCGTCCAGTGATCTTTGGATGCAAGGCAGGATACACATTTAATAAATAAACATATCTACATTGTTTCCAACCACTTCACAAACTGAGTAGATTCACTGAACTCGTTGGTGATGACCAACTTAAGCCGATTTATTTCCTTAGCTCTACTGAACGTGAGTTGGTGTACATGCACCTGGAATTGCATTTCTCACCTTGGCAGTAGGAGCTTCCACCAATCGTATGAAGAGTTTGTTAAGGCCTGGAATAGGACTGAAGGAGTAAATGAAGTGACTGTCCTAAAAAGAAAAAGAAAAGAGCAAATTATTCTTTGACCACATGTCACAATATTATGCTCCTGGTTAGCTAGAACAAGCTGCAAGAGAACCATCAACTTTTCACCTGCAACCCCTTTTTGAACTACGTGTGTGTGACTAAGCTGAGCAAAGACCCAATGGTAGCCATAAGTTTAATGGGAAACAAAGAAGAACGCTGCTGCTGCAGCAGCAACATCACATTCTTGGATGTTTCCCTCCCTGCTTGTTCCCCCAAGCAGCCTCGCATTGAATTTTATAACAAACTCTAATGCCAAGTCTGGGAGCTCTGGCACGATGGAGAGCATAAGGAAGTTTTCAGAGACAGATGGCAGGGGTGGCAGCGTGAGAGACATCTGAAGATGGGTTCGGGTCTCACCATGTTCTTACAGACTTAGGCTTTAACAAGCTACAATGATAGACCCATTGCTAGCTCTTAGTTATAACAGCTATATAAAAGCTCAGGGGTAGTATGCTACCCCCTGTGGGCAACTGGGAAGCAACAGGAACAGGAAGAGGGCATCTTGCCACAGTGGGAATAGGATGCTAGATGAGATGACGCTTTGGTCTGGTTCAACAGAGCTGCTGTGTTCTTAACAGGTTTTGATCCCTGGAATTCTTAACGTGGGTGGAGATGAGCTTAAAAGCTTCCTTTCGTAAGTCCCTGTGAAGAGAGGTGGAGCTCGTCTATAGCCCTGCCAATTCTGTTGGGCAGACACTGGCAGGGGACTTAGCGAAGGGTTGTCTTTGTAGCTGCTCACATTAAAGGAGCCCAGAACAGGGAGGGCGTGAGGCTGGGCAGAATTGGCACCAACGCCAGAGTAATATTAATTAGCCTAGCCACTCACCTGGAACATCCGCGAAGAGAAATGCTCATTCCACGAAGGATGAAAAGCTCTGTGGGGCTGGGAGGGAGGGTGAGAGGATGAGAAGGAGGCAACGGGTAACTTGGCTACTCTAGGTATTGAACTATAGGGCAGAAGGGAGCAAGACCTCCACATCCTGCTCATTATTATTATTATTTTACTACTACTATTATTACAGTACTTATAGCCCACCTTTCCTCCAAGGAGCGAAAGATGGTACAAATGGTTCTCCACCTCCATTTTATCCACACATCAATGCTGTGAGGTAGCTTATGCCGAGATACTGTGCCTGACTCAAGGCAAGCTTCACAGCTGAGTGGGGCTCTGAATCACGGTCTCATTACTGCAATAGGCAAAGGTAAAGGGACCTCTGACCATTAGGTCCAGTCGTGGCCGACTCTGGGGTTGCGGCGCTCATCTCGCTTTACTGGCTGAGGGATCATGTACAGCTTCTGGGTCATGTGGCCATCATGACTAAGCCGCTTCTGGCGAACCAGAGCAGCGCGCGGAAACGCCGTTTACCTTCCCACTGGAGCGGCAACTATTTATCTATTTGCACTTTGACGTGCTTTTGAACTGCTAGGTTGGCAGGAGCAGGGACCGAGCAACGGGAGCTCACCCCGTCGCGGGGATTCGAACCGCCGACCTTCTGATCGGCAAGTCCTAGGCTCTGTGGTTTAACCCACAGCGCCACCCGCGTCCCATTAGTGCAATACTAACCACTAAACCACACTGGCACGCAACAGGGTCCTAGGAAGAGAGCTGATTTTTATCTTCCTGCAACATGTCCCTTGCATAGCAGTTGCAGATGTCTGCTGCCCACCTCACCATCTGATATTCGAAGTAAATACAGCTTTAAAAAACCCCACCGTGGACTCTGCTTAGCTCCACAGATTTTTCCCTACTTCAAAATACACTTATTGGGGTAAGCAACAGGGTCAACTAAGAGCTGTGCCCCAAGTGCCTAGGATGAAGTAGAAAGAAAATCTGAACCCCATTTAATTTGCTTATGCCTTCAAAACCAGAAAAAAAACTAAATGGGGAACTCTGTTGTTAACAAAACTCTTAAGAAGTACGGAAATGTTCCAGAGCTTGCTATTTCCCTCCCATTTGATAAGCTAGCATTAAGGAAATGTTTACTTGATGCTATATACGAAAGTTAAGCTCCCTTTTTACATAAAATCATAGGTAATCCTACTAGTCCCTTGGGGAAAAAATCCAAAGTGTATAGTAAGCCAACTTTTATTAGGGCCAACTAATATGTTACCAATTAGAAGAAGAAGAGTTTGGATTTGATATCCCGCTTTATCACTACCCAAAGCAGTCTCAAAGCGGCTAACATTCTCCTTTCCCTTCCTCTCCCACGACAAACACTTTGTGAGGTGAGTGAGGCTGAGAGACTTCAGAGAAGTGTGACTAGCCCAAGGTCACCCAACAGCTGCATGTGGAGGCGCAGAGATGCGAACCTGGTTCACCAGATTACGAGTCCGCTGCTCTTAACCACTACATCACACTGGTAGTAAGCAAGATTTAAAGTTCTCCAGAACAATTTGTCTATATGCAAATCAAAATTTTGGGGAGATGGACAAAAAGCTGAGAATTATGTTGAAACACAAAAATATTACTATTTGAAGTTATCTTAATACAGGAAATGTTAGGCAACTTCTATTAATAGCTGCTAGGTGCAAAAAGATTTCAGGATACACCAAGAACTGGTATAAAAACAACAAAGGCTATTTCCCTATTAAGCAAAGGCTGTCAGGAAGTAGGGAGGGAGTTCCTTGTGCCAAGGCGCTTGGGGTGCCCTTTATGCAGCAGGGGCAAAGCTGGCACACTTCCTCTCATATTTTTCCTCAGGAGAGGCCTGCAGGGCTTGCACTGGGGTGGGGGTGGGAGGCTATACTGCCCAGAAAAGGCAGCCAAAAACTGCAGGCAACATTGGTAGGAATCCAGAACCAAGATGTTACAAGTAAGAGGGCCAACATTATCTATACCCTCAACTGATACCTCTCAGGTTTGAAAATTTTCCTAGGCATTTTGCTGAGCTAAAAGTGCTTATTAAAACAGTAAGCAATACTAAAACAGCATTTAAGGTGCGCTGACACATTCTGTTTGACATCACAAAGTACGAAACTCTGGAGAACAGGCTTATATCCAAGGTCTAAAGAGTTACCTGAACAGTAACATTGATAAGGAATGATGGGGCTTTCAGAATTTTCTGATACCCTCAAAAGCTATCATGCCAGCCATCAGGCTTTAGTTTAAAACTCTTTAATTAATTTAATGGATTTAATTCATTTTACTCTTACTGTACTGAGTCACCTGTACACTTGTTAGAAACAACTGTTTCTACAAATGGTTGATATATATAGACACATTTTTATAAGCAAATATGTCTGGTATAAATAATAGAATCACAGAGTTGGAAGTGATCCCGAGGGTTACCTAGTCCAACCTTCTGCAATGCAGGAATCTCAACTAAAGCATCCATGACACATGGCTACCCAACTTTATATTTCTGAATAATTGTTATATGGTCAGTGAAGAACATGAAACATTTACCAAAAAGACAGGGAACTGGAATTTATCATTCAGAACCACAGCTTGTACACCGCATGGTCCACAGAGCCGAGCAGCAACAAGTTTACCGCAGAAGTTTGCATGGAAAATAAATAAAAGAATGCCAGAACCTGTGGAAAAGAAACAATCATGCATTAAAAGAATACAATACAAATGATGAATTGCCACTTACATGAGGAAATGCTTAAAATCTGTCTTGACAAGCAAATGTTTGAAAAGCCTGAGATTTTTACTTAACTGTGGGTAACATACTTAAATACCAACAATCTGATCAAAACTGATCAGATGACTCAAAGAATCTGTAATACCTAATAAAAGTTTGGAGAAAGACAGACTCAACAAATCCTCATGGAAGAGGATAAACTGGCGACACAGCCTGGATTACATTGTTCTTATACTAAGCCCTTAATTTACGCAGGGGTTCCGTGGATCACACCTAAAACCAAAATCACGTAGTCAAAACATTTAGTGCAACGGTGGGTGGGATTGCCAAAGTCTTTTTTCCTGGACACCTACCCCCTTTTAATTCCCCCCCAAGTGTGTAAATCTTAATGTGCACATATTAAATGTGCATAAATTGTGGGCTTAATCTATTGAATAGCAGGGCAAATTCCCTCCATCCGCCCTTGTAAAACAACTATCCCTGTTACAAATCAGAAAGAGGCACTCTGGACAGCAAATCCCGAACTGTTTCAAATTAATTTTGAGATGCTATGTATCTGTTTCCATTGCCAATCCTGAAAAGCACATGACTGCCAGACAAGGAACAAACAAAATAAAGCAGCCGCATTTCATTTTGGCGACTCTAGTTCTTATTCCCTACCATTTGGTTCCAATAATTTTACCATAATATTTGGATATGCTTTTTTCTCTCTCAGACCATAATCTCTCTACTGCCAGAAGAATCAGGTAAGCTCAGTGTTTCAGCTATCCAGAGATTAAAGCATAAATGTTGCTATTAAGCACAACTTAGTCTGTTTCTGATCTGCCCCGAGGGTGGGTGGACTCTCGCTCACTCACACACAGTTCAATGTTCGAAGAAAGAATGCCTTCTCATACAACCTTCAGGCACATTCTGCGGGGGTTTATAGGTGAACTCTGAAGAATAATCTGGTCCCTCACAAAGCCGATGACACGCAATATCAAGCACAGGTTCCATCAAAATAAGACGGGCTTCAAAGTATTCCTTGATTGTGTCTTCTGCCACTCGCGAGAGTCTAAACAAGGAAAGACAAAGTCAAGCTGTCGACATTATAATATATGTAAATAAATTATAGTTACTCTTTTTTCAGTATCATATCTGTTATAAAACCTTGACTACTACTTCAAACTAGCAGTTGACACAATTTTGTTCTCAACCATTTCTAGTTGAGTAGCGTAAATCCAACACCATACAGAAGCTCTGGACAGATTTTTATTACAAAGTGTTTTGATTTTAAAATATTATGGCATTATGTGTATGCACTTCCATTGTGCTTTTAAAACTTCATACAGGAAGAGCAAAGCCCAAATAATCCATCAACAAAGAAAAATATAGTTAGTCAGGGCAGCATCTTCCAAACTACTAACCAACAGTGAAAGAGAGAAAAAATATTTCACTTTATAGCCAGTGTGTGGAGCCCTTTTCCTCACCAGCTGTTGCTGAACTACAACTCCTATCATCCACAGCTATTGTCCACGCTTGCTGGGCTGATGGGAGATGCAGTTGAGCAACATCTGGAGGGACAAAGCTTCCCCACACCTGACTTATACTGATGACGTTCAGTACATCAGCCGTAGCCTACATACTTTGCACCCTTACATTAGCTAATGAATAAGCCAACTTGGCTTACAAATGTACAACACTGCCTTATTTGGAGTCCACTTAGCTGAATAATGTCTAGGCTGGCAGTTGATGCCTATGGTTTTAAGCAGGAGCCTTCCCCAGCCTGACTGGGAGGAGCCTATGGATTAAAATGTAAGGTCCTTTGTATAACTGTGCTATAGTACCTCCTCGAACTGAAGTGTAAATTTTATTCTTCAGCAAATTCCATTAGCTGTATCTGTTGGGTTTATCCAGAAGCTTTGGCAAGGCCCTGAAACCTGTTGCGAATTTTCTAGGCAAAACTACTATTCCTTTGGGTCTAGTACACTTCCAAGTACCAGATCCCTTTGTAGCAGAGTATCATGCAGCTTCCAAGTGTGTAGGAGTTCAAAGTCTAAGATGGAATGTAGAAATAAATCACAGGAAACAATTCAGAACAGACAGAAGGTGGTTGTTTTTTTTACTGTCGTTCTCAAGTTGCAAACTATACAATCATCTATCAGATCCCTGATGGAGGTTCAGCTTAAATGCTCAAGGCCTAGCCCTAAAAGCTGCCAGATCTTCTCTCACATCTTCACACTATGAGAACACAGATCAGACTAAACACCTCTCTGTCCAGCCCAGAAGCCACGCATGTGTAGAACATTCTTGGAATGACCTTGCACCTGTTGTAAACAAACTTCGCTTTGCACAGTTTCTGGAACTTCACACAGTGTTGTTTCTTGGAATGAATGACTCCCATCCCATCTGTACCTCTATACAGCTGCTGTATTTCTGAATTTTAATATTTTAACCTGTCCTGAGAGAATTCTGTCCAGAAAGCAAGCCTGTAAATACTTTAAACAAACTAAAGGACTTGCCAGTTTCCCCTCTTTAAAAACCAAGACATCAACTTAAATATAGTCCTTGATTCACTGGGGAAATTGACTCATCTCTCAAGCAAGTACTTACGTAGCCAAGTGACTTGTGAGGAGTTCTTGTACTTGTAAGTTATTATACTGTTTGGCAAAATGAAGGGCACTGGTCTGATGCTTTGATGAAATGTTGCAGTCTGCTCCACTTTCAATCATGAGACGCACAAGATCGTAGTTCCCTCTCCTGCAAGCCTGCGAGTGGAAGTTGAGAAAGCAACAGCAAAGGCACCATTATTTACCAAGTATTCTGGAGTAGGAATTCTCATGCAAAGAAAGGAAAAGAAAGTATTCCCTTATGAGGTTTTAAACACCTTTCAGGTAGAGACCACAGAGTCCAATTAACAGCACCAGTCCTATGTCAACCTTCACTCAATCTTAGGGGAAGAGAGAATGTGACTGAGAAGCAACCTCACACTAGATGGTTGGGGTGGAGTGAGAACAGCTGATAATCTTGCCCTCCATGAATTTGTGTAATCCTCTTCTGAAGCCATCAAAGTTGGTGGCCACCACTACCTCCTGTGGGAGCAGGTTCCCAGTTTAACTATGCATTGTGTGCATTCTTTTATCTTAATTCAGTTTTACGGGACGTTCACAAGGCCTAGTGTTACAAGAGAGCAAGAAAAACTTTTCTTTATCTCAGGGTTTCCCAAACTTGGGTCTCCAGCTATTTTTGGACTACAATTCCCATCATCCCTTACTACTGATTCTGCTAGCTAGGGATGATGGGAGTTGTAGTCCAAAAACAGACGCAAGTTTGGGAAACCCTGCTTTATCCACTTTTGCCCTGTCATGCACAATTTTACAAATTTCTAACTTATAGCCTCCTACTTGTCTTTTCTCTAAACTAAGAAGTCCCAAATGCTGCAATCTTTCCTCATAGGATAATTGTTCCATTCCCTTGATCAATTTGGTTTCCTTTTTCTGGACCCTTTCCAGTTCTACAGTATTCTTTTTGAGGCCAGGCAACCAGAACTGGACATGAACAAGTTAAAAAGAACAGGTCCCAATACTGATGAAGTTGGTCCCATCAATGTCAATAGTTCAATCCTGAGTAAAACTTAGTTGAGTATATCCAGTTTTAACAAAATTCTTCAAATTTACTCCTCATACGTCAGGCAAATAGGACATACCTTCATTAAAGCTGTTTCACCATTATTTTGCTGCAAATTTACATATGCTCCAGCTTCCAGAAGGATGGCTGCAGTAGTTAGGTTGTTCTGTAAGAAACAAAATATTGGTTAAAGTATGAATAGTCTGAACCTAGATAAACTGTTGAAAGCAGAGAATTTTAGTACAGCGAAGAGCCATAAAAACTAACTTAAGGCAGTTCTGTAAAAGGCTATTATTGCTCCTTAGATATATTTAAATAAAAGTTTTCAGAAGCCAGTTCTATTCTGCAGGACTGTCTATAGCAAACTCTAGTGCCAATGATAGCCATCCAGTGATACCTATGTCTCCAGATAAAAATGTGATAATTTTAAAAACATCTCTAAAAACAAACTTCAGATGTTTTGGAATATAATTTCTATCAGTCCAAACCAGCAAGAAGCCTGATCAACAGACTTGTAACATAATCTCATAATTTTAGGGTGCGTGTCCCCTGAAAATTCAAACAAGACACTGGAAATTCAGTTTCTTAAAAAACAGTAACCAGATACAGGGACTAACAAGTAGATCCTGGAGTCTGGAAGCCTCAACAGTCCAATCATCCTGCTACAGACCTAGCTTTTAATTTCTTATTCCAAACAAGCAACATTAAACAAATGAGAGCCAGTGTGGTGTAGTGGTTAAGAGCGGTGGACTCGTAATCTGGGGAACCGGGTTCGCGTCTCCGCTCCTCCACATGCAGCTGCTGGGTGACCTTGGGCTAGTCACACTTCTCTGAAGTCTCTCAGCCCCACTCACCTCACAGAGTGTTTGTTGTGGGGGAGGAAGCGAAAGGAGAATGTTAGCTGCTTTGAGACTCCTTCAGGTAGTGATAAAGCGGGATATCAAATCCAAACCCTTCTTCTTCTTTTAAAGGAAATGTCCTCAATTTAAAGAGAAGAGGCAGACAGAAAGAAACTCACCTTTTCAGCTGCTAGAATCAAGGCAGTTGTTCCATTTTTTTGTTTACAATTAACTTTTGCTCCTTTCCTGATGAGAAGACGGATGATGTCATCATGACCTCCTGCAGCAGCGAGCATCACAAGAGTCATTCCACTAGCATCCTGAAACAGTGGTATATTATTGTTTGGGTTTTGGTGACATTTTTCTAAGATACAACAGGACCAAATGATCTATTAGCAAAAGGGAATTCACAAAGCTGCTTGATGTTCCCTCTTCAATGCTTAAGTCAGACGCAGTCACAGATGGGCAGAGTATAGTAAAATTATTATCATTACAGCAAACAAAACAGGGACAATTTTTTTCATACTTCATTAGACTACTGAGACAATGGAATTCATACCCCAGGTTATTATTTTTAATGTTTATACTTTATTTTAGAATTTTATTCTGTAGATTTATAATCTTCTCTTTGATTGGTATATTCATCGTGGCTCACAACATTTATCAACAACATGCATTAAAAACCATACGCTTGGACTATGGTTTCATTTTTACATTAGTTACCGAAAGACTGCAGAAGGCAACGTAGTTCAATCTACATTAAATACAATACTACTGTGTCACCTGCATGTACAAGAAATTTGCTGAGTTAATTAAACTATTGAAATGAACACTCAAATAATTAAATTCCTGCTGTATTTTATACAGAGATTATTAAACTATCTATTTAACAAAAGCTTACCTCCTGATCAAGATTATATTCTTCATTTGAATTAAGTGCCATTTTCACCGTAGAATACTGTCCATTTTTAACAGCATCACGCAGCTGAGCTAAAAGTAAATAGGTTCAACAGTTCAATTTCAAAACTAGAGGTATGAAGATGCTCTCTCTGTCTCCACACAAACGTATCCCTCTACTAGCCTATCTATCTACCTATTTACACTCCACCAACTACAAAAAACTATAAAACTATAAAAAGTTGAGGAACATAAGACACATAAGATTTTTAACACAGAAAAAAATTCAGCAATATATATATAAAAAATATCTAAGGGTAAGTTCAATTTTCTAAAATCTAGCAACTTATTATCAAAAAATTAGAACCTTCCAATAAAAGAACCAACAGAGACTCTGGAGGTTGTCTCAAAAGGGATTATGAAATGGGATATATCATTGCTTCTTTAGCCTCCTGATAATAATTGCATTTAAAGAGAACATTAAACACTGACTCCACCTCTCTGTTATTTACAAGGGTTTTGTTATATCCGCCATCTAAAAGTTTTGAGGGCAAGGCATTTGTTACTGACCAGATGATATTGCTTCAGCTGCCGAGTCATTCTCATCTTCTCCATCAAGATGCTTTTGAAAGTCCTCCAGCGTTAGCCGCTCTAACTGCATGTCCATGCCCAAATTCACAGTTTGCTGCTTTGCATCTATGAAGTTTGAATTTTTAGGGGGGAGAAGAGAGACAACTTTGTCATCACCAACTAAATCACAGCCTCTGCAGACATTTTATACCCTTTATCACCTATCCTTCTCCAAGTCAAACAGAACCATAATTCACAGTGCACAGTAGGCTAGAGGCCCAATAAAGTGAAGCTTCATCCAAGACTGACCCAACCTGCCTGGGTTCACCCAGATGGTGCTCACCCTCTGCTGGATGGATCTGCACTCCTGAAGATAAATATTTGCAATCTGGGGCATTAATCCATCTTAGTCAGTGGATCATTTATTATCCAAGCAGAAATGGTATCACAATTGCATTCCAAGTTCACGTTCCTTGGCAGATGATCCCATAATCAGACCCAAAGCATCAACTCATAATTGCAGTGTTGCCCTTAGCCACTTTTGAGTTATGAGAGAATATCAGAGAAACCACTGGAATTCCCTGGAATACTGAACTGCTCAAGTTGTAGATTTTGAGATTCAAAGGGGCTTCAGACTAAGAAGTCTTGGCAGCAGGAAATAGAAAGACCAACGTATACCTGGTTTTGGAGAATGGGCTCTGTCAGAGTGTAAAGTGGGGCATGACAGGGAAGTAAAGCAGAGTATATAATTCTGAGCCATCTGAGGCCCAAGTATGTAGGAATTTTTCAAGTTTTCAAAACAGGTTCTTTAAGCCAGAGGACATAACTAGAACCTGTACTTAGTAAAGAACTCAAACTCAAGTAATCTATGTGGTGTTGTTTTTATCTTTTGTCCTCTACTTCACACTTCCTACATACCAGAATTGTCCTCAATGACATCATGGTCCCCCTCTGCTGCAATATAAGCCCAGGTATCTGTCTCATCCCTTGTGCTTCTGCTGTATGGTTGTTTGTCTTTCGATTTGAATGCCTCTGAAGATCTGTAGTCCTGCCCCGATTCTTCTCTTTTCCGGTTGTCCACATATTCATTTTTTTCTTCTGAAGAAATGCTAAACCCACCAAGTGCACACTTGACCTCTTTCAAACCTAGAACACAGTTAGCAAGATTATTGCCAATGGCACAGTTTCACCGGTTACAAAGCCTACCATAAACAAAATCTTTTTATATATCACAGCACAACCTACTTCATCAAAAAGTGAAAGTCACTTTCTAATTACATTCCAGAGATATTAGATACATTTTCAAGCTGTTCAAAGTCAAGACATTTTGAAATTGCTTAATTTATAGTTCATGTGAAAAGGATTTAGGGGTCTTAGAAGACCACAATCTTAACAAACATGTGTAAACAGCAGCAAAAAAGGCTAATGTTATTCTAGGCTGCATCAATGGAAGTATAGTGTCCAGATAAAGGGAAGTAATAGTACCGCTCTATTCTGCCTTAGTCAGACCTCACCTAGAGTACTGTGTCCAGTTCTGGGCACCACAATTTAAGAAGGATATTGACAAGCTGGAATGTATGCAGAGGAGGGCGACCAAGATGATCAAGGGTCTGGAAACCAAGCTTTATGAGGAACAGTTGATGAAGTTGGGTATGTTTAGCCTGCAAAAGTGGAGACTGAGAGGAGATATGATAGCCATATTTCAAGGGATGTCACATGGAATATGGAGCAAGCTTGTTTTCTCCTCCTCTGTAGGATTTGAAACAACTGATTCAAGTTAAAAGAAAGGAGATTCCAACTAAACACCAGGCAGAATTTTCTGACAGTAAGAGCTGTTCAACAGTGGAACGGACGCCCTCAGAAGGTGATGGATTGTGTTTCATTGGAGTCTGGCCATCTGTCATGGATGCTTTAGTTAAGATTCCTGCATTGCAGGGGCTTAGATTAGATGACCCTTGGGGACCGTTCCAATTCTACAATTATCTGATTCTATGGAAAAAAGATTGGGTGGCATTCAATTAAGATGTACTCAGAGTAGACCCATTGAAATCAATGGCCCTAACTTGGTCATGCTCATTAATTTTGATGAAACTGCTCCAAGTAAAACCACCTTTACTTCTTTAGCTTTTGAAAGGCCCTCAAAATTTATTATGAGCGACTTGATGAAGCTTAAAAATATCACCCAAGTACTGGTGCTTATTTATGATGATACATTACTTTAGTACACACCTACAAGTTTCAAAAATATATTCTGCATTGTTTTACTAAACTGACTAGAACATAATAGCACCAATGTGCTAGAGTCTTCAGATTAGATCTCCCGGCCTGCATGCATTATTTGGAAATTTAAGGTTGGGAACAATCAATTTCCCCTGACTATCAAGGCATTTGTACAATATTACCTGGGCAAGACAGTAAGAAAATATTGCATAACAAAAATAATTAATTCGCTAGTTTCGCATATGGAATGTTGTCAAAATAAAACTTAATTTTACACACTGGAAAGATATCAGCATGAAATAATTCTGGACCAAATATAACTAAACTGAACATGGTTGCAATATAAACCATAACTTCAACAGTGGCAAACTGCATACTGTACTGTACATAATTCTGGGTAGATTACACTGATGTTCTAGAATGACTTTAGAGATTACACACTTACTTTTCAATCCCTTCACATCTTTTTTGCCTTTTTCCTCCTTTTCAGAGACAAGCCTTTTCAGAAGCTTCTCTTTTGATTCACTTTTTTTGGCTTCTTTTTCCTGGAAAAGAACACTAAATATAGAAAGCAGGTTCTTAAATGCTTAATGGCAACAGAAGCTAAGAAACCTTGAAACTTTTGTACTTAACCTTCTGCTTTGTTAGTAACAAAAAGAGCAAGGCTTGGATATTAACCTGTAGATACTCTAAGAAGCAGTAAACATGTTCTCAATGGCCAGTCTATTCCACCTAAAGTTGGCAGTCATTAAAAATAAAATTGAGATGTATTTTAAGATGCTTAAGGATTCATGCAATAACCACAATCCAAAAAGCTGCTCTTAGGTGCACTTGAGGGTTTAGACCTGTTTAGTGGGAATCTTTGATCTTTTTTGAACAGATTCATTAGCTTTAAAAATGGTTTGCCATATTGGAGATAAAAAACAATAAAAACAGCACAGCACTATTAATGCCCTTTCCTTAAAAAACACTCAGTTCCCAAAGACCTGCATGTTAATTGCATTTAAGCCATTAGTTTGGCTCTAAAACCACTAAAGAGAATTTAACATGAATTGAAGTGCCTAGAAAAGTTAATTAAGAAAAGCAGAAAGGGGCTAAAAGATGTCCAGAAAAGGGCACAAAGTAAACTATAAAACCTTTGATTATGCATTATCCAGTTTAGATTACCTTAGATAAAGTGCTTCTTTCCTTTGGGATGTCATCAGTATTCGGCTCACTTTTAAAGATATTCTTCTTGCTGTCTGTGTTCCCTCCTTTACTGTATTCAGAATCCAGGATGAATTTTTCGAACACATTCTCACCTATGGAATGCTGAAAAGACCTCTCTTTCACCTTCTCCTCATCTGCTCTCGAATTTACATTCTTCTCTTTGCTTTCAACAGCAGTTGATTTTAGAGAAACATCCTTGGCATGGGAAGGGCTTAACTTAGTCTCTTTGATTTTCAATTTTGAATTACTACTTACTTCCCCTGTTGAATCAGTGGACTTGCGTCCTCGTTCATCAGCAGACAGTTTCACACCTTTCTGCAAAGGAGCAGGTGTAGCTGGCCTCTTATTGTCAGTCTCAGCTTTTACTTTATCTGCCATCTTCTGCTTTTTGTGTGCATTTTTTCTCTCCAAATTCTTGTCCACTTTTCTACTGTCCTCAGGTTGTTCAGACTTTATGTGTTTCTTCTTTTTCCTCCTAACCCTTACTTCAGAACTATCATCTGAGCTTGCTGAACTGTCTAGCTGCCAAGCTGAAACCCAGGGCGCATTTTCTTCTTCCAAGGGGTCTTTCCCAGCAGATGTCTTCTGTTTCTCCCCACTGCTGTCTGAATCGAAATCTGGAGTTTTGAAATCTGCAGCTTCAGAAAATAAATCTTCCAGCATGCTAGATTCAGCATCCAACTGTTGCGTACTGAATTTTCCCTTTTGCAAAGATTTATTCTCTTTAGGCTCCTCTTTCATTTTTTTCTTTCCATCTTTGATTTCTCCCTTTTTTTTACTGGTGTCTTTTAGCTCTTCTCTCCTCTGCTTTTTGGAATCTTTTGTATCTTCCTTTGAATCTGAAGTCCTTTTCTTTGGTTTTGAATCTGAAGCCAAACTATCAGAGGAATTCTCACATTCTAGTGCAGGTTTTTCTTTACCTTTTGCTGATTTAGACTTTTTCTTTTGCATTTCATCTTGGCTTTTGTCCTCCTTCTCTTTGTATTTTTTCTTTTTCTTCTTTGGAGACATGTCTCCTTTTGTATCACTTTGCCAGTCACTGTCTGCTTCAGAATCTGCTTCAAAAAGATCATCATTTAAAGGCAGCTTCTAGAGAAGAGAAGGAAAGTTGATTTAGTGATCTAGTGCCTAATTAAATGGACAAATCTGGATTAATGGCACTCTAAAGTTGACTGTTGCTTCCAAGGATTTTGTTTTGAGTAAAAGAACTGAACTGAACTCATGGTCCTTTCATACAAAAGTCCAATCCTGGTTACTCCCCCAAAATTTCTTAATTTCAGCAGTATAGTTTAGGGCAGAGTGGGGAGTCATTCTGTTGTTATTGTTAAACAACTGGAAGTCAGAAATCCTTGCTGATCTACTGCCTATCACTCAGAGATCCACTAGTAGATCCCAATCTACCTCTTGCTCATCCTTGCCATACAAGAGGACAGAATCCAAAGGCCATCGAAGGCACAGCCAAGGGCTCAGATGTTCCTAGTAGCATTTTTTTACTATTTTCTCTTTGACGAGGCATACTACACATTAACTCTAAAAGGAACCTGTTTCAAGAAACCCCAGCCACCCTGAGCTGTGTAGAACTAAGATGCATGGTTCTTTAGTCTAAAACTGTAACTCCTAAAAAGCATTTAACAAATGTTCAAAAACTGTGTGATTCTCAGCTAACAAAAATGAACATGTTACTAAAAAGAATTAAGTCCTATTGACTTCAGTGGATTTACTCTCTATTAAATGTGGTTTTATTATTGCAGTCTTAAATAAAAAGGTAATGATGAGCACTACCCTCTTCCTTATTAAAATGAATGATAATTGCTTAGGAACACAGTGAAAATGTGCAGATTTCACAAGGATCAAGATGACCAAACTAATTTCCTTTGTAACAAACAAGCAAAATTTCTGTTTGAAGATTCCTTCCTCCTCACAACGGATGCTGATAGAATTTTCAGTAAGTAGTATCTAGCCAAAGGGGTCTGTACAAACATCAAGGGTATCAAATATGCACATAATAAGCTAAGGCTATTTTAAAAACCACTACAGTGGTACCTCGGGTTAAGAACTTAATTCTTTCTGGAGGTTTGTTCTTAACCTGAAACTGTTCTTAACCTGAAGCACCACTTTAGCTAATGGGGCCTCCCGCTGCTGCCGCACCGCCAGAGCACGATTTCTGTTCTCATCCTGAAGCAAAGTTCTTAACCCGAGGTACTATTTCTTTTTTTCTTTTTTTTCAGCTTTAAGAAACATGGTTTATTCGCCTATTTACACCTTTAGTCTACATGGAGGGAGTCCAGATCTTGCAGCATAGTCATATTAAGAGGGGCTTGCTCCCCACACCGAGGTACTATTTCTGGGTTAGCAGAGTCTGTAACCTGAAACGTCTGTAACCCGAGGTACCACTGTACAGGAAATGAACCACCATAGTTCATCGAATAATGAAATGCTTTCTCCCAACTAAAGTAATAGGAGCAGATTTTATTAACGATAGGTGCATTTTCAATCATAATAAATCATCCATCCTAAGCAGGCAACTGATTAACCCTGAAGACAGTAATTGCAGACAACAGTTACCTCACTACACAGATTTTTGCCAAAACAGAAGGGAGAAAACCACACAGCCCCCCAAAAGACCGATTTCGGTTAAAAGGTAGTGCCCTTTATGATGGGGGGGGGAGGGTATAAAATAAATTCCTTGGTGGTAGATAAAAATTGAAATCAAACATACCTGTATCTCTTTTTTAGCAGGTTTAGGCTTAGAATCCACTATTTTCTTTCGGAACTCAAGCAGCACTTCTCTACAGTCTTCTAAATGTTCTTCAGGTTCCCATGTATCATCATCTGGGGAATATCCTTTCCACCGTACTTTGTATAGTATTTTACCCTAACAAAGCAAAGAGAGTTAGTAAGCACATGGCGTAGTAGTAGTAACAACAACAACAACAAATTATTTATACCCTGCCCATCTGACTGGGTTGTGCCAACCACTCTGGGTGGCTTCCAACTCAATATAAAAATACAACTAAACACCAAGCATAAAAAACTTCCTGATACAAGGTTGCCTTCAGATGTCTTTGGAAAGTCATGTAATTGGTCATCTCTGACATCTGATGGGAGGGCATGCCGCAGGATGGGCGCCACTACCGAGAAGGCCCTCTGCCTGGTTCCCTGTAACTTCACTTCTCGCAGTGAGGGAACAGTCAGAAGGCCCTCAGAACTGGACCTCAGTGTCCGGGATGAACAATGGGGGTGGACATGTCCCTTCAGGTATACAGGGCCAAGGACATTTAGGGCTCAGCACCAACACTTATGGTCCCGGCGGCTGCTCCCAGTCACCTGTCTGGCAGCCACATTCTGGATTATTTGTCATTTCTGAGCCACCCTTAAAGGTAGCCCCATGTAAAGTGTATTGCAGCACTCCAAGTGAGAGATAATCAGAGTGTGTACCACTCTGGTGAGACAGTGTGCAAGCAAGTAGGGTCTCAGTGCTGGTTTCTGTGTGTTGCCACTGTGCTGTGCTCTTGGAGTCACAAGACTCTGTTTTGCATTCCAGAGATTCCAGGCGGTTGGAAGTCTCACAGAAGACAGGAGAGGGATGTGATGTTACTGGTTTCCTGTTCCTTTGTTTCAGTTGCTCTCTGCTTTCAGAGAGAGCATGTATATATCTTTTCTGTCTGCGTAGTTAGGAATAAAACTCTTTGCAATGTAACTCAAACTTCTCGTCCTTCCCTGCTGCTGGATACTCTGTGTAATGAGGGAACATGCCTGGAGTCTTATCAGAGGCTCAGGTCGTTAATCATCGTCAGAGGAGGTTGAGCTTTTCCAGCTCGGTGGAACGCAAGTCCGACACTCAACAGATATTAACAGTATAATGAGGCATAGCCAGGATTTATTTTATGGGGGCAGGCTTTATGCTGGGGGAGGGTGCAATTGATCAGTTAAGTTTTTGTTTTTTTTTACTTGATGGGGGGGAGCTGCCTCCCCCTGGCTGCACCCATGAATGCACTGGCTCACTGACTGGATCTCCTCTGGTTCATATATGGCTAAAATTCTCTTTGTCTCTCACGTGTTTTGCGGGGGGTGGGGACAATGAATGTATCCATTCATTGATGAAATGTTGGGCGCTGAGTGTGTGCACACACCATGGATTTGAGGGGCAATACCTAATTCTTCACAGGGTCTCAAACTGCAAGTAAAATTGCCACAATCCTCACCCACATACTTGCTGCCAAATCCTGCAGTGCCAATGTGGAGAGAAACTCAAAAGTGTAAGCATGGTGTTCAAAAGTGGGTTTGTTTTTTAAAAAGCAGGGCCTGACTACCTCTGGAAATAGAATAAGACAATATTTGCGTCCAATACAACATACTGCCACTAGCGGGGGGGGGGGGCGGCCTCTCAGACCAGCTGTTTTGCATTGGCTGCAGAAAAAGGAAAATAGGTACGAGGCATTTAACAAGGATGCGATGAAGAAGTGTTGGCCTCTTGAAAGGGGAAGATGAAGAGGTCCGCGCCGAAAAGAAGGAGGCGTTTTAATACGGATTGGGCAGTTTTAAGGGCGGAAACTGAGCGCATCCTAACCCTCATAAAGTTGGTGCGCCTACTTCTCCCTGACGCTGTTTATGCTTTAAATGATTTTAAAAAACCCACATATATCAAATGCCCGCCCTTTTCGTGCCAGCTACACATCCCGGGGCAGTTTGTGTCCCAACTGTGCGCTAAAAATCAACAGGAACAGCCCGGCAGCTGCAAGGCAGAGCATCCTGCTGCAAGGCAAAGGGAAAGCGCCCTGCCAAGACCTTCGCTGCCTTCTCAAGGCCCGACCCCCCTCCGGACTCACGTCTTCGGTTTTCACGTCGAGGATCTTCTCCACCTCATAGACGTCCTCATCATCTTCGTCGCTGTCGCCGCCACCCCCCGCTGTAGTCCCCGCTCCTTCTCCTCCTGCAGCCGCCTTCTCCTTCTTCGCCGCCGCCGCCTCCTCCTCCTCAGCCCCACTCACGACGGCCGCCGCCATGTTGGAGCCGAACGTTCCAGCGGCGTCTATGAGGAGAAGCTGCTGCGTTCGCCTCTCCCCTCTCCTCACGGCTAAAGGCAACAAAGCGGCCTAGCGGGCGGCAAGGGCAGCCCGCCAATCCGCAGTCGGCGCCATCCCTTGCAGCCAATCAGGGCAGCTTTCGGGAGAAGCGGCCAATGCGAGGCAGGTTCCGGGAAGCAGCCAGTCAGAGAAGGGGGCGGGAAGTCTTCCTTCGGTGTTCCGTTTCCATCCCGTGAGGCGGATGTGAGGGGGTTTCCATGGAAACCGATAGCTCTGTGAGGTGTCGGCGTGCCCGTTTGTCCGACTGGGACAATTTTTGAACTTTTTAATTTTTTTAAAAAGGAACCCTTCTGCACAGGAGTGCCAACCTGAATAAAATATTGTGTGTGTTATCACTGTGGAAAATCTAATAATTTTTTTTTTAATTAATACAATATTGTGGGGGCCCAGCTAAGCCCCGCCCCGCATAATCGATCGTATTATGCAGTGCAACACACACTATTTGAATGGGAATGCCCATCAACTTTGTGGGGGCCTAATCCCCTCAAATGTTTTATTGTTGGGGGTCCACGGCACCTAGGTGTTGGCTCCTATGCGTCTGCATGTAATGTAGTTAAGTCGATACAGCGTGAGACCCTAAATCTCAGGGTTGTGGGTTTTAGACGCACGTAGGGCAAAAAAGGTTCCTGCATTGTAGGGGCTGGACTAGATAACCCTCGGGGACCCTCTACAATTATATATATGAGGCTTTTGAATGAAGCCAAACCCAAGTGGATGTCCCCCGAGGGAGCAGTGCTATAGCAGAATGACATCCGGTGGGATGGAGGAATCAGTGTAGGAGTCTTAAGGTGGGAGTGAAGTTGAAAAACGAACCTCCAGAGAAACAGGGCGAACCCAGTGTTTGTTAAAACAATCTTGGTGCCTTATATGGCATTTATATTTGTTTTTGCTCTGGTTTAGTATTAGGCTCCCCCCCCTTCATTGTACTAATATGTGTTTGTGGAGAAGTAGTATTTATAAAGTAATTGGGACCAGTAGGGGAGGCTTTTAATACAATTAAACATGGCATCCAGCCATGTCTTAGTGGGATAGGCCTTGGAGGCAGTGGTATCACTATGAATTAAAAGCAGCAAGGAAAGGAGTCTAGTTCAAATGAAGGTTATCACCAATATTTCTTCATATATTTCCTAAAGAATGATGCAAACCTGACCACCAAACCATGTTAATTTGAAGCTAAGTGTTGAATCTAATGATGCCCATCCACAAACATCCTCTTCCGCCCGCATATTTATTTAATCTTTTATTCTTACACAAGAAGGTCTTGCCTCTCTTCATTGGACTGTACTGCATTTTGCACAATTAACCTGTAGAGAAAGTGTCTATACTTCATAGGGTCTTATTTATGGCTAACACACATGACCTTTTCTGAAGTGTGGGACTATAGGAACATATGCACTGGACCATTTCCCTTTTCCTCATTCCAGCATTGCTTTTCCTAGCTGAATCTTCACAAAAACAAAGTAGCAAATAAATTCCCATGATTTGCAGGTAGAAAAGAAGGCTGGATAGTTACTGAGCAGCTTAGCGTAGTTTATTTTCATCAGGTGCAATTATATTTGAAAAATTATCAGAATGGTTATTCACACAGAAAAAATATTTGTAGCTGGGTAGATGTATTGATTTAGTTCAGAAAATAACTGTTGGACTAATGTGTCTATAATGATTACTTATTAATTTTTTAAGAGAGTGTTTACAAATCCAAACTAAATGCAAACTATCCCAATACATTCTTACATCCACTCTGATAGCACTTTATCAGCTTATGGCTGAAGGAACCTTTTTCTGCTTTATACTTAGCTACCATGTTGCATTCATTCTTTTGCCAGCATTAACTACCAGAGGCAATAAGATTTGGGAACATTTTCATTGAATCTGTTACACTGATGGAAACCTGTTTAAAAAAATAAATACTACGCAGTCAATCTCCAAACAGTTTCCATTCCCACAAACTTGTTTAAGCTTCTGCCCCACTATTTGCTTGTCAATCTTTATATTTCACTTCCCCATAACTACCAGGTTCATCAGCTAAACTTTTGACATGAATAGTACTGAGCCTCCTGGTCAGAATATCTCCTAAAACAGAAAACCATTTTGTAAAACAAAATGAACCCCAACCCAAAATGAATACTGAGAAAACAGGTCATAATATTTACTGTATACTATTTTTTTGGTGTTTTATATTCTTGGTTACAGTCTGGAGTATCAAAGTTCCATGATCAAATACATAGATAGAAAACCAAAAACTTAATCAGATAAAATCAACATATTATGATTAGAGACAAGCAAATAGATGATGATGCCATATTTCTGTTAGTCTGACTAGATATGAGGTGGGGAAACAACAGTAATGCCAATCCCAATCTCTTCAATATGCAGCAGCTTCTTCGTGGCAAAATCCCAGTCTTTCCCCAGATCAAGACGCTGGCAAATTGCTGGAAATTCTCGTTCAGTTCTCCTTGCCCACTCAACTGCTTTCTTTACAGGTTCAAATGCCCTGTGAACAGCGGAGAAAGGAGTGAATGAAATGATCGTGTCGAAATGAAACAGCAACTTGACCATAGCGTCAAGAGGGAAAAGACTTGTTCTGCTGCCCATAGAGGACAGGACTCTATCTCATGGGCCCTGTGACTACAATTGCATAGATTCTGGCTCCACATTAGGAAAAACCTATTAACAGACCAGTCTGAAAATGGAACCAAATGGATTTTCCTTGGCAGAGGTTTTCAATTAGAGGTTGGATGCTCTAGCTCTGGATTCTTCACATCAAGGAGGGGGTTGAACTAGATGGCCTAGAAGACTCCCACCAACTTTACCAATTCTTCCTTCATTAAAACAAAGAGGGCATCTGAAATCAACATTGTACAGATTTGTACGCATGAAGGGCTCGGTGGTAGCAAAACACATGCCTTGCATGCAAAAGATCCCAGGTTTGATGCCTCACATCTCCAAATACAGCTGGAAAAGATTTCTGACAAACTCTGAAAAGCTCCTTATCAATCAGCTTAGAAAATACTGAGCTAGATGGACCAATGATCTGATCTGTGTAAGGCAGCTACTGACATTCCTAAGCCTCTTTTATTCCAGTGAAACAAAAGAAAAAAATTCCTTCCAGTAGCACCTTAGAGACCAACTAAGTTTATTATTGGTATGAGCTTTCGTGTGCATGCACACTTCTTCAGATACACACAAAAGCTCATACCAATAACAAACTTAGTTGGTCTCTAAGGTGCTACTGGAAGGAACTTTTTTATTTTGTTTCGACTGTGGGTACCTTATTCCAGTGAGATTTATGTGGAGGTTTCCAATGGATTGCGAGTACCCTTAACATAGCTATACCACAAACTAATTACAACAAACTGTAATTCAGGAAAACCTAAGAAAAAAAAACTTGCTACAGCCCCCCTAACGATACAGGGGATGGGTATCTGTTGGGGGTTGGTGTCATTCATTCTCAGAAAGCAAGAACATTCTGTGTTGCTGTTATCTGTGAGAAGCTAGTTTCCAGAAGCTGCTAGCTTGGACAGCTACAAGGTCAAAGAAGGAGGTAATCTGGGCATGTGCAGCTTCTGGGGAGTGACAGTGAGAACTCTTTTAAGGAGTCTGATCTTAGCCATCAAACTGGCTGGATGTAATGAGACCTCTGCCTGGAAAGGCAGAAGCAATGAACTCTTTGTAAATAGTGTTTGTAACCTTCATGCTTTTTATGACTGGCAGTGAAACTACTTTTCTGTCTGAAGCTGGAAATCTGTGATATATTTGCGTCTTCTCTCTCTGAGCTCACCCTGGGTATCCTTCACCCTGGAAAGCTACGTTTCTCTGCTAATTGGGCCAGCTATGTGGGAAGCGCCACTGGTCCCATTTTGAAGTTTTTACAACGGCATCAACCCAGGTAGAAGGTTTATCTCTAAAGTTAGCATTTGAAATGGATTTAGTTACAGACTGGGTGGTTAGAACCTCAGACTCTTGATGAACTTAGCCTTCTCCTAATGTTGGACTTGGTCAGTCCTCTTTTCCAAAGACTAAAGTTTCATATTAAACAAGTTATTATTATTTGAAATTCAAGTTACTGTTTAAGCTGCACTCAGGTGTCACCCACTTGGAGTCTCATATCCTGAAACATCCCCCTGAATATGTGTTTTACAACCAGAGGAGGGCAAATGGCAAATGGAGCACCAACCTGCCTGCCCTCAGCCAGTCGCCACCTTTCCTGCTTTACTTAAAGGCAGTCAGAGTGGCTCTACCTGTCAATGGTGCAGGATACATTTCTGGTCTCCCTGACTTCCACCTACAAGTCTCAATGGTCCCCAGCCCCCCATGTTTACAACCTCAGTTTGCTTTGACTCAAGGAAGCCCTACTACTACGAATTAATGCCTACAACTGATTTAAACGCTTTAGCTTTTAGAGAAGAGTTGCCTGAAATGTTAAGTCTGCTTACAAAACATACCACGATGGGGGAGAGTCATTCAGTGTTGTTAAAGATCTGAAGACGAGGCCTTCCAGTTGCTTGAAACGTATAACCTGTAGCACCAGAAGTGTAGCAATCAACCGCAACAGCTTCTCTTTTCCTTTGGGGCCTGGATGAATAGAAACAAGCAGTAGCATTTAACTGTCTGTGTTTCATATTGAAGAATTAATTCTTAAAAGTACTCCTAACTAAAGTGTTAGTGCTGTTGTCAAGCAGACTGGTGGTACCCTGAATATCTAAAACTTGAGTATCAAAAGATTTCCCCCCTAAGAGTGCATGGATCCCCTCAGCCAGTTTGCATTTCTTAGTACAGAAAGTATTGATCTGATGTGTAGAGATATTTCCTATTCTAATTAATTCAAGAGGGTTCTGGAAGCTTCTCTGGTTGAAAGAAACAAGCAGAAAATTCATGATGTTTGGGTTATTCCTTCAGAGCAGCTGAGTACAGCTGGCTTAAACTGGTTCTGTTATCTCTTTCAGTCAAGGTCATGCTGACTATAATAACAAGGCCAGAAGGAGCCCGGGTTTCTCTTTCTATCTCTCTTCCTTCTGGTGTGGCGTTCTGTACATAATATGCTTAGTGTGGAGGTTTAGTCTTATTATAAGTCATTGTAAGTTTAAGTTAAGTCTGCTGCAACTGGATTTCTTATGGACAGTGCCAATCCTAATCCTGAATGTATTGGATTTGTGACCATTATGCTCATTTGCCTTCAGTAGCAGTAAAGTTCTGCTGGATGAAATATAATTGCCTCTGGTCTATTTTTGGGGAATCACGCAACATGTTTAAGTTTTTACTCTGCAAACTATACATTGGGAGTTCTGCTCTGGATCATATTGAGTAGAATTCCATGACACCCTCACTCCCAAATCCATTCCATTGAGCTTTTATTATAGCTGTAAACAGTATTTGTGAAAACCAGAATATCTAATTATATTAAAAAATAATTTGATTCCCACTGGATCATTTACTGTTGTTGAGTGGCAGGCCCACAGTTTGCTCATCTTGCCCTGCTGCAGAAGCGGAACTAAGTCTGTATACAGCCATAAAGCAAACATTAAAGCCTATTGTTTTCAGTGGAACCTAGGCATAGTATTTATACAGCTACCTATGTATAAATACTATGCCTAGGTTCCACTGAAAACAATAGGCTTTAAGTTAGTCATTACTGACTTTTCACAATGCTTTCAGTGGGAATAAGCATTTCAGAAGTTCGAGTACACTGTATAAAGGAAGTAAAATGGGATTTACCAAGTGAATTAATTCCCTTTTTTGCAAGTGAAACGTTGACAAAATAATCCACATCGAAATCCAGAAGAGTCCCAAGCTCAGGGATCAGCTGCCAAAAACCATCCTGGAAAACACATTCATAGAAAATAAAATGGGGGAAGAGGAGAATTGTTGTGTGAAAGCTATTCTTTTCTTTTTTTTAAGGAAAATAAACACATGTAATGAATGGCTCTATAAAAAAAGAAAGCAGGCAGCCTCTTCAACACAGGTGAGGCACAAATGGGCAAAAAAGGTAAGGTTTCTCATGTAACAGAAGTGGAAAATTTGTCTTCTGGATAGGGCTGCATTTCCCTGGGGGTAATCTGTTTAAGGCTGCACGCCAAGAGTGGCAGGGCCAGAAGCAGAAATGGGGTGGGATGCCCCTTTTCTGTTTTTGCTTTCTCCCTGTTTTTGCCTTTCTTTCCATCTGCATGAAATTAGGCCAAATATTGTGTGCAGCCCTCAGGGTTTAGGTTGCCCACCTCAGTCATTAACATACGAAGAGACCGAAAGTTTCCTCCCTGGCTATACTTTGTGTTTTCTGTGAGATCTTACTCTGAATTTCTTTCTGTTATTCTATGCTATGTTTCATTTTCATTTTAATGTCTAATTTGCTTGACGCCCGAAGAACCTGTGTATTGAGGCATCTAGGATATGCAAATACATAAATAAAATTCTGCTTCATTTGGGAATTTCTATACCACCCCATCAATGGTATCCTCTCTGGGCAGCTCACAAATGTAAATCAATAAAATATAAAGATAATCATAAAGCTGCAACAACAAACTCTATTTGTCAAAATGTCCCTTCCCCACAGTATCAGAGGGATAGGCCCTCTGTTTCTGCAAAATAATGGTAGAGTCATGGGCGTAACCAGGATTTTTTTGGGGGGGGGCAGGACTTTTGTTAGGGGGGCAGAACCGACGTGATTGGTCAGTTAGTTAAGTACTTCTATTGTTTTACTTTATCTGGGGAGGGGGCAACTGCCCCCTTTGCTCCTCCTGGCTACACCCAAGGGTAAGCTCCATTTGTCTGTTTCCCCCCCTCTTTTCTTGCAACAGCTAGAGAAAAAAAGAAGGTGCATACCTGATCCTGGAGTTTAAAGAGTTGAGGCCAGGATACAACCCTTAGCGGCTTTTGTGCAGGAAATGATTGGTGCCTTTTCATTTTGTGCATCTCCAGGAGAGTATTCTTTAAAGAGAGAGACAGACAACAATGTAGAGTGAAAAATATCCCCCAGAGCTAGTCCTCAAGGGATGTGAAGAATCACAACCTAACCCAGCACATCTAAAAGCCCTGCTCTCTAAGGGTAGGTGCTCCATCAAAAATAGTAGTATAGGCTAGAGAAGCAATAAGAACAGATAAGCATATATACTGTGTGTGTGTCTGTGTGTGTGTGTGTGTGTATACACACACACACACACACACACACACACACAAAATCACCCAACCTTCACCAGAATGTCCCAGGGTGGATTACAATTAACATACAGTTTTAAAAATAGTTAAAGACATCTTACCCCCTGCAAGCTATAGTGCATCTTGTGAGAAGCCTCAGAGGTTTCCTTTGAGCACTGCATTTCTGGCACTCTGCGAAGAGGGCTGACCGACTCCTGTGCACTTCCTTGCGCAAATGCTTTTCCAGGTGCTAGAGAAAGCTTAAGAGCTTGCACTCTTTTAGGTGGAAGCGCTGGAAGTAGAAACGGATCCTTCTGTTGAAGCATATCAAATTCCCTCAAGCTAAAGCTTTGGGGGATTGCCTGTGAATCAAACGAACCAGTTGCGGGTGATCCAAAAGTAGAACCAAACGGACCAGTTGCAGGTGATCCAAAAATAGAACCAAACGGACCAGTTGCAGGTGGTCCCGAAGCAAACATGTTGAGGCTGCCTCTAGGCAGAGGAGGTGGGGGAGCAGCAGCGGTGCTTACTGGAGCTTGGGGAATTGCCTGTGAACCCAAACTGGGACTGGAAATAGAACCAAACAGACCAGCTGCAGATGACCCAAAAGCCAACGTGTTGGGGATGCCTCCAGTCAGAGGCGGCAGTGGTGAAGCAGTGCTTATCGGAGCTTGGGGGACTGCTTGTGAACCAAACTGAGCAGCTGCAGGTAATCCAAAAGCAGGTGAGCCAAAAGCAGAACCGATCAGACCAGTTGCAGGTGATCCAAACTTGCGGATGTTCCCATATAGAGGACTAGGAGGCGGTGGAGGAAGGGCGCTTATCGGAGCACTATTTTGGATTCCAAAACCGAAGCCTGAGGAGCTACCCTCAAGCTTGCTGCCAGCAATAGGAGGAGAAGGCACCTATGGGGTAAAAGTTGTTATTTTAGACTCAGATTTGCTTCACACACATTCTGCTTTTCCTACATTAACTACCACAGCCTTGAAAAATCTGCTTCTGAAACCCCTCACACAAAACTCTTGTAATGTTAAGGTATGCCTCCCACCAAGTTGTACAACTGATTTAAAAAAACCCCCCGAAATGTCTGCCTTGGGAGAACTTCCTCAAAGGACCTTTGGATTGTTGCGAGATTGCCGTCTAATGGGATTGCCTGGCAGCAGGGGTGTCTAACCAGTGGCTATGAGATGTCAGTAGACTCCAACTCCCACCACCCAGCATGGTAAACAGTAAAAAAATGATGGGACTTGTAACACAGCAACATCTGGAGGGCCATGTACAAGCCACCCTTGCCTTGGAGTATTCCCCGATCATAACTTGGGATTTAACAGAAGAATGTTAGCATTTCCTAGTGGTTCAGCATCTTTACAAGAGTGAATTGTGAGAAGATAGTTTCTTAATCCTTCTTGAATGTTTGGGGTGGGAAAAGCAACCATTGCTAGGAAAAGGGGGCACACCCAACAGTGTGTGTGTGTGTGTGTGTGTGTGTGTGTGTGTGTTTATGCATAACGGAAAGTTTTGCAAGGGGAAGAAGCAGAGTTAGCTGTGATCTGAAGGCAAGTGGTGGTATCTCTCTCTGGGGACTGGATGCGAAGGGGTAGATCAGCTGCATGGCAGGACAGCATATACCAGTTGCCTCCACTTGTGTGCTCCACTTCTATATTTGTAAACAATCCAAATATTACAAAAATGCTGTAGGTATCCAAATAGCACGGCTGCCCCTGGAATTTCTCGCTGCTTGGGAAAGCGGTGTGCATTCCACATATGATCAGACTAGGAGGCTTTCAGAATTACCCACAAATCAGAGCTGGGATTGGGACGAGATACGTCGGCTAACGGCAATGCAGCTGCTGAACAGTGAGGGGAGAGAAATCGGGAGACTCTGTTCGTTGTTAAGTTTACTGGAGAAGAAATCTCATCTGCTAATTCAGACATGATGTCAGGTATGGAAGTATCACTCAACTATGAAGAAAAATCCATTCATTTAGACTCAAATATGGTTCACACACGTTATAAGGGATGCGGGTGGTGCTGTGGTCTAAACCACTGAGCCTCTTGTGCTTGCCGATCAGAAGGTTGGCGGTTTGAATCTGCACAATGGGGTGAGCTCCTGTTGCTCTGTCCCAGCTCCTGCCTACCTAGCAGTTTGAAAGCGCGCGAGTGAGCATAGATAAATAGGTACCACTGCAGCGGGAAGGTAAACGCCGTTTCCATGTGCTCTGGCTTCCGTCATGGCACTCCATTCTGCCAGAAGCAGTTTAGTCATGCTGGCCACATGACCTGGAAAGCTGTCTGTGGACAAACGCTGACTCTCTCAGCCTGAAAGCGAGATTAGCGCTGCAACCCCATAGTCGCCTTTGACTAGACTTAACTGTCCAGTGGTCCTTTAGCTTTAACTAATGACACATGTTATGTTTTCCCTAAATTATCATTCAAAACCCTTGAAAATCTGTTTTTGAATCCCCTCAGTGTTTAGATGTGCCTCCCACTGAGTCATACAAGTGGTCAAAAAGTTCCTCAGAATTTTTGTCTGAAGAGAACTTCCTTAGAGGAATTTTAGAAACGCACACCAAATAATGTTAATATTTCTTGGAAGTTCAGCACAGCCAGTGGATGTGTCTTTTCTGAGAGCGCATTGTGAGGAAACAGTTTCTTGATCACCTTGGAATGTTTGAGATGGAGATGCTATGAATGCCCAGAAACAACTCTGTGCGTGTGTGTGTGTGTGTGTGTGTGCGCACAAAGGAAAAAGGGAAGCAGTTTTTGGTATCTTTCTCTGGGGACTGGATGTGAAGGAGTGGATTGGCTGTGTGGCAGGCATACACATGCTGGTTGCCTCTGTTTTGGCTCTACTATATGTGTAAACAAACCAAGTATTACAAAAGTATTCTAAATGCCCAGTGCTCTCTTCCTCCAAAAAAAGACACCTGTGTGAAGTAGTACTGACCCAGGGGAAGTGGTATGCTCTTAGCATATGCCCCGGCTAGGCAGCTTTGGGGATTACCTTCAAGTCAGAACTGAGAAGACAACCGCTCATGCCACCTGCTGGCGTGCCACCTGTAAATTCCTCCAGCACTGACATACTCAAATTCTCTGCCTCAGTACGTGGAACTGCTTTCTTAGGTTGCTTCTTAAGAAATGACATCCGCAGTGGAGGAGCAGCTGACATATATCCGCTCTCATCTTGAAATGCTTCAGGCACGTGGTCAGCCATGGAAACCACAGACTTCTGCGGAGTAAAATTTATTCTTTTAGTCTCACAGCTGGGAAAACACACATTGTTTTTATATATCATTATTCACAATGCTTATAGAATCTCCCCCCCCCCCCGAATTCTACGTTATAATGTATTCATGCATATGTTCTTCAGTGTAAATTACTTGCTGTTTGGTGACAAGAAACGAATAGGTTTAACAACAAGAACAGTAATCTATGATCTGTCGGAAAGAAACCTCCTTAAAAGGATTTATTCTGGAAATATAAACTATAGGCATCAAGCATTAAAAATCATTTTTACTTAAAGGGGGAAAAACTATACTAGATCTGTAGTCAACCTAAACTGTAAACAATATAATCTGGGACTAAGCACTGAGTACTTTTATTGCTTTAATGCTAGTGCCACAGGAAGTTACTGATTCGTTAATTGATCCCATTCAGCAAAGTTACTTCTAAGTAAACATGAATGGATCACGACAATGGAGGAAGGCATTGTCGGATAATTAAGCTCTATACCAGAGCTTCCCAAACTTGGATCTCCAGCTGTTTTGGGACTACCTAGCAAGACTCAGTAGTCAGGGATGATGGGAACTGTAGTCTAAAAACAGCTGGAGACCTGAGTTTGAGAAACTCTGCTCTGTACTGTGCTGTGTAGAGCTACCATTTTAATTCAAGCTGACTTAGTGAAAACCTTACTTCTGGGCTAGCATGGATAAAATCTGTGTCCCCCCCCCCCCCCAGAAATAACTACATCCTCACATGTATTTGTCTCCGCTGATACAGATAGGCTTCTTAGGAAACAGAGGCAGCTCCTATGTTCCAAATAGTTGTGTGTACAACTTATGATTAACTGAAGCTTGCGAGTGTTTTCATGACACAGGTTTAACTGAAAAGTTTCATCTTGGAAAAAATGCTTTCTAGAAGTGAATCAATGAGGCCTTTGAGTTATGTTAGATTAGTTCTTAATCTTGTCTAATGAATACCAAGATTGTATCAATTATTACACTTATTAAAAGGGATTTTAATACTGAGTTCAATGGGACTCAAAGGTCAGAAGGTATAAGACTCCATCCTTAAACTTGTGCAATGAATTAAAAAAAATCTCAAAGTGTGCAACAGCTCTAATTAAAATGGCTGACCAATAAACTGCTTCATGTTTTTTCTTGTATTTTTTGCACCAATGTACCTCAAGTTCCCTTACCATTTTTCTCCTTTTCTTTTTCGTTTTCTCCACAAATTCTATTTCTTCCTTCTCAATAGCCACTTCTTCATAAACTCCAAGATCTTCTGCTAAATGAAAGTCAAGCATCGGCTATATATGGGTGGTGAGAGGTGGGGTGGTAGAATAGAAGAAAGCATAATTAGTAATGATTATTGTACTAGTAATAATAAAACATGTCAGGAGTATAGTTGGGATCAAGACTGTGATACACAGAGAAGTTTTTTTTAAAAAAAAAACTCCCCCCACCCGCCCAGTGCCATATCCCTGACAAAAAAAATGCCCTCAAATGTCAGTACAGTGGTACCTTGGTTCTCAAGCATAATCTGTTCTGGGAGTCCATTCGACTCCCAAAACCGTTCAAAAACCACGGTATGGCTTCTGATTGGCTGCAGGAGTTTGGCTTCCGAAAAATGTTTGCAATCTGGAACACTTACTTCCGGGTTTGTGGGAGCCTATTTGTTCGGGAGCTAAGCCGTTTGACAACCAAGGTACCACTGTAAAAGTTTTCCTCCCCGAGCAAACAGCAATTTCTTGGGAGTGGGGCACAATTCCTCCCACAGTGTGTCCCCTTCCCCACCTTTGAAAAGAGTTGTGGGGGATGAAGAGCTCTTAGAATTTGAAATGCAGAACAGTGTCTTCAACCCAGCCAATGTAGTGCAACCTATATATTTTGGATCATAACTTTCATCATCCCTGACCACTGGCCATGCTGACTGGGGCGGATGGGAGTTGAGAGTTCAAAACATCTGGAGGGCACCACATTGGCTACCACTGTTTTAATTTCACTAAATTACATTCCAATGTCTCAGTGTTCAAGACATTTGCAAAGGAAGATAAACAAAGGCAGAATAGGCAAATTAAACGGAATACTTCAGTTCGCTAAGTTAGTAAGAGGGAACTGACCCATCAGATGCGCCTTCCCCACTGAAGTATAGCTCTTGTTTTCGTCTAATGAAATGTCAAGGTTGTATCGAAGTATAATTACACTTATTAATATGGATTTTAATACTGAGTTCAATGCAATTCACAGGTCAGGACATGTAAGAGTCCAACCTTAACCTCATACAATTAAGCAAAGGCAACAACCTTAATTAAAATGGCTGGCCAACGTACAGTGCGGTTTCAAGTATTTTATCTTTTTGTCAACTTACTTCACGGTCTATTACCTCCTCCTCAAAGCCTATTCCCTCCTCCTCAACGATGGAGGCTCTTGATGACTGGAACAAACACACACACACACACACACACATATATATAGAGGTGGTGGGGAATGAGATAAAATAGGGAAGAAAGCAAAATTAGTAATAATGAAAAGTGCATTTTACCATGCCAAGGACCACAGACCACTTCATGAGATGCATAAAGTGGAATGCATGAAGGGAGAAGAGGACCAGAAAGTGTTGGATACATACAAAACTTAGGGACTCGCAAGGAGCCGTCTGTCCTTTTGACTGATATTCCATGTAGGGTAAGATGTCTACATCCATCTTGGCTACAAGTTCCAAAACATCCAGAGTATCAGCAGTCTGGTCTTCATTTGTATCCTGAATATGGGGGGCGGGGGGTAGAATAAAAAGCACCACAAAAATAAGTATTAAAAAGCAAGGTTATAAATTACGTAAAATAATGTGCATGCTTCAAGATACAAAAATGAACACTGGAATTAATCTGAACTGGGATGGGGAAGTCCTAAGAAAAACATAGAAACTTTAAGCCAGAGGTGGGGAACCTGTATACCTGAAGGAGCGTCTCCACTCCCATCGTTCAGCCTGGACATTGAGGTCCAGCTCTGAGGGCCTTCTGGCAGTTCCCTCACTGTGAGAAGTGAAGTTACAGGGAACCAGCAGAGGGCCTTCTTGGTAGCGGTGCCTGCCCTGTGGAATGCCCTCCCACCAGATGTCAAGGAAATAAACAACTATCTGACTTTTAGAAGACATCTGAAGGCAGCCCTGTTTAGGGAAGTTTTAAATGTTTGATTCTATTTTAAATATTCTGTTGGTAGTTGTCCAGAGTGGCTGGGGAAACCCAGCCAGATGGGCAGGGTATAAATACGTTGTTGTTGTTGTTGAACTACCATACCTAACCATTGGCTATGCTGGATGAGCCTGATGGAAGTTGGAGTCTAACAACATCTAGAGGGCCGCAGGTTAGCCACCCCTGCTTTAAGCAGATTCAGCATGTTCTCCATCATGTGCCGCTCTGCTTGGCTGTAGGAAGCCCCCTCAGGCAATGTTTTCCTCAGTTTGCATTGGTCCATGCGTAACCCAGAGTGGAGCTCCTTTCAGGTGAAGGATGCCTCCTCACCCCACAGATGATGCGACATGCAAGTTTGGTGTTTCACACTCAGGCATAAATGATGTGAGCAGTCCCTCTGTGCAATGGGATGGAGCAGCCAGTTTATTATGTTACATCATCATCATCATCATCATCATTTATTTATACCCTGCCCATCTGGCTGGGTTTCACCAGCCACTCTGGGCGGTTCCCAACAGAATACTACAAACATGATAAAGCATCAAATATTAAAAACTTCCCTAAACAGGGCTGCCTTCAGGGCTGCCCACCACACCTTTGACGCACCATATGTTGCTGAACTATGGTCCCCATCAGCCATAGCAGGCATGGCCAATGGGAAGGGATGATGGGAGTTGTAGTTTAACAATATCTGGAGGGCCAAAGGTTTCCCACACCTGTGTTACATCACCTGGCCTGCCCCAATTTTGCAATGTGTCCAAGCCATGAGATTAACAATTATGCTACTTTGAACAATTGTTCAATGGCGAAATAATCATCTCAGTCAACAAGTTAAACTGGGTAACCAAGTACACTCCCCTGCTTGTTCTCCAGAATGGAGACCAGTTGAAAATGCAATGCATTTTACAGCTGTTCTGAGGAAAACAATGCCAAGGGAGAGAGGGAGAGAGAGAAGGGTAAGCAGAGAAGCAGAAGGAAGAATAGAACAAAGATAAAGCTGTTTTGAAAAAAAGGGAAGAAAATAAGTGAAGGTGAAAAACAAGTGAAATAGCATCTTTAGATTCCAGGGAGAAAAATAGTATTTAGACTAGACACGAAGGTTTTCAAGAGATGAGATGAAAGAAAAGCACTGATTCTGGGGAAGGCTTGAAGGGGATCTGGGTGGAGTCTCCTGAGCAGGAGTATAAAAGGATTCATGGATTACATGACCCAAGTGGTAAAAGGATACAACCCATCTTTGGGTGCTTCTTCTTCCCAGCATCTTCTATACTTCTGGTGCTCGGTAATAATAAATTCAGTCATTAATATTAGGTCAATAAGAGAACTTGCCAATCAGAAGGTCGGCGGTTCGAATCCCTGCGATGGGGTGAGCTCCTGTCGCTCGGTCCCAGTTCCTGCCAACCTAGCATTTCGAAAGCATGCCAGTGCAAATAGATAAATAGGTACTGCTCCAGTGGGAAGGTAAACAGCATTTCCGTGCGCTGCTCTGGTTCGCCAGAAGCGGCTTAGTCATGCTGGCCACATGACCCAGAAGCTGTACGCCGGCTCCCTCAGCCAGTCGGCGACTGGACCTAACAGTCAGGGGTCCCTTTACCTTTACCTTTAAGAGAACTGATGAAGTATGAACGGTGGGCCCAAGGATTAAGTGACAGCTCATGCGTACAAAGTACCTCAGTGAACACACGTACCCTTTTCTCAATTGCCACAAAACTTGTAAACTGGGTCACAATGGAGTTCTTCAGACTGAGCTCAATGATTTGGGACTTCAACAGCTGCTTCTTCATCTAAATAGGTAAGACACAGGCATATTGTTATTTCAAAACAACACAGAGAGCTCTAATCAAAGCAGGTGAAGTATAGGGCTGAAAACAGTGAAGAGATGCTTCTCTAAATGGTGAACCAAATAAGCATTGGCAAACCACTCCCACAATAATAAGGTCAGTATGGCTATATTGTGGCTGCTGAAAATAAAAGCTGGCTACAAAAGCTGTGAGGTTTTATATTTGAGGGCATCTGTCTTGCTCCACATACAATGACCCCTAGTCCCCTCCTTGCCAGAAAGGGATTCCTTCCCTCCCCAAAGTGTAACTGAAAACAAAGCTGCATACTAATGCATTTATTCTTGGATACAATAAAGGAACTGGAGGCCCCTCGACTGTCCTCGGGTCCAGTATTGGACCACTTCAAACGGATATCCCCAGCCGATGTGGACAATGTGGAAAGCCCACCACCTGTCCTCTTGACCAGTGCCCATCTTGGCTGATTAGAGCGTGTCCAGACGAGGTGCGGGCCCTCCTGGGGGATATCATCAATTTGTCCCTTGGCACGGGGACATTCCCAGGGGAACTGAAGGAGGCAGTGGTGCGCCCGCTCTTAAAGAAAACATCATTAGATCCTTTAGATCTATCCAATTACCGCCCAGTTTCGAATCTTCCGTTCCTGGGTAAGGTGATTGAGAGAGTGGTTGCTGAACAGCTTGGTGGGTTTCTGGATGAAACATCGGCTCTGGATCCATTCCAGTCCGGCTTCCGTGCTGGTCATGGGACCGAGACGGCTCTGGTTGCCCTAACAGATGATCTTCGTAGGCAGCTGGATCGAGGTGGGTCGGGGCTGCTGATTCTTCTAGATCTGTCAGCAGCTTTCGACATGGTCGATCACAAACTTCTGGACCACCGCCTTGCCGACTTGGGGATCCAGGGCACAGTCCTTCAATGGCTGCGCTCGTTTCTCTCTGGTCGGGGACAGAGGGTGGCGCTTGGGGGGGAATTGTCATCGCCCCACTCCTTGGTGTGTGGAGTACCTCAGGGTGCGATACTCTCCCCGATGCTTTTCAACATCTTTATGCGCCCCCCTCGCCCAGCTTGTCCGGAGTTTTGGGCTGGGTTGCCATCAGTATGCTGATGACATCCAACTCTATCTGTTGACGGATGGCCATCCTGACTCGGCCCCAGACACACTGACCAGATGTTTGGAAGCTGTGGCTGGATGGTTACGTGGGAGCCGGTTGAAGCTAAATCCTTCGAAGACAGAGGTCCTGTGGCTGGGACGGGACGATATGGGATAGGGGGGGGCAACTCCCATCTCTTGCGGGGGCGCAATTAGTGCCAGCACCGTCCGTTAAGAGTTTGGGTATAATCTTCGACACCTCCCTTTCCATGGAGGCGCAGATTGCAGCTACAACAAAGGCGGCATTTTTCCATCTCCGCCAAGCTAAGCAGTTGGCTCCTTACCTCTCTCGCCCTGACCTAGCCACTGTGATCCATGCGACGGTCACCTCCAGACTGGATTATTGTAACTCGCTCTACGTGGGGCTGCCCTTGAGACTGACCCAGAAACTCCAGCGGGTGCAGAATGCTGCAGCGAGACTCCTTACGGGGTCTTCGCTGCGAGATCACATTCACCTGGTGCTATACCAGCTGCACTGGCTCCCGGTGGAGTACAGGATCAGGTTTAAGGTGCTGGTTTTAACCTTTAAAGCCCTATACAGCCTAGGACCCTCGTACCTACGGGACCGCCTCTCCTGGTATGCCCCACAGAGAAACTTACGGTCTTCAAATAAAAACATCTTGAAGGTCCCAGGCCACAGAGAAGTTAGGCTGGCCTCAACTAGAGCCAGGGCTTTTTCGGCCGTGGCTCCGATCTGGTGGAACACTCTGTCACAAGAGACCAGGGCCCTGCGGGACTTGACATCTTTCCGCAGGGCCTGCAAGACAGAGCTGTTCCACCAGGCCTTTGGCCAGGGCACAGCCTGACTCCCTCCCTCGGCAATCTTTGCGGAGCTCTGGCCCAATGGTTGCCAGTGGCTTGAATTAATTAATTTTATAATGAATGATTTTAGAGTGTTGTTTGTGCTGTACTTTTGTACTGTTTTATTGCTGTTAGCCGCCCTGAGCCTGGCTTCGGCTGGGGAGGGCGGGATATAAATAAAATTTATTATTATTATTATTATTATTATTATTATTATTATTATTCATTCTTGCCCAGGGGCCGAAACAGGAACAGGGATTTCAGGTCCTGGCCAGAGCAATCCTATAACCACATGACACCGGGACCCCACATATACTTGGAACTTCAGATATGCCCATCTGAATCCATAGTACTGTACTGCTTTGACACATCATGGCTATGGATGTAAAAAGGCAGCAATTTCCATTGCAGCCAGTATCCACCACAATCAGTGCTGTTTCTGCTCCACTGCAGTTCCGTTTCCGTCAAATACTACGCTATTTGTCTTGCTATCCATTATTTAACGCAAGTTATGTAGGTTACAGAAAGTACGCAACTATTTTTATCAACTTGCACAATAATCTTTTCAAAGTAAATCTTATATTCTTTAGAACTGATATTTTTGTAATGTGCAGGTTTGTGTAGGTTTCATCAATTACAGTGCAATTCTATACACGCCTCTTCAGAAATAAGCCACGCTGAGTTCAATGGGATACGTATAATGTATATGATTGCGGCCCTAACCTCCTACAATTCATCAAAAGTCATATCTAAATGAGCAGCAGCTGTAACTAAAATGGCTGGCCAATAAATTGTTCCATGTTTTTCATTTTACTTTTTTTTTGGCAATGTACCTCATGTTCTGTTTCATCTTCATCAAGAATCCCTTGTTCATAATCTCGAATGAAGGCTCTTGCTGCAAGTTTGTGCAGCATCTATACAGATTGGGCAGTGGGGAAGGAGGCGGGGCGGGGGGGGGAAGAGAGAACCAAGAATTAGTAGCAGTAACAAAATACAGTATGTATATACAAAAAAACAAGTTTTTAAAATAATTATAACAATTTAAGCAACATTTAGGCTCCAATCCCATATGCACTTACCAGATACTTAGACCCACTGACCTAAAAGGAAGTTATGAGTAGACATTTATAGGATTACTACGCCCAGTCAGGATCAATACCATGATACATTGGGAAGAGTTTTCTTTTTTTAAGGAAAAAAACCCTTTTCCTCCTGTGCCAAAATTGCCCACAGGGGTCAATTGCAGTTTCCCTCCCAGAGCAAACGGCAGCTTTTGGGGGAGGGGCACAATTTATCCAACATTTCAGAGGGGAGACCTGATTAGATGACTTTGATTGGACAAACACACCTGTTTCTGCCACCTGCAATAATAATATTTATCTATCTATCTAGATAGGGACGCAGGTGGCGCTGTGGGTTAAACCACAGAGCCTAGGACTTGCCGATCAGAAGGTTGGTGGTTTGAATCCCCGCGATGGGGTGAGCTCCCGTTGCTCGGTCCCTGCTCCTGCCAACCTAGCAGTTCGAAAGCACGTCAAAGTGCAAGTAGATAAATAGGTACCGCTCCGGCGGGAAGGTAAATGGCGTTTCCGTGCGCTGCTCTGGTTTGCCAGAAGAAGCTTAGTCATGCTGGCCACATGACCTGGAAGCTGTACGCCGGCTCCCTCGGCCAATAAAGCGAGATGAGCGTCGCAACCCCAGAGTCAGTCACGACTGGACCTAATGGTCAGGGGTCCCTTTACCTTTTTATCTATCTAGATGGCAGGATAGGGGTGTGTGAGAAGGAAGGCGGGTTGCACAACAGCAGCAGCCACGCATGGGAGTGAGGAGGGATAAACACTGAGAGGGGGAAAGTGGTGGTTTAAAACAACAGCTTCAAAATCCCTTATTCCGACTTATTTTAGACCCTGGTGTAGCTTATGAGAGAAGCATGAGCTCACCGTGCCTGTTGTCTTCTGCAGCTCAGTTGTGGACACCACAGTCTGCAGCTCTTTGTCGTCTATTAGTGCATTTAAAGTGGCCTGAAAGAAAGAAGAACAAGCAGAAATATTCCTTTTGTTTTAATTAAATATGCTGAATATTCACTATTAAGGGTAACAGAATGTGCTGTGTTACTTTTTCATGCGAGTACAGTGACATAAATACAGCGTGCAGCATGATTGTTTAGTATCTCATAAAATGAATTACTCTTGTAGGTCTTAAGGACCACCTGACCCCTTATACCCCTCCCCTATCACTGAGCCCCATGGCTCCAAAAGCCGGGCAGTCAGTGTTGCAGGTCTAAGACTATGGAACTCCCTCCTAGCCGAGATTAGACAGGCACCCTCAGGCACTAACACTTTCCTGTTCCAACAGATGCTTTAAACTAATGTTTGGGTTTCTGCTTGGTTTTAGGATGGCCATTCATAGTTTTATTCTTCATACGGTTTGTTTTTAGGCACACCACCTGGAAATACTAATGATTCAGCGGCATATAGTGTGTGTTGGGATCCGCCTGCCTTGGGAGACAATGGAGGAGAGTGCCTTTGGAGGTGGAGCCAAACTGTTGGAAGGTTACAGAGCCTGCTGTGGCTGTAGACACCGATAGGGGAGAGACATGTTTTGTTGCATCTGGGGAAGATGAAGGAGAAAATAACTAAATAATACATGCTGCATATAATATATAAATGGTGGTTGCTAAAATGGGCATATTTGTCCAGCTGTGAATTTAAGACTTAATGGTCTTACAGGGGGGAAAGGGGAGTGTCCTTTTGAGATGATAATGTATCACCTGCATTAGCATGTGATGGATGGCCTTTGAGGTCTCTTCCAACTCTACAATTCCACTCTAAAATATGGCTGGGCCGCTCAGCTGTGTTTGAGGTGCCTCCTGTTCGTGCCAAGTGGACAACTGCCCCAAAGTTGTGCCTTACAGTGCAACTGCATTTGTCATGCTTACTACTGCTATAGTATTGTTTTGCCTGCTCCACAATTCTTAGCAAAGTCATTTTCACTTCAGCAGAAAGGGACCGTTCTGGATCTACCCTTCAGCTTGTTTGTCGTTCTTGCATTTCTCCACTCTCACTTAAACTTTCCATGTGTGCCATTAGTTGGAACAAAAATTCCAAAGCACTTGCATGGAGCTAAAAGCATTTGCCAGTTGCTTGTACTACACAAGGTGGTGAGATTAGGTTGGCGACAAGCTTATTTACCTGAGTACAGTGAGAGATGAATCCATAGATCAGAAGTCGGTCGTGATTGAAGAGAGACTGTATCTGAGCAGGTGCGTACATTAGCTCAGGTGCATCAAAATCAAACTGCTGCCATTTGATGGAAACGGCATTGCACCCCAAAGAAGACATTCTTGATGTCTGACTCTTCATCTGGATGCAGAGAAGGAAACAGAAAATTATTATTTGTTGCTTTCGTACAGGGTAAAAAAAAAGGACACAAGAATTATACAGCTACACAGTTTTTTTGTATGACACTTCATCAGGCAGACAGGGGGCAGGCATATATTCACCTGAAATGCATGGCCTTTTGGCTACCCTGTGCCCGAACCCACCCCCAACCTTCCCAAAATAAAAACTCCTATTCATGAAGCTGCCATCTGTGCATGTCCATCCATCTGCATATGTGCAATGGCTGCCTCAAACGTCCACACCATTCTTAAGTACAAAATGAATGCAGCTTTCGTTTTCCAGCCAGATTGAAGCTGGGTTGAGAAAGAATGCATTAAACAGCAGAATTTGTCAATAAACAACAGGCTTGTGGATTGTTTCTAATGTCATGTGAATGGGGGTCCAAAAATTAGCAGTGGGAGTGAACAGGATGCGGAATAAGTAGCAATGTGAAGATACTTGTCACTGGAATACAGATGCACCCCATCCGGTTTCTCTGCGGGGTAGCAATCTAAGCAAACTTTCTCCGTATAAATTGTCCTCTCAGAATAAAAAAGAAATGAGCACGGTATTTCTAGACTGGTTCACAGACAGCAGTGCATGTTGAAGCATTTGATATACCACAAACACAGGGACATTGGCCTCTTCTCTGAGCATGAAGTGCCTCAACAAGATTTCATCTATTTTCCACATAAGCCACAGGTTCCCTCATCTCAACATCGCAGTAAAACAAAAAAATGAAAGCCTCCGCCAAATATTCCCACAGAGCATAGGTGCCAGGTCCCAGAGGCCCTGTGTGCCATGGCTCCCACAACATTTTAAGTGAGCGGGCCGGGAACATGCAAAGTTTGGCGCAGCCGCATGCACACACACCCCAGCATGTGAGCTACATCATCACGCCCCCCGGCGTGTACCCACTACATCATTGCACCCAGATAGGGATGTGTGATGACGTAGCACACATGTGGCAGGGGCGTGATGATGTAGTGCACACACTACAGTGCCCCCCCCCGGTAAGGACACATGGCCCTGGGCACCCGCAGTAGTGGGGGGCAAGACAGCACCACTGCCACAGAGGAAGCTTACGAAAGCAATCTCACAAAAGGAGCTGGCCCCTCTGTGACTACAGAAAAAAGATATTAAAATATACTTGCCTTTCTCTCCCAGTTGTATTTGGATTTTGCATCAAAATATTCAAAGGCTCCAGCTCCATACTGGGCTAAAGATCTCAGCATGTGACGATTTGCTGCGGGGCTAATGCAATTTGTAAAGGTTTAAGTAAATGGCCAGTTTGAATGAGATGTGGAATTTAAAAGGGTGGGGAAACTGCAGGAAAATATCAGCCTGAAGAGACAACACTGAATATTTTGCTTAGTATATCCTGGACATTTGAAGCAACTAACTCCCTGCTTGCACTGGGTTGCGTTCTGGGTCATTGCGTTCTGTGTGCATTGGCGGAGCAAGTGTAAACCTGCCCTGTACTGCCCCCTTCCAGGGCCAGAAACAGTGTGCGCATCAGCCATTGCACATGCCTTGGTCCCACTCAAAATTGTTGTTCCCTCTACTTCAATTGAACCACATACCTTAAATAAGAAACCTTTGTCCTGCTTCTACTTGTAGCAGAAAGCTGGGCAAAGCTAGCCAAGAGATTTGGGAGGGCAGATAGCTCAGTAGCTGAGGACATACTTTGTGTGTATAAGGAACAAGTATGAAGATCACAGGTTCAGTCAAGCTAAGCTACCGTTGCTGCTCCTGGCTCGTAGTGCTTTGTCACTGCTAACCGTGCTCCACACCTGCACTCCCTGCCTTGCTCTGAGAAACGGAGGGGTCCTTCCTCAGAAAGAGGCAAGTCTGGGAGGAGTGGCTCAGCAGGGAGCCTGCACCTCCATCACTCTTCCGGAGTAGTTGGATATCTTTTTAAATTATTAATGGAAATCCCTTTAAACCCAAGTTGTATTTAAAATACTCTAAGGCCTAAGATGCAAATTCACCACCCCCCAGCCCCTGCCAATAGCCTCATTTTGCCTAATGAGTAGGTCATGAGTAGGTTATTTTGCCTAATGAGTAGGTCTGTCTCCACTCAAAAGGATCTCAAGGAAAACAGATGGTCGGAATGAACAATACTGAGCTAGATAAACCAAGGCTTTGACTTAGGATATGAAAGCTTCATATTTTAGCTTCTAAGGGGGGTGGGTTTCCAAATAGTGCACTTGCACGCCCTCAGGTACAACCTGGTTTCTCCCCACAAGTTTACACTGCCAAGTGACAAACCATATTATCAATTTGCTTACATTATTGTCCCTTTATCTTAACATTGATACAAAATGCAATTATGATCCCAGATAATTATCCTTTACAGAAGAGAGCTCAAGGACACACATTATTTAAAATATGTGCAAACATTATAATAATAATAAAAAAAATCAGATACCTGACTACTGGCCTGAGCGCTACTGATGCCCCAAGTCTGCCAACCAAAGCAAATGACTCACTCTACCATCCTAAAAGCCTGGCATATTAAATACACTTTGTAATTTTCCCAGAGCACAAAACAAAGTGTTCAGTCAATTTGGACCTACCCCACTCCGCATGTGAATATTCTAGTGTGGTGTGTATTTTTCTTCAAAATCTGCAAGGTCGTGCCCTCGTTCTGAATATGTCCATCAGATATAAGAAGAATGTTGCGCCTGCTTTTAGAAGGGTACAGCAAACTCAGGTAATGCAAAACCTTCCATATATCGGAATTCCCCATTGAAGCTGTGGCAGACTAAGAAGGAGGAAGGTAACAAGAAAGGGTAATTTTAAAAAAGGTATTTATTTTCTAGTTGCAAAATTGTACACATATAAATCATAAAACATAACATGACATGACTAACAAAAAAATGGGGCACTAGGGGAGGATAAAATACTAAATGTTTTATTTTACAGTACATAATAAGGAGGCGGTTACAGTAAACCAGCAAAATGAGTTCACCAGTAAGTCAACTTGGAAAATACAAAGTGATATGCGTGAGCTAATGAGTAGTGCCTGCTTATCTATGCCATATTGCAATATATGTTGTGGGTATTTCTTGTCCATGTTTTTTATATATATATACACAGAAAGGGTCATTTTAGACCCTTGTTTTTAACCAACTAGTAATCAGGTGCGGATATGGGTGGTCAATTGCTCCACTCAAGTTTTACCCATCACACAGATATTGTGTGTGGCTGCAGTATTAGTTCAGGGTCGCATTTCACTTGTGGGAAACCATGCTGTAATTTGGGTGCAAATAAATTTTCTCAGTGTTGAAAGACATGAGCACACTGTTATTCACTGAAGATACAATCAGATGAAGCTGCTTTGCACCATCATGCCACCTGTCTACTGAGACTTGTAGCAGCAGAGAAATAAGGGAGCTTCATAACCCGGCTGAAGCCAAGCCTAGCTGGAATGGGTCAGTATTGGGGTGAGAAACTGCCTGGGAACCCTGTGGATTTTTAAAAGCTTCATGTGTGTATTTTTTTTTAATGTGCTTTTATTCAACATAATCCATAAAAGAGTGATACTGAAATGTGGGGAATGAAGGAATATGAAACTAACGGATAAGAGCCAACAACGGAGATCTTGTTACATGAGGGGAAACACTTTATTATTATATTTGGCAGACCACAAAAGACTTAAGTGCACAGATGGAATGAATGAAGGAAGGAAGGAAGGAAGGAAGGAAGGAATAAATAAATAAATAAATTATTCATACCCCACCCATCTGGCTGGGTTTCCCCAGCCACTCTGGGCAGCTCCCAACAGAATATTAAAAATATGCTAAAACATATGCACTTACTATAATAAAGTTTTTCAGAGCTGCAAGATCCGCCATGTGGGGTTTAGGATTGAAAGGAAATTCTTCAAAACCTGTACAGGAAAAGCAGAACAACACAGAATTTTATTAATAATGGAAGTTCTGTATTTTTGCAGTGGAACCCTATGCAAATCTATGCCAAAGTACGTCTCACTGGGTTAAACGAAGCTTACTCCCAGGTTAAGCGGTGTATAGCAAAGAAATAGCATGCTGGCAGAGAAATCCAACATCATCGTCCCTTTTTGTCAGGCTGTGGGAGTGTGCACTGTGCAGAGGTGTCCTTCCACTAAGCTCTGCTGGCTGAGTTGGCTTCCTGCCAGGCACTGACCCTCTGCCAGCCGAAAATGCAAGGAGGCAGCTTGCTGGGCTATTTCTGCTGCCGGGCCAGTGGAAAGCCCTGATATGAGAAATTATCAGGAAAGGAAGAAAAGAGGGATGAGCTGCCCCAGGATTCCTGTCATTGGGTCTGATCTGGACCTGATCATTGTGCCAACCCTGAGCAGAGGGTGGGATTGCACCCTTAAGGTGCTAAATAAAACAATAAGCCACTTAGGGATGCCTCCCGATGAAAGAAATAATATGCATTTTAGACAACAGCATCAATCCAAATTGCAAATGTCTGCATAAAGCCAACAGATCAGCCCTGAGCCTTAAGGTGTTCAAAAATCACACACTGCATGGAGAGTGAAATATACAAAGAGAGAGAAAGAGAGAAACATGTCATAGTTCAAGAGCTCTTTTCTTACTTGTGCCGAATCTGATAACGCTTATATTTCTCGTAGTAAAAGTACACAACTCTAGAGCATAGAGGGCAATCTGCTTGGCTTGCTGGAATGTCGAACCTCCCATGGAATTGGAGCAATCGAGGCAGATCACGGTTTCCCCGCTGGTGCTTAGAGGGTCAAGTGCCGATTCGAACTCCGGTTGAAACACAAGCATGCAGGCCTAAAAGGACAAAGATGGGCAACAGCGACGAAGCCTTAGTTCACCAGGGGTGTCAGGCAAATGTCCACAATGCCAAAACAAGAGAGAAAGGCACAGCCAGAAGTTGGAAAGGTCAGCAAACCTGTGTATTTGCTGGGATCCAGAAACTGGCAAAGGACCTGCCAGTCTTCTTTGCGTGCCACGAACAACATCATATTTTTTAAAAAAAGTAAACTGGCCAGATGCATACAAGATGCTTCAGGAAGGATTATTTAGTGGACCCAAGAGAGAGTACTGCACTGCTGCAGGGTAAGCACACCTGGAGAAGGAAGGCATAACTGGCAGTTGCGCCGAGCGGAGGGCTTGAACCAATGGTGGCTGTAACGCCAGGTGGGACCCTAAACAAGGATGGCAGCAGGGTCAGCCCCCGTGGGCTGGGCCGTAGCACGTGGGCCCCAACAGGGCTGTAGGTTCGAGCCCCATGCTGGGAAAAAGATTCCTGCATTGTAAGGGGGGTTGGACTAGAGATGGTCCCTTCCATCTCTACAATTTTATGATCTGCTTGGCTGTGCAGGGCCTGATCTTTGTTTATAACATGCAGGGTTAGAAGCAGGCATGGAGAGGAAATCTAACCCTCCCCCCCAAAAAAAAAAACCTATTGCGGTCTTGAGAAAAAGCCCTTTTCTAAAGCTGAGAGAAAATTCCCAACTGGGCCCGTTAATTATCAGCTTCCCTCTTTTGCCAATGCTGCTTGCTTTTAAAAGAAATCTGCACATTAAATGAAAATTTAACATCATGTCTAGTTTGTTCTATAAGAACAGATGCTGATCTCTTTAATGATGCTCTAATGGGTGTTTTCTTTAGTTATTATTTTCACAGCTGTTACATTTTTATTGTTTTCTTTCAGTGTACTATAAGTAAACTGCCCCTGGAAGATTCATTCAAAGATGCAATCGAAAATATCTTAAAGAAAGAATAAAATAAGAGTTACCTCAGTCTCATTGCCCGGGTGCTTTTCTACCCACATTCTGGGCAAATGAACATCACCGATAAGGATTTCCATTGCAAAGCCACTGGTGTCCAAGAAACTGTTGTCAACAGTCCGAACCACAGCTTTACAGTCAGTGTTCTGAAAGTGGGAAGGGAGAGTAGAGAGAAGGGGGGGGGGGAGACTCTGTTGTTGCAAAAAGGCCTGAATAATTTGCATCCTAATCTTTTGAGAGGTCCCCTCCCAATTTAGCTCCCCCACAAAAAAATATGATGTACAGTGGTACCTTGGTTTACAACCAGAAACCGTTCCAAAGGTCCATTTGTAAACCAAAACAGGTTGTAACCCAAGGTGCACTGTGGCAACCACATCCCCGGACGTTTAACGGTCTATTGATCCCTGTGCCACCACTGTGCTCGCTTCCCCGCTGCCACCAACCAGTTACTCTCTGGTAAAACACTGAGTCCAGTCAGTTGTTAAAAGTGAACCAAAAAAACAAGTTTATTTTACAAACATTAACAAGTTTATGGTTTCTCAGATAACATTCCTGTCAGTATCTTAACTTTAGTTTCTTTACCGGCCTATACCTTCCTAATACCTTCTGATTGATTATCTCAACTGTTTGACTGACTCCTCTTAACAAATTTTCTCACTCTCTCACACCAGAATAGCCCAACCCACAGACTTATCTTCCCTCTCTAGTCTACGGTAACTCCAGACTGTCTTCTCAACCACTCTAACTCTAACTCCTCTCTGTGCTTAAACTTTATACACAGTTAACTCTGCCCTTTGGGTTCCCATTGGTTAGTCATTTTACAATTAGTTAACCCTTTCCCTATGAACCCAGTATGATGTCACACACATAGGAGGGCAAACGCCACACGCACTTTCGCCAATGGGGCCTCCAAAATTTTTTTGTTCATAATCCAAAAAAATGGGTTGTAATCCAAAAAAAGGTTGCAAACCAGGACACGTACTTCTGGGTTTGACGTGTTTGTAATCCAAAACATATGCAGACCAAGACGTATGCAAACCAAGGTACCACTGTACTTGTGATGTTTGGGAGTGTGGGGTGGCAGCGGTTGTCTAATTCATGATTCCTTTGTAAAGCACCTTACAGCTGCACATCTAGAAAGGCACGGTATAATTATATCTGCCTCTCTCTATCTCTCTATCCACATTTCCACGTTGCAAGCTTGACTTCTGCACAAATATAGATTGTTCCTTTTAAAACAGGAGGTGCAATTCAGCTCACTTATTTTCCCCACCCCCACCCCCAATTACGAACTGCCCTGTCCTGAAAAACAGATGTACCAGGGAGATTTGCTTACCTTTATTTCAAGCTGATGTGTCCAGCTGCTAATGTGTTTAATTTCAAAGGGCATTTCAACTGACATTTCCAAAGAGAACCCACTGAGATAGAGAAACCATATGTTATATAATAGGTCAGGATTGGTGTGTGATACACACACACACACACACACACACACACACACAAATATCCCATAAGGAACAACATAGCATGTTTTCTTTCATATTCACTAGATTTCACTGTAATCAAAGTGCTAATTAATCAAACTTCCACCTAGCAGAAAAACAGCTTTGTAGATGATACATAAATATGCTATTTCACTATGACTTGGATCCTAAGGTATATTAATGGAAAGTAAAGGACGTTTATGGAAGGTATATGGTATATGGAAGTGAGAGCTGGACCATAAAGAAGGCTGATCGCTGAAGAATTGATGCTTTTGAATTATGGTGCTGGAGGAGACTCTTGAGAGTCCCATGGACTGCAAGAAGATCAAACGCATCCATTCTTAAGGAAATCAGCCCTGAGTGCTCACTGGAAGGACAGATCGTGAAGCTGAGGCTCCAATACTTTGGCCACCTCATGAGAAGAGAAGACTCCCTGGAAAAGACCTTGATGTTGGGAAAGATGGAGGGCACAAGGAGAAGGGGACAACAGAGGACGAGATGGTTGGACAGTGTTCTCGAAGCTACCAGCATGAGTCTGACCAAGCTGCGGGAGACAGTGGAAGACAGAAGTGCCTGGCGTGCTCTGGTCCATGGGGTCACGAAGAGTCGGACACGACTAAACGACTAAACAAGAACAACAATGGAAGATAAGATTTCTGTCCATTCCTCCTCACTGCAAATCTCCAGGAAAACCATCTCTAGAGGGCCGGGACCCTTCTGCACAGCAGGGGATAGGGCAATGGAGGCAGCTGGGAGACGAGGGGAAATAACCGCAAATGAGGGTCTGAGGCTAGAATAAGCTCTGCCACAGTGGGGAGCAGAAACAGGCAGTCCATTTCGGACAGTCGCCCTTCAACTTGCAGAGGGAAGCAGGGTCAGAGAGAGTAGCTAACACACTTGTCCCCAAAGCTCCTCCTCACATGTTATATTCCCTGAAGAGGTCTTTTTACCCCATTTAAAGTATGGTTACCAGACGTTCCCGTTTCCTGGGGACAGTCCCCAGATTTACAAATCTGTCCCCGTCCCTGGAATGTCTTCGGATTTCATTTGATGTCCCCGGATTTATATTTTAAGTGTTGTAGATTTATTTGTAGGGAATGAATGTTGCATGATTGGTTCAATGGCACAAGACACATCATATGGGGACTTCTGGCGAGGCAAAATGGCGGGTGCCACAGCACCGAGCAGCTCCTGAAGCCAGCCAGAGCCAACTGCGCTACCAGGCTGGCTCCAGGCTGCTGAGACTGCCACTGCCGCCACCACTGCCAAGGGGGAACCAGGGCGTGTCAACGGGGGGAACTACTGACCCCCCACCTTGTGACCCAAATCGAGCCGGGAATGAGAGTGCCCGGCCACTGCCCAGTGGCGCTCTGGGGCAAGGAAAACCCCAGAGCCGATGCAGAGAGAAGGAGGAGAGGAGAAGAAGGAAGAGAGAGAAAGAGGAAGGAGAAAAAAGAGGGGAGCCCCGACCTTGCCGCGCCGCCGCTGCTGCTGCCGCCACTGAGGAGGAGAGGCAGGAGAGCACTGGGAGGGCAAGAACACGTGGCTAAGCCCAGACCCAACCTGAGTCTACTCCACGGCAGCTAGCGCTCCAAGAGAGCAGGCCGGGGCCCAGAGGAAGGCTGTGTGACAGAGGAAACCACAGAAGAGAAGATATTACTTCTTGCTTTAAATTTTTTAAAAAAAAATAATTTAATAACTTTTTTTCTCTTTTCAAAAAAAAAAAAGTGTCCCCGCATTCTTTGGAAAAAATCTGGTAACCTTAATTTAAAGATAAATTGATGAAATTGCTTAGAAAGCACAGAACATCTGTTTTTTCATGGCTATAAAAACCATAGAATTGTAGAGTTGGAAAAGACCTCAAGGGTCATCTAGTCCAACCCCCTGCAATGCACAAATCTCAACTAGAGCATCCATGACAGATGGCCACCTGACCTCTGCTTAAAAATTTTCAAGGAAGGAGAGCCACCAACCTCCTGAGGGAGGCCGTTCCACTGTTGAATAGCTCTTACTGTCAGAAAGTGATGAAGAACAAATGCAAGTGAGGAAAAATAAATGCTTCATTCTGCAATATTGATTTTTAAAGAAAAAAACCCATGCATTTATTTAAAATACAGACAACTTTTAAAGGACACATTACAATTTTAGTCTACTTACCCTGGTTTCGTTCCAACTTGCCTAATGGAAACTTTCCTTACTGAGTCCTAGTTAACAAACAAAAACAATGAGGTCTGTATGGGTGCAATCAGGGCTTTTTCCGGCTGAAACCCACCATTAGGTGGGTGCCATAGCCATTATATAAGAGTGGCGTTCATGGCAAATTCCAGCACCTCTCTTTCCAGAAAAACAGCACTGGGTGCAATTAAATATGAAATGGTGGAGAACGGCAACAATTGTGTTTACACCATTATAATGCAGGATTTCCATTAATAAATATTATTCTAAAAAATATATATATAATGCAGGATTTCCTTCCTTCTGATGGAAAGAGGCCCTCACCTGTGTGTTCTCATTCAGCGCTTTGTCTTGTTGCCAAGGCGCCACAGCAGCCGGCAAGTGGAAGGCAAGGCATTCGTTCTCATAACTGAGCTCCGTGATGTAGGTGATTTTGATGAGGACTTTGGTTGAAGGAGGCAAGTTTCCCACAGAAACGGTGAAGATGTCCTACAGAAGGATATTTGAAATGCACACAGAAACAAATTGCCATTTACAAAACAATGACATGGCCTGCTTTCTTTTATAGCATACTGAAAACGTCCCAGACTAGTCTGTGGCCCTGGAGGTGTTGCTGGGAACCCAGCAACTGGGGAGAGAGAGTCTCCCTCATGCCACACAGGGCTAATGGAAGAGGGAAAGGTAGTGTGGTTGGCAATAACCACAAATAATTGCTGGCTAGAAGGGCTTGACCACACTTCCCCTTGTTCCATGCCTAGAAAGCATGGGACTGAGTGGTTTTCCCCTTGCTCTGCTCCTTTTCCAATCTGGAGAAAACCCAAATAGCTGTTTGCTCTTCAACTAGGCCTTTGGCTGATTGAGATCCATTCCCCTTTCACATGCGTTGTGAGAGGGGAGATCCTTGGTTCGTTTTTGTTCTCATTGTTATGATGTATTTTGTATTTTTTTATACATACAGTGGTACCTCGGGTTAAGTACTTAATTCGTTCCGGATGTTCATTCTTAACCTGAAACTGTTCTAAACCTGAAGCACCACTTTAGCTAATGGGGCCTCCCGCTGCCGCCACGCGATTTCTGTTCTCATCCTGAGGTAAAGTTCTTAACCCGAGGTACTATTTCTGGGTTAGTGGAGTCTAACCTGAAGCATCTGTAACCTGAAGCGTCTGTAACCCGATGTACCACTGTATTGTATTCTTATGTCATGAGCTGTTCTGCTATCTATGACTGAAGGGTGGTATACAAATTTTTAATAATAAAAACAATAAGAAGAATAATAAGCTTTCCCTGGGGGAAAGCAGGGGTACAAGAGGAGGTGTGGCTAATAATAAATAATAATAAACATTTATTTGTATCCAGCCCTCCCCGGCCGAAACCGGGCTCAGGGAGGCTAACATCAAATATATAACATTGGTATAAAATCAAACAATAATTAAATTACATCCTAAAAATCAAGTCAGGATCAAATAATAAACTAAGCCCGAAGTGGAGTAAAAAAACAAAGTTTGCTACGGTGCCAGTCTCCTCCACCTTCACCTGCTGATTGACAGGTGTGTATGTGCGAGATACCTGCTATAGGATACATTTGGTTCTGGGGTTGTAGAGCCTTATCTGTATACATACGTTCAGAACATTTTTCATATGCAGGGTACAGCTTTCAAGCCAGAGCACCTTGCTTGGTTTCATCAGTAAAACAAACGAAGGCCAGTGTATGCTGATCTCTCATAAAGGCATAAGTAGTTTTTGTTACTACACCTACCGGTGCATCTTGATCCATCAAGTAAGCTCCATGTCCTTGACTGATGGCTTCTCTGTATTCTCTGTGTGCCTTCTCCTTTTCCTTAACCTGTTGAAATTATATAATAAATCATCCTGATTTTTTTTAAAAAATAGGTTCTTTCAAAAAGTCACATTTACTGCAGTCCCACCGTCACATATTTTGTGTCTTCTTCCTGTCCCTGAATCATCTTACCTTTCCTATTATATGCTTCCCTTTAATGAAAGCCTCAAATCCACATACAGCGGCTGTGTCGTCCAAAGGAAATACGTATTTTGCTTCAATGGGGCTGTCTGATTGATTTTCATAGACCTGGAACACCACAACCTGAAAGAAATACATGCATGTATTGCGGATAGATATGAGGTAAACACCAGGCCATGGATCCCAATAAAAACATTTTTTATGGAAGCACTTTCCTTCCCAAGATTAATATTTTAAATAACACCCTCTGGAAAATGTTTCATGTGCTTCTTCTTCTTCGGCGATCACTCGTAGCCGAGTAAGATCGTCTTCCATGAACACGGTCTTAACAGTGAGTCTCTAAGTAACTATAGAGGCCAATTCTGGATCCACATGCACATGTCCTTCCACAGTGGGGACATAGGTTTCCGGGTGGGAGTTGATCATGGTGAGGGTTTGCCAAACGTGCCTTCCTCTTAGCACGTTTCTCCCTTTCGTCCCGAGTTCAAGCATCTTCAAAGTCCATGACACCTTTGGTAAAGACTGTTCTCCAACCGGAGTGCTCACAGACCAGTGTTTCCCAATTGTCAGTGTTTATATTACATTTTTAAAGATTTACCTTGAGAGAATCTTTAAATTTGTTTTGTTGACCACCAGAATTACACTTTCCATTTTTAAGTTCAGAATAGTTACTTTGGAGGATGATAATCAGGCATCCAAACAACATGACCAGTCAAATGAAGTTGATGTTGAAGAAACATTGCTTTGATACTGGTGATCTTTGCTTCTTCCAGTACACTGGCATTAGTTCACCTGTCTTCCCAAGTGATATGTTAATTTTTTTTGAGACACCATCGATGGAATCTTTCAAGGAGTTGGAGATGGCGTTTATAAGTGGTCCACGTTTCAGAAGCATACAGTAAGGTTGGTAGTACAATAGATTGTAAACAAGCATTCTGGTTTCCCTGCAAATGTCCTGGTCCTCAAACACTCTGTGCTTCAATCGGAAGAACGCTGCACTCGCAGAGTTCAGGTAGTGCTGGATTTCAGCATCCATGTCAGCCCTTGTGAAAAGATAACTGCCCAGGTAGGAGAAGTGATTGACACTTTCCACTTTTCTGAGTTCCAGGTATGCAGCACATACCCAGGTTTGGTTCCCTTTAGGAGGAGGTCATTGGGAGATTATTGATGTTTTGCAATACAGTATTTGTATTTATTTACAAATATACAAGTTGAGCAGACATAGAGGCAACACTTAAAACACTCCAACAGCAATCAAAGTCCACTGGGAAATATTTAATACCCAAAGAGCTCAAACGTGGTTCTGCTGTCTTTCTCAGCCTTTCTACAAACTCAAAATGTTGTCTGCTTCCTTTGCTGATATAAAAAGTAAAAAGGTAAAGGATCCCTGGACGGTTAAGTCCAGTCAAATTTGACTATGGGGTACGGTACTCATCTCACTATTCAGGCCAAGGGAGCCGGCATTTGTCCACAGACAGCTTTCTGGGTCATGTGGCCAACATGACTAAACTGCTTCTGGTGCAATAGAACTCCGTGATGGAAGCCAGAGTGCACAGAAACACCGTTTAAATGTGCTATACCTTTGAAGAACATTCAAGATACATTATTTCCCCCAAATAATTCTGGACACTGTAGTTCACCCCTCATAGAGTTACAGTTCCCAGCAACCCTTAATGAACTACAGTACCCAGAATTCTTTGAGGGAAAGAATGTGCTTCAAATGTGCTTTAAAGGTATAGTGTGTACACAGCCTTAATGGCAGCATCCTAGTCAGTATTGAGGGTTTCATTATTTCTTTGACATCCAGAAGGCCCACTACTTATTGATTCCCACCAGATTTTTAGTTGCTTCAGCACCTTAGGTATGGTGTGTAGGAAGAGACACATAAACAAAGAAACAAATAAAGGTATTTGTGTTGCCCCTACTGTCCCCTGAAAAAAATCAAAGTTTTAATTAAAAAATTGAGAGTCTGCTGATATAACACACTTAACTCACTGAATATTTAAAAGCAATGTTAATCAGGGCTAGGATTTGTCTACAGATTTGTTTTACACTTTGTAAAAATAAATAAATAAATAAACATAAAATAAAAACCCACAAGGAAATATTTAACATCCCTAGAAAAGAAATATGAATGCCTTGGCATTACCTCTGCTACGAAGTCTACTATTCGTCCCTTGATATGAAGACCTTTGAGAGGAATTGGGTTTCCAGATCTGTCCAGAAGACCAGCAGTCACATTATTCAGCAGATTTTTACTTGGCATTTGATAATCTAAAGAAATATTAAGAGGCAGGGTTGGGTGGGGGAGAGAGATGATTTATTGAAGGCAAACCCCCTTTATTGTAAAGGTTCAGAGTAATTTTCAGCATTAAAAGTGTAAAAAAAAAGGAAAACAAAAAACTCTCTGTAAGCAACTATCTTGCCTGGCCTTGATGGCAAATGTTAGTTCTGCTACCTAAAAGCAAGGAAAGAAGTAACAGAGAAACTAAATATGCTCATATGCACCTGTATTCATGTAATAAAAATGGAGAAAGAGAATAAAAGCATTAACAATTCCTGCTAGATCAGACCAAAAGCCCATGGGATAAGCAATCCTATGGCTTGGGTGTTTACACAAAAACTGGGGCACAACTTTTGTGTCTGGATTTTCACTTTTTGAAATATGGAACAGAGAAAAGAAAAGTAGAGCATAGGTAGGATCTGTATGGGAATAAAAGATGTGATCTTATGAAGGGAACAGGAGTCACCTTGGCCTCCTCATTCTTTCATGGGTTTTCCTTGGCATAATCTTTATAGCTCCACACCAAGGAAATGGGTTAGGCTTCAATATCAAACTCCAATTGCAGAATACACCAAAGAAACAGACAATTTTAGGTAAGAATTTCTCACCTTCGGGCTGTGGCTGATGCTCTAGGGAAGGCAGCACATCCTGAATCTCAGGATGGAACTCCTTCACTTTGTCACCGGCGAGGGAAAACTTAACCACATATTTTATTTTGACCTGACTAGCTCTGTACACCACAAATTCGTCATCCTTATGAAAACAAAAGGAAACAAGAAGTAAACGTTAAGAGCTTTACAAGAGCAACTGATGCATTAGTGAGCAAAGCCGATACGTCGCCTCCTCACTTAGGAAGCTTTTGAAAGCAGGCAGCGGCAAAAGGTCAATTTAGCTAGAGAAAGTTCCACAGCAGCCACTTACAAGTCACTGAGGAACATACAAAAAAGGCAACAGACTTAGGTGGTAAGGTGGATCGTGGAGAGGTATGTACAAGACACAGAGCTGAGGCCTAGGGTTGTATCCAACTGCATTCTACTCAAAATCTACCTGTTAAAATTAATGGCTCTCAGATGGTTGTGTCTATTTATTTCAGTGGGTCTACTCTGAGTAGGGATTACATCGAATACGACCCCTTGGGCTGGAGGGTTTATGTCAGGGATGTTTAGAAACTGGTGTGCTTTAGTTGTGATTTTGATTTTCCTCTTCCCTCCCAGTCCCTCTTCCCTTTTGTGTCGTGTTTTTCCCCCCTCTTTTTCTTTTAGATAGTTGGTACACACTGTCTCGTTTTGATTGCATGTAAGCTGCTCAGGGAGCCTTTTTGGCTGAAGAGCAGGGCACAAGTGCTCTAAATCAATAAACAATAAATATTTTCAGAGGCATAGCTTATCAAGGCATATTATGCCTTTAAAAGACAACAGTGGGCAACACCACAACATAGCTCGAACCAGTACCTTGAAGTCTCTTCCCTTTCTCAGTTTCCCCTTTTTCCTGGCAAGTCCATGCACGCTGTCATAGCCTGCCGGTGCTGCGGTTAACGAACTGTCCATGTGACCTGTTTCAAAACACTTTCCAAGGGCTACATCGCAAATCAGCAGTAACCGGGTTCCATCTGTTCTGTTTGGCCAAGAGTAGTTGATGCATGCACTGTTAAACAAAGAAGAAGAAGCTCGTTGGTTATACTCGGACAAATATTTTAAGTACTTGCTTGAGTTTAACCAACAGAAAAAGGCATGCAAGGTTTGTGGCTCTTGCCACTTCAGCCCAAAAATGCACACATACCAAGCATTTAAAGCACATAACTTTCACCAAATAATCCTGGGAACCCTAGTTTACCCCTCACAGAGCTAGAATTCCCAGCACTTTTGACGAACTACAGTCCCCAGGATTCTTTGTGGAAGACACATGCTTTAAGTGTATGATGTGTATGTAGCCTATGTTTATTATGGTCCAGACCCTACAACAAACCCAAATGCCAACTCATCTGCAGGACTTTATAGTGCTAGTCACAACATCAAGGGTTCACTCATCAACGAACCTTCCAGTGTGGTACATATGCCATTCTGCATTCCACATAAGGCAAAATAATGGACGCAAATTTAATGTCACTGGTCTCACGCTGCCCCTCACAGAGCTGCAATTCCCAGCACCCTTAGCAAACTACAGTTCCCAGGAATCTCTAGGGGAAATCATGTGCTTTCAATGTTTGCTATGTATGCAGCCCAAGTCCAATACTCCACTCTGGTTCTCAAAAGGGATATCTCTGTGGGGAAAAGCATGTGAAGTGGCACTTAAGTTTACTCAGAAGCAAGAGGTCCAGAGGGTGGTATCATGAGGACGGGCCTTTTCTGGGGGAGCTCCCCATTTGCGGAATGGTCTCCTCAGGGAAAATCACCTGGCGCCTTCATTACATGTCTTTAGGAGAAATGAAAATGTTTCTCTTCAACAAGGGCCATTGGCTGATTAATATTCTATGCCCTTTTAAATGTGTTTGTTATTGGTTTGTGCTTGTTTTGTTATGTATTCTGTGTTCTCATTTTGTATTTTTATGTTGTGAACTGCCCTGTGATCCTCGGGTGAAGGGCGGTATTCAAATTTAATTAATTAATAGTAATAACAACAACAGGAGCAACACACATAGCACTCCCCACCAGGCAAGGCATGATAAGATCTCAATTGTTATTACTGCCAAAGAACTGCAGACCTTATGGAGTCGCTGAAATAGATGCCGCTGCCCAAGTGACCACAATCAGTTCTTTCCACGCCATGCTCTTCAACGACAATCTTTGGCAAGAGCAGTCCCCTAGAAAAGCAGAAGATTTACACAGTAAAGGTGGAGAATCTTTCTTTTTCGCTCGAGGGACGCATTCCCTCATAGGCCACAAGGCAGTGGCAGGAAGGCCAGAGGCAAAAGACAACAGAGCTCTTGTATGTATTCGAGCCATGCAAAAACCGGGAGGTTTCTAAGCACATACCCAAATTTCTCCATCCTCTGTCCGGGCAAGCAAGAGGCATTGCCACAGTGCAAGGACACAATCTGGCAAGGCAAAAGCAGGAGGGTGCAGAGAAGGGATGGTGAGGAGTTTGGCTCAGTGAGGAGGGATGCGGCCTGGAGAAAGTTGCAAGGGCTAGAGAGACAGAGAACTGGAAAGCTGCACTCAGCCCCTAGGCCTCAGGTTCCCCACCTCTGAGGTAAAGCACCTTGACATACTGACACACAGTTTTTCTACACTAATAATATGTGTATCAATATTGGGAAAGGGAAGGGGGAAGGGATAAACAGACACAAAGGAGCCCAGGTTGTGTGGAGTCTAGTTATCTCCCTCATTCTTCACCATCAATGGATGAGGACTGTAGAGAGATGAGCTGCCCCACTCCACCAAACTTTCCCGCTTACAGCTTGCAGACACACATTGCCTGCACAGGGGTGTCAGTAAACCACACTTCCCTCTTTGGACATTAATGGGAAGCTTTTGGGTTTGCTTCACAGCCTGCACAAACAGAAGAGGAAGCAGTAACAAGGGTGTGCGTGTGGGTGCATGCGATTTGTGCATATCCTGACGTTAAGGTAGAACTGGACTGTCCAAATGCGGCCATTGTTATTGAAAGATAACCGAGCCTTTGGCCGAATGACTCTGTTGCCTTCTCGCCTCTCATGCGCAGCAGAAAACCACCTGCAAAGCTGAGACAGACCATGGCGCAAGTCGTTACCGGGAGAGGATTCCAACGAAGTTGTGAACAGACGAAGCATGGTATAAAGACTGGACATTGCCAAGGTGGCTCTCGAAAGCCGCTACTTCCATCATTCTGCCTACTCTATAGATCTCCAAAACTTCTACGGGATGTTCACTGCAAGAAAATTTAAAACGAATAGAATGTTCACAAAATGCATTTTCCCCCCCAGGTTATGCCCCCAGATTTATTCTGGCCACAGAGTCACTAAATGAGATTGAACATTTTGCCACATGCATTGAATATGCCCAAGGTTCTCCTTAGAGGAATATGTGATTTATACATGTTACATATTTCATGTCTCACAAGATTTCGTAGAGCAATAGTTCTCACCCAGAATGTTTGTGTGTTTCTGTCTGTCTGTATTTGTTTCCAGTAGTCCAATGATCTCCACGGTGGTCTGGTTCACACAAACAGTAATCCACGGTTTATTAGTCAAAGCTTGATTTGTTTGAATGTACTAATCCAGTTTGTTGATGGTTTAATGAATGATGGTTTGTTTTAACTATGGTTTGGCTGATTAACTATGTTTTAGGGGGGCACCAAGACATCGCTTGTTTGCATGCCTGTGAGATGACTCACGGTTTGTTGTAAACCATGTCTTAGAGTTCTATACAAATTTAGTGAAGTTTAGTGTGAACAGACCTTTTCTCTGAAGTTAAACGCAGAGGCCTTTGAAGCCAGGCTCTTAGAGTAAGTGTGTTTTCCTATTAACATGGGTTTTTATAAATGTTTTGAATCTACCACCTATGTCAGTGTTTAAGAAAAGATTCTTTGAGGTCCTTCAAAATCATATTACGGCATTAAAAAATGATTACTGAATCTGGGTAGTATAACCCAGAAATTACACATCACAACTGAAACTCACCCAGTATACTGGTCCATCTTTTCTTCAATATCCTGAAACTCTTCTCCAAAGACAGGACATATCCTGCATCTCAGAGCTCGGTACTTGGAAAGGGACGGTGGGTTAGGAATTGACATGTTTGTTTCATGAACATTCAGCATGTCCCTGATTAGCTATAAAAAAATAATATAGCATCATTCAGTGTTTGTATTTCCAAAACAAAGCTTTTATTTGTTTATTATAATTTACATTCTGCTCATTGTCTGTAGGCCCAAGAGCAGCTTACCTCAGAGGAAATATATGCAACAAATAATATTTTTTAAATCTGTTAAGACCAGGGATTGGGCACCTCTGACACTCAGGGCTAATGAACTCAAGTCAAAACTTGGAGGCAACTTATAGACACCACCAATCAGCAATACCTGCAAAGCCCTTCCCCAAAGTGCTGAGCAAGACAACACTTTGAAAGGGGCTTCAGAAGATCCCTGTGGGCAAAAGAGGCCACCTGTCAAACTTGTCGACTTCTGCATTTGGGGGTGGAAAAAAACCAAATCATGAACTGAACAACCAAACACCCACAAAATAGTCAGCAAGCTTCATAGGACTCTTCTTCAACTGAGAAAATCCCCAGTGACAACACGGAGCAAATTTCAGAAATGTAAATTTCATAATTAAAATAGAAATTTTCATTTTGTGACTCATAAGATTGAATATATGGGATGGGATCATGGAACTCATGTGGCAAGGTTTTTTTGCTGCAAATTTGTACTAGGCTTCCCCCAAATGATGCTTGGGGAACAAATATAGTGCCAGAACTGTTTCTGTGTGATGTACACACGTTTTCATATATGATGTAAGCTGCCCAGAGTGGCTGGGGAAATCCAGTCAGATGGGCAGGGTGTAAAAAAAAAATATTATTATTACAAGCCAACAGGACCCTCCAAGAAATGCTCAAAGGAGCACCAGACAAATACCATTATGATGACATAAATGTTTTCCCTCTTGGCAAATACTTTCAAATCTGTGTTCTGGACCAAAGCCCACAGGAATTCTGGAGCATAAGAACTCTCTATTGTTCAAAGAGGATAGAATCATATTTTCTGCTCATTTGAGGGGTAAAATTTATTCCATCAGGCTTTTAAAATAAATTTTATAGTTTTACCACATTTTTAATTTTGCTGAGTCATCCGTGCACCTCTTAGAGACAACTGTAATTAAGCAGTACATACATTTTTGAAATAATGCAATTAAACAAACATCTGAAGGGCTACAGGTTCCCCACCTGAGCACAACACACTCGAACTCTGGTTATACATAGGATACACTGAAAGCAAAGGTCAGATTCAACAACGTTACCTGACAGAGACTGTGCTTGGTAGATAACAACTTTCTGGTTACATCATAATCCATAATTTTGTGAGGTATGATTTTATAAAACTCTGACATTATCTCCATTTTCTCTTTCGGAGATTCCAATTCATCCAGTGCCTTCCTTGCTCGGAGCAAAATACCTTCTGCTCTGCTCACCTTTTAAGAAAATGTGGTATAAAAATGTGTTATTTTCTTTCTTGCCTTCTTTTTTTTTTTAAAGACTCAGACAAATGTGAAGAGAGACAGACAAGGAGGGCTAAGGGTGCATATACATCCCATATATTTAGAGCACATTCCTGCCTGCCTCAAAGAATCCCGGGAATTGTAGTTTATTAAGGGTACTGAGAACTGTAGCTTGGTGGGGGTTACACTACAGTTTGCAGGATTGGGGGGGGGGGGCACAGCTACAAGGGATTCCACCACAAGAGAATTACTTCCACATAGCAGGACATGCACTTACGGAGGCTGTAGCCAGAACAGAAAGGAAAGAGAGAGAGGTGCGTCCCTTGCCTTCATAGAAATAAACCATTCACACGTTTAATGACAAACCTATCACAGCAACACTGGCTGTCACAATCCAGAAACAGAAAGTGCATTTGCCTGGCATTGTATTTCTGTTGGCGTTCGAGGGAATTAAAGGCTCTCAGTGAGCCAATGTCTGCAAGTGGGATTGCCTTACATCGTTGAGGCTGAGTTCGGTTACTGGTTTAGCCAGCAGCGGAGTCAGGTGTCCAAGTGCTTCAATCCAGATCAGTTCCACAAACTTGCTGACTGTTTCAGGCAAAGAGCTGGAATTTGTGGCTTCTGCTATAAGCACCTGCAAACATACCACTGTGATCAGTCCACCCAAAAGTGCTCAATGGTAAATAGCGGTTTAAAAACAGAGCTAACAGAGAACATGTCGTGAATTTCAATAACTGACATTTCTCTTCAGAATGGCATTAATATTTTTAAAAATAGGAATAGAAGCAGCCAAGCCTATGATTCTATGAATTAACCACATTCATATGCCACATTAAACCTTAACTATCAATAACTTTTGGTTTAGAATGAATGATTGCCATACTGATGCATGCTGCTCTTAAGGGCCTGTTTGGCTCCTTCCCCTCATGTGATTTTGCCACATCAGGGGGGAAGCAAATCAGAATCTGACTTTGTGTTGTTGTTGTTCTTCTTCTTATATATTTATTTATACTGTGCCTTTTTCCATGATGGGACTCAAGGCGACTTACAGAACTGCTAAAAACACAGAAAACTGAATCCTTAAAAAAATTACACTAACCTCTTGCAGCTTTTCTGAAGCTAGATATTCCACTTCATGGGGGAAATCTTCTTTGAACTGGTAATTCTCATTTTTCAGATTTGCAGTACAAAGCTCATAGACCATTCTAGCCTCTTCAGAAGTCCTTGCTGGTAGAAATCGTTTCTTGAACTGAGAACAAAAGAGTGTCCCAATTCAAGTATTATTATTTTTTAAGGGGAGGGGGGAAGAGAATCACAAAAAGAGAGACATTTCTCATAAATTATCCTGGCATTGAGACAAACTTAAATTCTAGTTTTCCTTGTGCTGTGAGGCATCCAGCTGTGGGTTTGAGAAGACACACAAACCTGCTCCAAATGTGACTGCAAGCAGCGAACCCTGGGAATTGTTCTGCGACAGTTCTTAGGTCACAGGGTAGAAAAGGTGGCCCTATCGGCTGCTAGACAGGCTTATGCTCATGACTGGAAATGTCCCTCGTGCGAAATCCTGGAGACCCATTGCCAGTCAGTGTGGACAATACAGTGTCGGACAGGCCAATGATCTGACTTGGTATAAGGCGACATTTCCTAGCACAATTCAAACTGTTGGTGCTGAACGACCTCGGCCCTGTATACCTGAAGGAGCGCCTCCAACCTCATCATTCAACCGGGACACAGAGATTTGGCAGTTCCCTTCTAGCAGTTCTCTCACTGTGAGAAGTGAACCCACAGGGAAATCAGTTCAGAGGGGGCCTTCTCAGTAGTAGCACCCACCCTGTGGAACATCCTCCCATCAGTTGTCAAGGAGATGAGTTACTATATAACCTTTAGAAGACATCTGAAGGCAGCCCTGTACAGGGAAGCTTTTTAATGTGCAATGTTTTATTAGTGCTTTTATATACTTTGGAAGCCACCCAGAATAAAATAAAATTAACATTTATTATTATTATTATTACTACTACTATTACTTAAAACAAAAGAAGGGGGAAAAGAAAATCCAGAAAATTAAGCAAGAGCATAACACAACGTACGAAACCTCTCTCATTCAAGAGCATTCACAACATCAGAGAAAGAAACTAATGCATGATCATAACAACCACCCCAACTTACCTCTTTCCCTTCCAACTGACTGTAGCGTGCGCTTATGCGGAAAGGATAATCACAGTGCTGCTGAGAGCACTGAAGTTCAACCACCACATACCTGCCAGGTGCCGTAACCTGGGGCGGGGGAAAAGGTGTTTAAGTGCATTTCTATTTGGTAGGCATTATCAGACTCATTTATTTGATTCAGTTTTTAACCTGACTAAACTAACCAAAGCAGCATAGCTTCACAAAATAATTAAAAAGTCATACAAAAGCCATTTAACACCATCAGCAATATTGAAGTTCTTACCTGTTCAAGGACATCATACTTTGCAACCACAAAGCCTTCAGGGAAATAAGGAACATTTTCATCATTATTTGATCTGGAACCAATAAAAAAAACAGCAACACCAGACTCTTTATTACTGAATGCAACTGAGGCTGCAGTCCATCCCACCAGGATTCCCTTCTGAGTAAACTGTAAGCCTACAATATTAAAGTCAGCCACCTAATGGAAACATATAAGACTTCTGAACTCTTTCAAAAGTCAGTGGTGAAGGCTTGCATAGGAACAAGAGTGTGATTGAGTTTTATTTTGCTTAAAAGTGCTAACAAACAAAGGCAGGTTTCTTTTTGCATTTTGCTTGCTTATTTAAATATGCCAAGGGTTCCATATGAAAAGTATCTTAATACTGAGTAGTGTCGGGGTTAAAGTGTTTAACTAGGACCAGGATTAAAATCCCAACTCAGCCATGAAGCTCAGGAGGTGATCTTGGGCCAGTCACAAACCTGTTTGATCCTGCCAGTTCTAATAACAGAGCAGCTGTAGGGAACCTTGGAAGTTCTCCCTCCAAAGCATTTGCTCTACCCCTGAGTGCTGAATCCCTTTCCAAAGGGAGAGAACGTCTGTTCTTCTTTAAGTGAGAAAAATAGAAGCCAGAGAAGCCGAGAAAATTACCTCAGTTCACCCACATTGCTGTTGTCATGGGCCTTGCTGCTGTTCCATTCATTCTTTCCAGGAGTCCTCTTTTCTAGGTGGTCATCTCCGTAAACTATTTATTAAGACAGTAGTTATTTCCCTTATCCCACCAGCTGCTTTTTCAATTAGCATTCATGTATATGAACCACAACGAATAAATCTCAAAAATCAAGAAAGATAGTAAGAATTTGAAAGGCAGTTTTCGGTGAGGGATGATTTTGCTTTGCTTCAGCCCACCAAACCACCCTTTAGACAGCAAGCTGCTTGGTTTGATCCCAGGCACCAACACACAGCTCAGATCCCATCTAATTTTAGGGTTTAACCAGATGTGGGCTGCCATTTTCCCTCAACCACTGTCAATACACATTATCTTCCAGCAACAGTAGACAGATCCTGCCATTTGCAGTAAACCTACTCTCTCCCTTCTGCCCTCCAACGAGACACAACAGCTGTCCATGCCACTTCACAAACAAAGGAAAAGATTAGACCACTTTCTTATTTCCTTGGCTTTTCATCTGTATTGTGTTTGAGCCTATTGTCACTAGAGATATTAAATATTTATTTTATTAAATTTCTATACTGTCCTTCATCCAGGAATGACAGGGCGGTTTAAAATACAAGCGGCGGCCATTTTGCGTGTGTCCAATTGATGTGTGGCTGCTGATGCCTGGGTCCTTTTGGACCCAGAAGATGGCAGAACAGGGGCAGAAGTGGGGCAGGGCAGAACAGGGGTCAGCCAGACTGGAGGTGGAAGAGGGCAGGGCGGAGCAGGCTTATGCGCACTCCACTGCGCATGGGGACCGGAAACAGAACCCTGCGCAAAATGGTCACCGCCTGTATAAAAACACAAAAATACATAATGTAATAACAAAGAGAAGCATTATCCACACACACACAGTTCAACAGGCCATATATTACAGAATTAGCTAAAGGCCTGGGAGGAGAGGAATGTTTCTGCCTGGTGCCTAATTGTTATCAGGGTACTCTTAGGAAGAAAGAAAACAGCCTGACATCAAGGTACTTCCCTATTCCATCAAGCTCAGTGTTGCTTATACTGAATGACTCTCTAGGATTACTATTATTATCTATTGAATATATATACCGCCCTATACCCGGAGGTCTCAGGGAGGTTCACGGAATAAAATCAAGATATAAAACCACAAAACACCCAATAAAAATAAAAACAACAACCCAATAGCCCCCCCAAAAAAAACACATTTTAAAAGGGCATAGGATTTAAATCAAATCTACTAAAGGCCTGGTTAAAAAGGAACATTTTTGCCTGGTGCCTAAAGGTGCATAATGAAGGTGCCAGGTGAACTTCCCTGGGGAGACCATTCCACAGACAGGGAGCCACTGCAGAGAAGGCCCGTTCTCATGTTGCCACCCTCCAATCATTCTAGCCTTACCTGGAAATGCCAGTGATGGAACTTGAGACCTTTTACACATAAAACATGCACTCTTACACTGAGCTATGGCCCCTGCCCAGCTTCAGCTTTCTATTTACTAGTACAGAAATTCTGCAACCCAAAATCCTTTTTTTGGCAATGTGAATAAGTTGAGCAAACAGAAACAAATTTACACAATCTTATTCTAGTTTAATAGACTTCAAAATGCTCTACCTCCAGAGGAGTGATCTGACAGCAACTCATCTTCTGAGGAGGACTCTAGTCCATGAGAATTTTCCCTCCATGACTGCTGGGCTTCGTAGTCATCAGCCTGTAAAAGTCTTCTTTCTTTAACTGAGTTCCATATGAAATCAGCACCTACAATGGGCAGCTGATATTTCTTGACGGCTTTCAGATGAATGGAGCTGAGTGCGTTAGCGTCGTCAGTGACTATGTGAGTACACTAAAATGTAATGAGGGGTTCAGTTTAGAAAATGAACTGTTCATACTAAGGAACATATTGTGGGTCTACACACAAAAAGAATCTTGAGGCAACAGTCACTACACTACCTACCAAGGCCATTACTCGGTGTCATACCAAACCCAAGTAATAGAGACATCCTCAGAATCCCCTCCCTGGCCCCCCGTTGAGGCACATATCCTCCTAAGGCCACATATAAGCAAAATATATAAGATCCCATCAATAATGATCATCAATAATAGCATCAATAATGATCAATAAGATCCCTTCAATAACGCAGTTGCAGCCAGAGCATAAAGTGCTACATTGCTTTACACCTCTGTTTACAACAAAGAACTAACCATTTAAAACTTACCTCATGATTTAAAACAAATTTAATCTGCCCACCGTTTTCTTTAATGCAGCCATTCAGTCTGCTCTTTTCCAGAACGGATAATTTTTTCACTTTCACGAAGAATACGCAGTTTGCAAAAATTTTCACTGTCATCCTGCAAACTAATAATAAAAATTTATTATTTACACCCCGCCCATCTGGCTGGGTTTCCCTAGCCACTCTGGGCGGCTCCCAACCGAATACTAAAAACACAGTACAGCGTTAAACATTAAAAACTTCCCTAAACAGGGCTGCCTTCAGATGTCTTTTAAAAGTAAGATAGTTGCTTATTGCCTTGACATCAGATGGGAGGGTATTCCACAGGGCAAGTGCCACTACCGAGAAGGCCCTCTGCCTGGTTCCCTGTAACCTCACCTCACGCAGTGAGGGAACTGCCAGAAGGTCCTCAATGCTGGACCTCAGTGTCCCAGAATCTTTATATAGGTAAAGGAGGTATGGTTTTCAAGTTACCGAACAACACCCACAACACCCATTCATGACGAACCTGTCATTTCCTCTTAATCTGTTTCTAGGTCCCTATCCTCCATGACATCTTTATCATAGAAATTCTATATGGGAAACATTCAAACCTGACATTAATTAAAGCTTTTTACTAGTCCACATTAGTCTCCTGCTCTCCGAAGCATAATCTGATAATAGCCTGGTTTGCACAGGAAAAAGTCAACCCATCCCGAGGTCCTACTCAAAGGGAAGAAAAGAGGAGATACTCCTTCCCCCACTCTGCTTTTCTCATAATGTAAAAATCTGAAGATTTGAGTTCAGACCCTACAACAAACCCAGCTGTCAACTCTGTGCCCTAATCACAGAACCTAAATGCGTCAGCCACAACATCAAGGTCTTGTTCACCTGCTGGTATTTCAGTGTGATCTATACCAGCAAAGCCCTTCTGTGTTCTACAGAAGGCATAATAATAAATGGACACTAATTTAGTATTGCTGGTCACATGCTGTGGAACACTCTTCCAGCACAGATTCTGCAGGCATCTTCCTCACTGTGGACTTTCAGGAATCTCTCTAATACTTTATTACGCTGACAGGAATTTTCAGCCATTTAATATTATTTATTTTGATCAGCCACTCATTTAATGATTATCTGTATTGTTTTAATCGTGATATTTTATGATGTACAGAAATACTTTTGTAAACAAACAAACAAATGTACATGCAGTTGAAACCAGAATTTTCAAAAACTAATGGAAATATATTTAAACCTCCCAGGACACTGTTGACAAACGGCTATCGCTGCACGAAGGAACTGGAAAGGGGGAGCCCAGCATGAAATGGCTGAGTTACAACATTCAAGGAAGTTTAAATCTATCACCTGTGGCTTGAATCAAGATAATGGATGTCACCGAACCTATTTTACATGCCTTACCATAACTGTCATAGTAGATCATGTGTGCATTTCATTTCTCTCTCACTTCACTGCTTGCAACTAACCCCACCAGATATACCTGTCAGCTTAGGATAATGCCTCAGATATCTAATCACGTAGTAGATTCTGGTCTACGAAAAATTATGTAAGTGTGCTAGTCTTTGTGGTGCTAGAATACTTTTCGATGCTTGCACTGCAATCCAGCTAGTCCTCTGATAACTACAGTATATAACCATAGGTGGAAAGCAGGTTTTTCCCCTGGTAATGCAGTCCTACACATGTTGACTCAAAAGTAAACTACACTGAATTCAATGCAACTTACTTCCAGGTAAGCATATACAGGTGTGTGAGAGAATTCTGGGTGCTTCTTGTTTCTAGTACATATGCATATAAATGCATGCACTTTTACACAAAAGGCTCAATGCAGGACACAGACTACAGCAATTCACATACTACAGTTGCTAAGATACAGTTTTACACTGTGAGAGCACCAGTGAACAATTTTTCTAATATAACTAACCAAAAGAGCCATCCCCTTCAAAAACCGGTTTACAGGCTATTTTATAATGGAGTATAAAGTGCAGCTTTTTTCCAAGTACCTAGGCAGACAATTGGGCTGTAAGTAAAGTCCAAAATGGCCTATAATGAAATTGTCCCTAGATAATCTATCCTCATGTAGCTTCATGTAGCTCAAAGAAATACCTTGGATCTCAATGTGTGAGCACCAACCTTTATTTGTAGAAAAATATTATTTATTTTCTATCCTGCCCTTCCTCCTACAGCAGCAAACGAAACAGCAGAACAATACAAACATTAAATTTAGAACAAATTTCCTTGGAGCTAATTAGCTCCCAAAGTTTCTAGAAATAGCCCTGAACAAACTTATGCTGCAGTCTGCTCCCATAAGACTTAAACATTTCTGGTGTAAAACTGTCTATACGTCATTTACTGTACTTTAAATCAGCGATGGGAAACCTTTGGGCAGCTGAACTTCAGCTCCCATCAGCCCCAGCAAGCAGAGCTAATAACCAGGAATGATGGGGGTTGTAGTTCAGCAAGCCCACAGGCCAGCTACAACCGCATCACACCCACGTTTTTGAAATACATCTTACAAAGGAAGCAACATAAAGAGATGCATTTCTAAGCAGAAAGCAACACTCTGTCAATTTCTGAATTTTAATTTGTTTTACACTATTTTATTGTGGTTTTCAGTTTTTGTATGTTTTAAATTATGGTTGCACTTTTTCGTGCTGATTTTATTCTTGTAAACTGCTTTGAGGGTGTTGGGATATACAGTATATATACACAGTATATGAAAATGTAAAGGGACCCCTGACCATAAGGTCCAGTCATGACCGACTCTGGGGTTGCGGCACTCATCTCGCTTTATTGGCCGAGGGAGCCGGTGTATAGCTTCCGGGTCATGTGGCCAGCATGACTAAGCCGCTTCTGGCAAACCAGAGCAGCGCACGGAAATGCTGTTTACCTTCCCGCCTGAGCGATACCTATTTATCTACTTGCACTTTGACGTGCTTTCAAACTGCTAGGTTGGCAGGAGCAGGGGGCCGAGCAACGGGAGCTCACCCCGTCGCGGGGATTTGAACCGCCGACCTTCTGATCGGCAAGTCCTAGGCTCTATGGTTTAACCCACAGCGCCACCTGCGTCTCTCTCTCTCTCTCTCTCTCTCTCTGTGTGTATTGTTGTTGTTTAGTTGTTTAGTCGTTTAGTCGTGTCCGACTCTTCGTGACCCCATGGACTAGAGCACGCCAGGCACTCCTGTCTTCCACTGCCTCCCGCAGTTTGGTCAGTGTGTGTGTGTATATGCAGTATAATTTTTTTTAATGGAATACAGCTTACAGTAAAATTTTGGAGGAATAAGTTCTGCTGCAAAGTTAGGTATGGTGGGAGTTCTAGTTCAGCTACATGGTGAGCATGGGCAGGGGGGGCAGCTGCCCCCACTAAAAGTAGAAATTGTAGAAAGATTTTGACAGGGTTTTCTGAGCACTCGGGAGTCAAAAGGAAGTGATTTAAAACAACTGCTGTTGAGTGAGACTTTTCATTCCGAATCTGCTAGACAGAGCCAGAGAGAGGATGATGACAGATGGGTGCTCAGCCCCTCCTAACATAAATCCTGGCTACGCCCACGATCGGGAAGTCGGCAGGTTCCCTATCCCTGTGCTACCGCCTGACCCAAAGAGAAACGAAACAGAAGAAAATGCAACCCCGAGAGGGAAAACAGGACCCGTTCACAAAGCTGCCAGCGCCCTTATCCCTGTGCCTTTAATACAACTGCGGGACAAGGAGCAAAATCTCCGTGGGTGGGGCTTTTTTTCCTTTCCCCTTCCCTGCCCCCCCCCCGCCGGCCTGCAGCGAAAGCTCAATCGGTGCCTGATGCCATCCAACAACCAGTAAATAAAAGGCACAAGAACCTTGCCGGGCAGGAAAGTTGGCAACCCTTCCTCCTCTGTCAGACGGCACCGTTAACTGATCTGCTCCGCCTGGAAATCAAAAACGAGGACGAGGCAGGAAATCCGAAGAGCACCTTGCCTGCTTGCTGCCCGTCGCCCCAGCCCTGGCAGCAGCTCGCTTCCTGGTTCCGACAAGGCTCACGCCCCCGAGGTTGCGCCGGATACCAGGAGGGGCCGCTGCAACCTCGCTGCCGGAGGGGGAAAGCCGGCCTCCAATCAGGAGTCAGCACTGGACCGCATCAGCGAAGCAAAAGCAATGGAAGGGCCAGGATCTGAACTTGGATTAATGTTTTCATCGCTGCTGCGTCATGATGATAGCAGCAGCTGGAGCTTAAGGCTGTGTGGCGGGAGCCTCGGGCAGCTGACCAGGGCTGCACTGAAAGAGCTAATCACTTTGGGACAATCTGCTAAGGCAGAGATCAGAAGGCTCCCAACTGCCTCTTACTTAAGTGCTTAAGAAAAGCATGCAATTTTGCAAACTGGACATTATCAGCTTTATTGCCGGGCATTTGATTTACACCCGAATAAACAAGCCTTTGGGGCAGAATATCTGGACTTTTCAAGTTACGTGAGCGCTGTGTTTTTAGTATTTGCACAATCGGTGCTTAAACTCTGTTGTTTGTGATCGTTAAATATAATGGTAGGCTGTTTCATTTCAACATTAACATTTTGTGCTGTCACTGCTATCGCTTTCACTTTTGCAATGTTGTTTGCTGGACTAGTGTGAATTTACTATACAGTACAGTATATATCAGAGTCGTCCGCGACTAGACCTAACAGTCAGGGGTACCCTTACCTTTACTAGCATAATAACTGTGAAAATTAGAGGATTTCGGTATGATCCTATCCCTGTACAACTGAAGCATTTTAAAAAATACAATGGCTTAAATTGGTTTCTATAGGTATGGAGTCCTCCTGTTTAATTTGTGGATTTCATTCAGAGTGCATAGTCAATCATTTTACAGCACAGATTTTCTCCTGCCCCCGCTCTAGGATAGAAAAAAAGAATTCTGTTAAAGCACAGAGACAGACCTAACATACAGCAAACGTTTTTTGTTTGTGGATGAATCAGTTATTTATGTATGATACAGACTGAATTAACAAGCAGGTTTCCTCAAAAAACAACACCTTTATTCAAAGCTTATGAATTCCACTATATGTTATATAACACTCTCAGATACAACACTCTACAAGCTTTTGTGATCTCTTGAGCTTTCTCCTCCAACGCCGATTCTGGCACTTAGTCTTCGAAGGTGGTTTCTCAGCACAATCCTGTAATACAAAGCCATACTAACACCAAGAGTTGCAACAGAAACAAATAATACGCTTCCTACAAAAGTTCCCATAACGATACCACTCCAGTCTTTTGAAGTTGGTCCACTTTCAATGCTGCCACCATAACCTTCCTTTAGGCAGTCAGGAGGGGCCCAGCCATAATTGCAATGGCAGTTCTTATGGTTGTTGCATATTCCCCTGTTATTGCACATTGAGACATTACAATCGTACTTCAAGAGGGACACGTTCTTGCATTCTGCATCAATACACATCATACCCGTGCCACAAGGAGTCCCGTCTTGCACTGCTCCAATATCACCTCTCCCCAGTGCTTTGTGGTAGTCTGTACTCCAGCACTCAGTATCACCAACAAATGTTTGAATTAGGGTGCTGTGTTCTGCCAAAGAAGGTAATCCACGAATATTATCACAATGGATTCGGCCACACAGAGTATTATCAGCATTACATTTAATATATCTACCACCCCTAAAACCACAGTTTCCAAAGCGATCACCTTGAGCATTCAGTATTTTGTAACAACTCTCTGCAGCAACTGTTGCATCCTTGCCAAAGATGGTTTTGCACTGCGCATTGTGAGTAGTACAATGACCATGATAGCAATAGGCACCATCACTGCATGGGGCACCATCTTGCACATAAACATCCTCAGGACACCGCTCTGAAGCCCCACTGCAGTACTCTGCAAGATCACAGACACTGATATTCCCTCTGCAAGTGTATCCGGCTGCACGGTACTGACACCTGACACAGCACTGTCCAGAAGCACAATTGGCACCTGGACGCAACATGCAATTAGGCTGGCAGCAGGGATCCAATTCACACTGAGTATTGGTACCACAATCACATTGCTCTCCTTCTTCCACTACTTTGTTCCCACAGATTTCAAACTTGTATATTTGATCAGGGTCTGGAGGAATGAACATGCAAGCCTTGTTCCTGTTTGTGTAATACTGTTCATAACTGCAATTGCTAAACTTATCAGTGTTTGCCACAGTAGCATCCATAATGCATCTATGCCTATCACATTTACAATCTGCTGCATCATGTGTCAAACCAACAGTATGGCCTAATTCATGGGCAAATGTTACAGAGAGTAAGTTCAAATCTGAAGACCTTAATGTTTGGACAACGGATGCCCAACTAGCAGAACAAATAGTGTTTAGATACGTCAATCCAATACGATGTCCAAAATCTTTGTGCGTAAATAAGTGAGCAACATCATTCTTTAAATGTTTAAGTAACGTGTCCCGTCTCCATGTATTAAAAGCATGAAGTGCGGCCCCAATATTGTTACTAATTGTTATTAGGTCCCTTTCTGACCATATCTCCAGCCCCACAAGAGAGATCTGAAGACCAAGTGGCTCGTAGAATTCATTTGCAGTATGGATGACGTAGAAAATAGCCAAAGCAGCATCAGTTTTGTTATTATTAAACTTAGCATATTGATCATGTGCCACCACAACTGCCACCTTTGCGTATCTGATGTGTGGCCACCAGCGTCCCGCCGGAGCACTTTGTACTACAACACGCTCTGCCTCCCGGATCATGGCCTCTTGATGACTTTGCTCTTTCTCCGTCAACCCGCACCTCATGCGCGTGACATCTTCGTCTACACTCAGCTGATACACCACATGTTGAAAGGTAGCAGATGCCTGAGCAGGGTGAATTTCAAACGTCTTGTTTTCTAATTGGAACACGCCCTTGAGTCCTCCTGAGCAAGTGGTGATGGTGGCTGAAGAGTTAGGATTGCCCTGTATGAAGCCACTGTAGAAACAATCGTCCCTGATGAAAGGATAGTCAACCTGGAGGTTCCCCTCATTGTACGTGAAGATGGGAAAGTATTTAGGAACAATGCCCTTCTTCTGCCTGAGATGCACCACCTGGCTTTTCCCCTCAATCTGCAGTAGGTAGCTGACATCCTGGATTTCCTCTTGTCCATATCGGATGCTCAGTTTCCTTGGGATGGTCACCTCATAAGAGGCATACCTAAAGCCCTGTGGTGGTGTCTGGCCACTAGTCTCAGCCAGGAGATTCTTTAAAAGCATCACAAGTAGCCATGCCATAGGACCAGTCATCTTCCCAGAAAGATGGAGCAGGAACCATGAAGCATCAAATCTGGCACCTCATCTCGGAAAGGGAAGCCCTTTGTCAGGTTGGCAGATAGATGGGAGGGAGCCTGTATGCCATTTAAAAGAGGCAGAGGATTCTGAACATAGCAACAGTACAGTAAATAGATTCCCCTGTGGAATGTGGGTGGAGCTTGGAATATAAAAATGGAATAGAATGGCATAGGAAGGAAAAGGCTTCTGGGAGGTGGCTGGCTGACAGGGCAGCAGGAAGAAAAGTTAGAAAGAGTCTAATAGCACCTTATAGACTTAACAGTTTTTGCTTTGCCATATGATTTTGAGGACTTAGAAAGACCACCAGATGGATGGTGATTATGATCAGTTGTCAGGGTCATTTCAGTAATGCTCATATGCTACTGTGAAAAGGACACTTTGCATACATTTAAGCACTAATTGAATTATCACATACTAGCAATGGAATAGAAAAAAGTACATATGCCTTAAATTAAAGTACATACCTTAATTTTTTCATAATTTTCACCATGTGTACAAAATAGTGTTGAACACTATTGTCCTTGGGTCTGCTCAGCCCTGACTGCAAAGTCTGCTCTAAAATAAAGTCTTGAACCCTGCAGCACTCCTAAAGTACAACCTTCAGGAGTGATTTTCCCATTCTGGCTAGAGAGCTACTGGCCTACACCGTCATCTTGCTGCCAGTCAAGCTGTACACCTTTTCTGTGTAGCAGGGGCAACTTCTGACTCCTCTCTGTCTGACTCTCAGTCTCAGATCCTTCTCCTGATCCCCCCTGATCGCTCAAACCCTCTGCCTCTAGTCTAGCACATTGCAGCTCATCGCTTCTGCAGACTGCTCTGCAGTGTCCTACACCACAATCCAGGATCTAAGCCATGGTGGGCAGCTCCCACCACTCTTCCTCATCCAGTCCTTCCCTGACAAGGTGCCCCATGATATTCTTGCAAAGAAGCTGGTAAAATGCGGTCTTGACTATGCTACCACTCAGTGGATTTGTAACTGGCTGACTGACCGAACCCAAAGGGTGCTCATCAATGGTTCCTCTTCATCCTGGAGAAGAGTGACTAGTGGGGTGCCACAGGGTTCTGTCTTGGGCCCGGTCTTATTCAACATCTTTATCAACGACTTGGATGATGGACTCAAGGGCATCCTGATCAAATTTGCAGATGACACCAAACTGGGAGGGGTGGCTAACACCCCAGAGGACAGGAACACACTTCAAAATGACCTTGACAGATTAGAGAACTGGGCCAAAACAAACAAGATGAATTTTAACAGGGAGAAATGTTAAGTATTGCACTTGGGCAAAAAAAATGAGAGGCACAAATACAAGATGGGGGACACCTGGCTTGAGAGCAGTACATGTGAAAAGGATCTAGGAGTCTTGGTTGACCACAAACTTGACATGAGCCAACAGTGCGACGCGGCAGCTAAAAAAGCCAATGCAATTCTGGGCTGCATCAATAGGAGTATAGCATCTAGATCAAGGGAAGTAATAGTGCCACAGTATTCTGCTCTGGTCAGACCTCACCTGGAGTACTGTGTCCAGTTCTGGGCACCACAGTTCAAGAAGGACACTGACAAACTGGAACGTGTCCAGAGGAGGGCAACCAAAATGGTCAAAGGCCTGGAAACGATGCCTTATGAGGAACGGCTAAGGGAGCTGGGCATGTTTAGCCTGGAGAAGAGGAGGTTAAGGGGTGATATGATAGCCATGTTCAAATATATAAAAGGATGTCACATAGAGGAGGGAGAAAGGTTGTTTTCTGCTGCTCCAGGGAAGAGGACACGGAGCAATGGATCCAAACTACAAGAAAGAAGATTCCACCTAAACATTAGGAAGAACTTTCTGACAGTAAGAGCTGTTCGACAGTGGAATTTGCTGCCAAGGAGTGTGGTGGAGTCTCCTTCTTTGGAGGTCTTTAAGCAGAGGCTTGGCAACCATATGTCAGGAGTGCTCTGATGGTGTTTCCTGCTTGGCAGGGGGTTGGACTCGATGGCCCTTGTGGTCTCTTCCAACTCTATGATTCTATGATTCTATTCTATGACATTGTGCCATTTTGAACCAAGATGGCAGACCAAATTAACCCTAATTATTAAATAGTAGCTCCCCTCCCAAAAGAATTTATTTAGGGCTAGGTCAAATGCTCTTCAGGTCAGGCTGGAATACTGGGCTGGTATGGATGGATGCATGCATGCACAGCCAGCCCACAATTTCACAAATTGCACTATACATTATTTTCTTTTTTTGTCCATTGACTTCCCGGGCAATGCTGGGCACTCCCTGCTAGTACCTAATGTTTGCTAGAGCTTATTCTAAATTAAGTGCACACCTTACAAACATGCTAGGAACGGTTAGGACAT